ACACCTGATCCAAATGTATATTATGGTGATGCGGATTAAGAAATTGTTAAAAAGCTCCGAATTTTGCGATAATACATGGCCGTATTTTCAAAAATTAAAAACAAATGGCAAAACGTCTGTCATGTGGCTCAATTCGGTAAATCTTCATTTATAGAATGATTTTACATATAAATTGGGTTCAGAAATAAAATTCAAATTTACTCGAATAAGTCTAACTCATTATAATTTTCGATACCTTTTCTCTGTCTATATTCATATATATATATATATGTATACCAGATCTGTAGTAATTCAATAATTATCTGTCAACAACCAAAAAGATTTTTGAATATAATACACCACACGAGTATTATATGTCCGTGTTACCACCCACATGTCACATGTTTTTGACAGATGCGTCAAAATGTTGAAAATTTCATAGAATATCCCACGGGATTTGATTACTGGTTTAGGGTTTTAAGTGTAATATATGCCCAAAACAAACATGTAAAATAGCAATGTGAAGTATTTCGGTAAGATTCTTGGTACAATTTGAAGAATGTTTCTCCTTCTGTGTAATCGCGCTCAGAACAGTGAGCAACTTGTTTGGGCACAATCAGACCAGTGGTTCCCACATTTTTTTCAAGCAACTCAAATTTGAAAAAAAAAAAATTGTTTGTAAAATCGAAATACTGAACGGCTTGCAGTGCGCAAAATTAAATTACTAATATAAAACAACAATTTTTACCCGACATTTATTTTACCAGAAATTGCTTCTAAGTGAGAGAACTGCAGTTGCTTTTAAATCGTGGCGTGCTTTTACTCAAGTAAAATAGATGTTGGCAAATTTTTGCGCAGTAATACTTCCCAAGAGTACAATACTAGAATAGCACACCGTACTATAAAGTAGCACTCCAATACCAAATATAAAATGCGCTAAAAAATCAAGTCAATAGTTTTTAAGTCTCTACTAAAAAAACGACCCACGAGGTTTTTCATTCGTCTCTGACTCGCGACTTAACAGTCGGAAAATACTGCATTAGAAGGCAAGAAACATGACGACGAATAAATATCACATTCGTGTAGATTTTTAAAATCTTTCTGTGTGTTACATAGTTTATGCTATGATCAAGCTTTTCAGTGTCATGTACTGACAAAACAGCAGAATCGGTAAGGTCAATCATGTTGTCTCCAGGTTAGCAAGTTTGGCTTTTATTTGTTGTCAACTGACCCGTGTTTTCTTTGACCTGACATTACAAGGTTGCGCGTCCCCTGTGTTTCGGTTTCATGACGTCATTTCCAAAATAATCCGGATGGTGCAGCTGGGTTCATAACATTGTTTTGATTAGATTTTAGTTTCGTTAGTTTTATTGCTTTCACTTGCAAAGACGAACTTTATTCTCAGATGATTTTAATAACTACTGAGTGGCCAAAGTTACGAACATTCAACAATACGTTATCATAAGGATGTTGTCATGCACGAAAATGGAGTTCTTAAGTAGAGGAAGAATAGTCACTTTGTACTACGTAATCCGTCATCGCGCCATTTTGTAATACACGTTCATATCTTTTCATTGAGAATGGGTTCCTCAGTACTTCTTTCGTAGCCGTTGCCAGATGAAGGGTTGCATTCTGCGCATTTTGCCTCGCGTCACTCAAATGTACGTATCTGTCATCACGTTATCGGCGGTACGATCGCGGTTGACGTCTGGCAACGTATCATTTTCCGTGCACCATGTCCCTTTGTCCTTTTCTATTGACACTGCGCGTGCGCCGAGCGGAAGAAGATACGAATTGTGAGTCATGGGGCATGCACGTTGGCGCCACCTCAACACGCGTTTGACTACATAGTAAAATTTTTATTGGCAAACGTGAATAACCATAAGTATACATATTCCGAACGGAAATCGCGTTCCATTGACCAGTCGACTGACCCACCTGTCTAGTAGCACGTTTTTCCTATTTTAGTCAAAGATAACTTTAAGCTTATTTGACCGGTGCTATTTTAAAGAGTTACGCGTTTCCGGCGACGACATGAAGCATTGGTCAAAATTCCACAAAACAACATTATAATAGTTTTTCATATATATATATATATATCCCAATCACGTTTTGGCCAGGAATTGTTGAATTGCCATAAGAAACGTAATACTTCTGGTTCTGATATTCCATGACGTACGGTATATTTCTTACTGACATTTATTTCAAGGTTGAGGTCGAAGGGATGATTGTATTCTTAAAAAAAACTTGTTTGCATGATAACTCCAGTGAGTCGTTTCCGATGAACATCTTTGATTGTTTTCACAGCGGATGGAAATGTGCTAAGTTGATACATAACATCCATAAATCGCTTTCTAAGGAACAAGCACGCGTACCACGGTAGAAACAGTTTTTTTAGCTTACCAGGGATTTTATATGCGTGACAGGGTATTATTTTCGGCACGTCCACGTTCCGCGCTATTAAATCCCTACACGCGTCCAAGAAATCCACCTTTTGCCATCAATCTTCGTAACACAGAAGTGCTTTGGGAGGAATTTGTGGTCTGTATCACCAGTAAAAACTCGAGGTCATTACTTTAAATCAGCTGTTAAACTTTGGAAAAAACATTGCTTTGTATTATATATATAAATAAATTATTCAATCTCGCCAAGGTGAGATTTGGATTTATGTGATGCAAGAAAAACTAATACTTAATTGTCGGCTATATGTTTAGACATATCTTTTTAATTTAGCAAAATGGCCTAGGAACCATAGGCGATCAAGATATTTTGTTTTGAGCAATCGAAATGCCACAAGAAAAACAAACTATTATTATTTATTACCGGTAAACCGTCTCACGGAATATTTAGTGGGTTTAAGTGTTTCATTCGCGCCGAGAAATTTCTTTCTAAAGATGTGTACTATTTCATCTAACCGAGACATTTCATTGTCGTTTCAAATATAAAATTTGTGTGTTGTTAATATATTATATTGAAAAGCGTCCAACACCAAAAATCATAAACAATGAGTTTGGTCGACAGTTTGCGGATTATCCATTGAACCTCGTGCACCATTTGAAACATGATCTTCTTCTGATAAAGTTATTAATGGCGCCGGCATTATGAATTTATGTTGTATTTATGCTGAGATTTTTGTCAGCTATGACACGATAATGGGATAATATTCATCTTCCTTTGTAACCATAGATACCGATAACGCTTCATTATTTGAACGTATTTTGTGTGTGAAAGTACAGCTGGAGTATCTACTGTTAATATTTATAATTTTTTAAACAAATTTACTAGCACCCGTACATCGATCGAGTCATCTGTTCCAGTGTGGTACGTGTATATTATTGGACACGAAATGGACCTATGGATTGTTTTTGTAATTATGGTGTTGTTCTTATTGGTATATTCCTTCTTGTTGTCATCGTATAAAGAGGGGGGAAATATCCACCTATATAATTATTTAAAACATGCCCATGTTTTCATATTTCAAGATTGTTTTTTTTCGCTAGAAGGCTATTACTTTTATTCATTTCAAAACCTTCTGTGGGGCGGCTATGTGATGACCTGGAAATTAATACAAGTTATTAGTAGCGGTTTTTCGACCTCTCTCGTGCTACGCGAAAGTAGAAACTTTTTTGACTTACCGGTACTGTAAAAGGTAAAGTAGACTACTGTTTCGTTTTGGTCTTCGTGGCCATATATTTGAGCATAGCTCTCGTGTTCACGACACAAACAGACTATTCAAATCAATAGGGAGTAATCAAAAGGGAGTTCCAATAAAATTAGCAAAAAAATAACCGGATGAAATAATTTGTAAAATTGTGAGAAAATATATTCGAAGAGTATACATTTTTGCTTTGCTTCGCTTAAAGTCGTGATTTGATACTCGCCGGCGACCACCGACGGACATTGCTTCCATCATTTACTTGTAATTATTTACACGACTAGAAAGTCTGAATTTCATATTTTCAATGATGATACCAAAGTCAAACATTCCTTGGAAACTCAAAAAGTAATTTACTGGGCCTTTTTGACAATGTTTTTTCTCTTGAGCTAAGATCGTAATTTTTTACGACCCGGAGTCTATTGTCGATTTTTCCCGTTAAAAACTAATGTATGTATAACACTATATTTACGATTGTGGAGAAAAGTACATCTGTACATTTGTGTTCCTAAACTTTATCTGATACAGCTATTCAGAATGATCATTTTTGTTAGTCGCTTTATTTCTCTACGGTAATAGCTCTCTCAAACTTGTCCATCTTGCGCCCCACCTCAAAAATAACAGATATATATCAGGGCGAAAGAAAGTACGTTTTATTAAAAAAAAAATAATAACACATTGAAAATAGGTGGATGGAACGTAAATATCCAGTATAAATAAATGTAAATATCCAAAATAAGGCGGGTAGGATCCAATCTAACTAAATATAGTTTTATTTAGCTTCACGCCCCTTCTAAAAACTGTCAACGCGCCCCCTGCTTGAGAGTCACTGCTTTCTTTTACCTACCTATGTTGATTTCACGAAATAATCAGTTCCATGCAAGCAAGCAATTATACTGATGTAGTAATCAACCGCATGAAATTAAACCCATACCATGTAGGTTGACAAAATGTGATTCAATTTTTTTAATTTATTGGAAAACATACATTTTAAAAAAATATCATGAATAATTGTAAAAAACGAATTCGCTTGATTTTATGAAAACAATGCAGCTGTCGTTGAAAAATCCAGAAATTTGTTTGGAAATCAAAACTTAGATTCAAACCAAGGCACCTTCTAATTCAAAATTTCACAAACTAGATATTTCAAAATGGATTGCCTGATTATTGTAAATGTATTAGAAAAAATTCCTTTGTTCCATTGCGCGAATATTAAATATTTTAAGTTGAATAAAAATGTTCTGCTTTTCTGCCACGAGGAAAAGATTTACAGTGGTTATATTTTTGAACCAAGTACTGGCTTAGAAATCATTTAGATGTATTTTATAGTACCATTTCCCCCAACCATATACAAGCAAAGCTGTTATTGTATAATTATTGCTTCAATTAGGAAACATATAATATGTGCAAATAAAATCGGACACATTGGTTATATTTTTGAACCAAATACTGGCTTAGATGTATTTTATAGTACCATTTCCACCACCCATATGTAAGCAAGGCTGTTATTTGTAGAATTATTGCTCCAATTAGGAAACATCATATAATAATATGTGCAAATAAAATCAGACACACTCAAGAAGCCATTTCTTTTTTATAAACATTATCGAGAAAATTTTTCACTTCAGTATGGAATAGGATTAAATCATCCAAATAAGCAGGGTGCATGCCATTTGGGACCTCCACTATCCTACTACCAGGAATATGGGCCATGAGATTACTAGTTTTAGCACCATGCTCATCTAATGATCCATAGTAAATCAGAGCAGGAATGTGTAGTTGTTCATATTCTTCTTTTTTGTAATGATTACCATTAATTGGTGCAATCGGTACAATGCCACGTAGTTCTGCTCTATGTTTAAACATGAATGGCAAAGCATATCTGCCACTCATGGAAGGACAAATAATAACAGGCCTGTCTGTTTGAGGTAATGCTTTAATTAACTTTGACAAAAAAGCATCTTCATGATCTATGCGTTTGTCTGCTTTTGTCTTTCCGAAACCAGGAAGATCAACAGCAATAGGAAAGTAACCAGATTTCGCAAGAAACTGCAACGTTCCTAGTGACTTCCATGTGTTTGCTTCATAGGCCGCACCATGTAATAATAACACTGCAAACCTTGGTGGTGGCTGATTCTTTACCGTACTCATTGCATATGAATAAAACACATTGATTCCATCAATTAAAACAAAATCTTCAACATATTCAACGTCAAGTCCTATTTCTGGATCGACTTCGTCCTTTTCATTATCAGCCAACTCAGGTCCTAATTTATCAAGTTTCTGTTTTGCTTTGATCATCGATAGTGCATCCACTTGAACTGAGAAACAATAAAAGGAATAGTTCTGAATTTACACTTATTGTGGTCAAAACGGGGCCAACTAAGTTGGCATTGCAGCTTACACATCTTTGGTTTAAAACCTTTGCCCACAAACCTACCGAGTGTGTGATAAGTTAGGTAGGTAGTGTCGATCCAGAATGAATTCTGTTCTTTCAAAAATGAAGGTTCATACATAACAGGGGCTGATTATAGAGGGCGTTGTTGAAGCAAATAGGCCTGAAATAAGTGTCATACATAATGTTATGTCATTAAAGATAAGAATTCAGTGACAATTTTTGTCAAAGATATAGATCTTTCAGGTTAAATATTTTTACACCTGATTTCTTGCTGTCTGATTCATTCTGGACAAACAACAATACAAATTTTGTATAGGTTACTTATAAATGTATTGCGGATGACCTAAACCAATATATAATAAATCTTACTTGCTGAATCGCTTTGAATTTCATCACTGTTGGAGTATAAAATATAACATATACTTGAGAGGATTAATAAAGTCAATACCACTCCTCGTTTATTTACCTCCGCACTCATGGTTGCGTTGTTTATTTTACAATATGCCAAGCATTTATATTTAAACACCTGAATTACATCTTGAAAGTGAAAAATAAGACAGTTAACCTAGAAATATTGACAGTGTTAAAAAAGGCGCATTTACCTCTTATGGGAGAAAGAATTTTGCATGACCTTAAAGAATATTAAAAGCCAATTATAAGAACATAATCAGCTTTCAAGGTTACAAAGGGTATTTTTCATTCAAAAATCAGCAAAACAGTTACTTAGACTGTTAGGAGTGTTGCAATACGCATGAGTTGTTTGATGTTTTTGTTATTCTATGGATAACCCTGTTGTTCAGATAATATCTGAAAAAATGGAATATTTCAATTATATGACTATGAACTTATAATGGGTACATTCTCACTAACACCTAATTTTAGCTTCTTGATTGAAAATTGAGGGCAGTCAAACCACGACATCAACCTTTTCAAAGAGAATTTGCAAATTGAATATGATTGATTATCTGTTATTTATCCAATCAGGAAGCTAAATATAACACCCTATTCATAAACAACATATCTATCCATGTAAGGTATCTCGAAAAGAATTCTAAAACAGGATCTGAACATAATTACTGTAGTTTAAGAGACATTGGTATGCCCACACAAATTAGCAATAACAACAAGAATTAATTAAAAAATTCCCACAGGATGGTAATGTTGTTTAACAACAGGTATACATGTAACATGATACAAAGCATGAAACGATGAAATAAATATTAGCATCACAACAAGCATGTAAAATATGTGCAACATGCATATGCTATTATAACAGAGAATTTAGCTTTTAAAAAAATTCCTGGTGCTCCCGAAGTATGCGAACCAAGATGGCGGATATCGGAACGTAACATGGGTAACAGGTTAGGGTTAGGCGATAATTTTTTTCCAATTTTCCTTATTTTAGTCCTATTATCAGTTCGAAGACTAGCCAAGAGCCTCCCGTAGTATTTATACCTAAAATTATGGCCTAACCCTAACCTAGTACACATATTACATTCCGATGTCCGCCATCTTGGTTCGCATACTTCGGGAGCCCCAAATTCCTTTTTTCTTGATTATCGCATTCTCAATTGTATGTTTTTTTTACAGTTCCTGTATGCAAGCATCTCAATGTTCCATTACATGGAGATCGTACATGCAAAATGATTGATTTACCAAGAGGAAGAGCTCTTCGTTGTACCACTCAATGTGACAATGGATATAAACTTGTTGGCAGTTCGTACAACACTTGCATGGAAAAGGGAATTTGGTCGGGCCAGCCTGCTGTTTGCAAAGGTAATTAAATTTTCTGAATTTTTTCATGTATGTTTGTCCAAACTTATAAGCTTTTAACTAAAAGTGAAAAAGTATTGACAGAAAATCCATAATGACCACTGATGTTATAAGAGCCCTACATAGGTTTATCCCAGAAACAGAGCATATTTGCATAAATAGAACAAATTTGCCATTATATTAACCACACTGACAATGAAAAGTTGCCGTGACTTTACTCTGCCTTGACTTTACTCTGCCTTGGCTATGATATGATTATGTAAAGATTGGTTATATAACCAACTCGTATGTAAGATGAATGCTTGAAACTACTTAAATATGACATTGGATATTTGAACACAATGACAATACTCCAGTTCAATCAGCATTATTTATTGTCATCCTTTATTGTCACCAGTTACTTTGTAGAAAAAGGCTCGTTTCTCATTTTGTTAACGAGTATTTAAGCAGTTTGCCAGTTGTCTGCTGTATTTGAACTTAGTGATTCTAGAATTTGTTCATTTGTCATATATTCAGCTGTTGTTATCATATTCATTATAGCAATAATATGTTTATTACTGTGGCTTGTTAGGTGAATTTTACCATTCATTCCTATTAGGGTCTCAAAACCAAAATATTTCCCCATTTCTGGCAACAAAACACAATCAGGGGATAAGATTTTCCTAACTAGATTAAGTGGAACTGTTATCAACAATCCATTAGAAGGTACAGGACCCATTCCATTTGCTTTTCCTGAGCTTTGATCAATGCAACTCAATTCCGGCTCCATGTCTTTGTTTGCAGATATTAGTTTTCCAAATACTATATCTCCATTTACAAGATTCGGTCGATTTCGTTTCGTAGCACCCTCAAAAAATAAATTATTAAGAACGACATAGTCGCTACTTCCAATGTCTACTTTGTAAGCATCACCAATTTTTCCAACAATAACCCCCAAAACGTTTTCACCCTTAATTGGAACATAACGTTTCTGATGACTGTCTATCCAAAACATGCTAGGCTGTTTGTGTCGTAGAATCCCAGACTTACAAACGACAATACTGTCATTCCCTTGTCTAAGACCAGGTCCGAGTTTTACTCTTTCATTTTTGCCGATTAAATCCAATACTTGTTCTGTTATGATGTCACCAGGCATGACAACACTTGCATCTAACTCTTTGGCTGGACATTTCATTTTTAACAGCGAACTTAAATTAGGCTAGGTAAGAATAATACTATAGGAAGGAAGAAAATTGGTGTTAATAAAACCAAAGATCAAACGGGTAAGAACAATGTGTTCCAGAATAATCAGTCCGATTTAAAAAAAAAACGAATCTACGCTATTTCCACTAGGTGATTATACAATTTTATGAGTGGTCTTCTGGTTTAATAATGCACAAAATTTTGCTATTCTCATCTAATATTGAAAATGTATATTAATTTCATTGACTCTTGTTCAGAATATATTAAATGGTATATAATACAGTAATATTTCTTTCAAATTTTAATTGAAAAAAATACCTAGTCCAGAAGTTTCCAAACGTTTTGTTTGTGAGACGCCAAATTATCAGGGACAAAACTTACGGCACGCTCTCACGAAAAAAAAATGCTGCCTTTGACAAAACTCAATTTTGTAATAGTTAATGTCTACTTTATGCCTTTAAACTTTGTAAAATGGTAGGCATAAGGAATAAAGGCAAAAAATCAACTCTTTTTCTTCAGCTCTGCCTGATTTTCCTTTGAGATAGTTAAAAAATCTCTCATGTTCGCTAAACTCAGTTCAGCAGATCAAAAAAAAACTAAAGCTCGTGAAATTGCATGTCTATTGTTATGTAACAATAGAGGCAGACACTACTTAACAGAAAGTAAATAACATAGAAACTTGTAAAATGATTTTATTGATTCAGATACACAGCATTTAAAATAGGAAACAATGGAACATTTATAATAAATTTATTATGTAAAATGGCCGTGGTTTGCCATATGGGTAAGCCGTCTTATCGCCTTTCCTCTCCCCTGGGATAAATATGTAAATCCTATCCTATCCTAAAATATTCAATCATATATTAGTTATGTTTAACACAATTCTGTTAATTTTTAATTATTGTATGACAGTGATAAATATGGGCAATAAGCCACAACAGACTAAAATAGAGCTGGTGTAATACAGAACCATACATTTATACAATCCTATCAGCATATGATAAGAGTACTTACAGACTTAAGAGTACAGTTGAGATAATACTGCTTACAACATCTGGACTAGCGTTATTACTCAACAATTTGATAAAATCCCACAAACTATTATATGCTTAATACCGGTACTGAACATAATTTTTAATCTCTGAAATACATAAATACACCTTCATACCCTACAATACAGCAAAATATTACTGACATATCAGTTTGGCATAAAATAGAGACTTTTGATCTCTGCAGAAATACCTTTATGTAAAGCCCCCGCGGCTAAAACTATATTCTGTGTTATTTGATATGTAGCCACGATTTTACCAGTAGATTAACTTCACATATATCTACATACATTACAGCCTGTGTAGCTGATAAAACCGACCGCTTTTCCCAGCGTCTAACAACGTTATACGTTTACTGAACAGCCGAGTATCTTCGATAACTATTGTAAATAAAAACGACTCGCTTCGCTTCGACAAACATTAATTGTGCCAATGCGGTGGCGCAGAACAACCACGTGTGTGCGTAGCCACGCCCTTTGATGACTTGCTGGTGCTGTTTGCGGTCGATGTTGATCTATCTTACCGCGTATTGCGTGTTTTACCGTATAATGTTTTTGTTGGATTTAATAAAACGCTTTCCTAATTTTCGTTACGAATGAAAATATTTTTTGTCAATTGTTAACCGATGCTGATGTTTATTACGTCAAGACGATCAATTGCTGAATTTTTGTGAGATACACACAATTTAAACTAAAATGAGGATTATTTATTACTTAATTTTTATTCGCTGCTATGTAATAGAACAATAATAGATAAAAATAACAGAAGTTTTGTTCACACCTCAGATTACTCTAATTTGTGTCTCTTTATAGCAGCAATTCTCATACTCATTGGTGGGGCGATACTCCAATGAAACGTTCCAGAACCCATGTGAAATAGTTTTATTGTCAGAATTGTATTAACTTATATATATATATATATATATATATATATATACCGTATATGCAGAAGCAAACCTAATATTGACAAAAATAAAAAAATTATAATAAAAAGTGTGGCAAGTTTGATAAAAGTGGCAAAACTAATAGGCATTTTATGTAATTTGAACGATATATATATATATATATATATATATACAATGAAAATAGACTCGGAAACTTGCGGAACCCCTGGAATGTACTTTCAAGTCAACCCCAGTTGGAAAGCGCTAGTCTATAGTTTGTTTAATTAGTTTAATTTTGCATTGCATTTGGCATCATCTCAAACAGATTTTTTTTTTGTAATCTGTGCCACGATAATTATTACTCCAAACTACGAAAGAATTGAATTTTTCACGATCCAATGTCCTATAAACTGCTTTCTATATCACCGCCTCGGTCGAAAAAAATTCTTGTTTACATTTCCTCTTAAAGATGCATACTAGTCTACAATAATCAATCATTATTCTTTGACTCATTACAGCGGCGTCAACTCGCCAGACACAGAAGATTCGGTTTAAATTCCGGGAACATCAAACACTACCTTGCGGAGAAGTCTACGGCCTCGCATCCTTCCGTAAAAATGGAGTCGTCTATCTAGTTGCTGGCGACAAGGTATGAAGAAACGTCTGAGTAATTTGACCCCCTTATATTACAATCAAGTTTTCATTGACAGCTCAGACTATTGTCAATGTTTTTGAAAGACATTTGTTTATTCCATACATAGCTCGGTCATCAATATACTTATATAGGCTAATCTATAGCCATCTTGACATCCTTAACAAATTTTATTATTGGACACAAAATGGGCCTATAGATCGTTTTGGTATTTTTGTTGTTATGAAAAAAATCGCTTATCTCTCCAATTACTGAACGAATTCAGTGGTTAAAGATTGTATTTGTTGTAAGAAGGCTATCAGTCTTATTTATTTCACAAGGTTCTGTGAGCCCTTTGTGATTCTTTTTTTGTGTGGTGTGTGTGTGTGTGTGTGATGACGTCATTAAAATTAAAAATTGCGCATCTTGTGGCGGTTCCGCGTTCGCATTGGTAGCTTTCTGAAGACTGTGGTACCGGTAGTCTGCTGCTATTATTACGTATCGATTTTAATCGCTAAGTATGTTGATAGGTATTTGTCTGTCTGTTTGTCTGTCTGTCTGTTAGATGCACGCGATATCTCACGAAAGCGAGATTGAATCTGCTCCAGATTTTGCATGTGCATTCATCATATGTCGTACCAGAAGCTTATTGATTTTGGATGAATTATGTCGTATTATTAGCGACTTATTAATTAATTAGTGATCGAACACAAGGTGTCACTATGGAGTAAGAGCGCTGTTTTGGGGGATCGCCTTACTTTCGATCGATAAGTCTTCGGTCTCTGACCGATATTCTCGTTTTCGTAAATTTACCCCTTCCACACCGGCTCAGGTCTGACTCCTTGGGTCGTGCTTTTGTCCTACGATTGCTTCCACCTTCATCTGCATCTTTTCTTTACAGAGTGGAAACGAAGTCAAAATATTTCGATGGGGAGACGAAGGCTTCGTCGACACTCCTTTTCAGACTTTCCACTATTCATCACCTGAAATCGTCGAAATTCTTACTGCCCCAGACGGTAGAGTTTGGTTGATGGTCGGAGGTGCTGGACCGGTTACCATGTTCAGGTAATGGAAGATGTTAAATATAAAATTTTTGAGTCGCGATTTTGGAAGTGTGGGAATGAAAAAGACATTTTTCTTTATTTGGGTGATAGTATGCCCAGGTCATTGAGATTCAAACGCAACAATACATAGAATATGAGGAGTGATTTTTCCTGGCGATGGAAGTGCTGTCTCGTTAACAAAATATTTTACATTTGACAACAAATGTTTATCGCAATATTCCATAAATACAAGTCTAAATTGGAATGGTAATAAATTGTCCCTACGAACGGATGTATTTCTATATGCAGCGTGTTCATAAAGTCCCTTTACAGTTTCAATTTTGGTATAAAGTCAGTTATCAATATATCTTAACTAGTTTTTTTTTTTTTTAATCAGTAATTATTTGAGTATTTTTACTTCATTCAATACATCTGTGAGGGCCAGAACAATCTATGGTATCGATAACTTCCCTTTGCAATTTAAAAAAAAATGAAGACTTTATGGTCACCCTTTATATATATACGAGAAAAATCTTGCCTAAAATTGTTACAGTTTTCCTGCGATGGAGCATTTGACCGTGGAAAAATACTAAAATATAGTACTTGTATATATAATATCTTGTAACTTTCCAATTCGTATGTTTATTAATAATTATTTTCTGTTTTTCGTGCTCTTCTACTTAGACTCGGCGAAGATAATAGATTCAGACGTTCACACACAACGCAATTGTTTGACCAAACAAGACACGGCGACACGATTGGCTTCGCCGAATTGCAAGGAGAATTTTATAGATGCTACGGTAGAAATAGAAGAGAAACTCCTGTGATTGTTGTTCATAAACTTCAAGATAAGCCAACACCTGGTATGTAGATTAAAAATAGAAGGTTTGAGTGATGTTAAGATTAGTGGAGACATTGTCACGCAAGTGAAACCATCTGCAAAATAGGACAGACAGTTTACTCTAAATTTACCAAAACGATATATATACGTATACGTATCCAAATTCGATTTTGCTCAAAGCAAGTTGACGCGCGCTCAAAGTTACAGGTGAGTGACTACCAAAAAGCCGCGAAATACTCACTATTGATTTTAATATACATGTTACAATATGCATACAAGTATGACTATATAAAAACATTCATCTAATTGAGATTAATGGGAACATTTTTTGACAAAAAAAAATTTGTTTGGAGAACAAACAGACAGTAAATGGATGAGAGCTCGGTGCCAACCGAGTATGGCGGCTGAAAATATTTCTTAGAGGACAAGAGGATTTCCGGACACCTACCGTCATATTGTGCTTCACGTAACCGCTGGTCTATTTAAGTCTTCCCCCGCCATTAACTCCATGCATCTGAAATACATGACTGTTTTTTTAAGGCCACTGGATTGATTCTGCGTTTTGGATTGATTGAGACTTTGGTCGGTGTAATGTATTTTCTTTTTTCTATAGGTGGTGGCGACGTCTTCCGACGTATTATGAGGAAAAAGTTACCCGGAGAAAGAGTCCACCAGTGTTCTATGTATACAGAGGGTAATTCTCTTTATACAGTCGCCACTCTCAATAAACCAGATGGACAGGGTCGTATCATGATTGGACATTTGACCAGAAACAGAATGAAAATCGTTGATGTAATTTCAGGGAAACAACTGAAAGAAGTTTCAGACAGTTTTGGATTCACCATAGATGGTGGTCGTTACATCGCAGTGTCACAGTCGACGGAAAATGGAAAATGTCTTATTTATAAGCGACAATGGCGCAATTCAAAGCCAGTCGAAACTGGTTAAGGCTTCTCATACAAAGTGACGCATAGTGACGTTAACTTACGCATGATTTACGCAGGAGTTTGCGTGGCCCAGCCGCATCAGTACAAGAAGTTCTTAATCTGCAGACAGAGCGGGGGCCAAAAATAGACATTAGGTTCAGCGACCCTTTGAACATTGTGTATCACGACAACGTTCCGGTTTCTTTAAAAACTACCTTCAAATTTGCACGATTCATTGATACCTCAAAATTGCTTCACATTGCCTTAAAGCTTGGTGCACACATGGAAATTTGGATGCCGTATTATTCAAATTTTTATTTGAGTACGTTCCATTCTTTGCCGATGCATTTTATTCTTTCAAGTCATAGATGCCTCAAAACTTACCTATTATTTGAAATACAATTTACAAAATATTTGTCACATTTATAAGTGACATATCGCGTTATGATTCCGGGTACTTTGTATAAACAAGCTTATATTTCGCATTCCATATCAGAGCAATGTTTCTTATAGTAAACATACTAACTTTTTACGTCCATAATTCACACGATTTTTGTAAATTTTTTAACCTAAAGTGTAAATTATTATTACTATTTTTACTAGTGTGTTATTTTTTTCTTACTTGCCAATTACCCTATATACCTACCTACACATTCGAGTTCATATTCATAAGGTTGAAATTGTTGAGGACTTTCATTCACTTGCAGGTGATCGAAGTAGAATCCAATTATATTCATTGGTTTACCAATATTTTGAAATTTCATCCAATTAATTTCAAATTATCAGGTTATTTATGACATAGCTGGCATGACATCACCACTGTATTTTGTGCGGTATAACTTGATATACCGGATTTGATTGTACATTCTTGTCTCACATTGGATATATCCATTGTTGATGCTGTTTTTCAAGTCAGGATAACACATGTCAATATGTTACCCCAATTTCATTTGATAATTACAGATCCAAACACGTATTCTGGTGTTAATTATAAATGTAACTACGAAACCGAATTTCACAAAGGTGTAAAAATTAAGAATATTCGGTTAGTGTTATATGAATATCGTTCACGGATGTATATTTTTCTTATTGAACGTTGAAATGATTTTAATTTTTTCGTACTATTGTTGTGTAAAATAAATATACCAATCGAAATTTTGAGTATTTGCGTCCAGGATAGATAATGATATATATAGGGATTTAGATCCACTTCGTCCACTAGGTAACCCATGTTTCTTCTAAGGTTCTACACCAGCAGACACTGCCATTATATGGGAAGCTGTTATGTTCTGAAATCGGAATCATTTATTTCCGACATACACTAGCCATCTCGTCACAACCCGAATGTTTTGGCGGGAATGTGAATGGAACCTGACAAATTAAACCGGCGACCATACGAAGGAACTCGGATAAGCATTCTGTAATGTTAGCATGGTTTACTTGTTCAGGAAACACGATCACACTTCATATTCTCGCCAATATACATTCATATCTAGTCACGAAATAAACGATGGGTTCTATGGTCGTTGTGATCATTTTTTAGAGAATTTGCTCGTCTGGTTTAGAGATAATATTTGTCATATTTCTCCTGAAATACCTCGGACCTACAGAACAGAAACAGACAGAAATTGTGTTTGTTATTGTTTGAACACAGTGATAAATGTTGGATTAACCCAGGGGTGTGCAACAGCCGATCCGTGGGCCACAACCGAGCCCGCTATGACATTTAGTGCGATTCGTTTTAACACTCAGATTTTTCCACATCAAGCATAAAATCCTAATTCGACAGTTTATGTTCAAAAAGGCGCTTATCGTGGGTAAAATACACTTTGATCTTCTCGCTGCGGTAAATCTTTTGCCGCTTTGCCCTGTACCTTCATTACTGTAAGGCTGTCAAAGCTAATGTTAACAAACTATACAAGAACTCGAAATTTCAACAGTCCCACTAAAATGTTAAATAAATAAAATTTTGCATTGAGAGAATTTTTTAATTTATATATTGCGTGTATGAAAATATTCATTTTTTTGTGTGGCTCTATGCATGGTATATGTCTGAAGTTGGTTATATGGCCCATCGACAAAAAATGTTCATACCTCTGGATTAATTGTTACATTACCATGAAAATAACCTGTTAACATACGAATTCAAAGTCATCTAATTGTTGCCCCCTTGCTCCTGCCATCTAAAAACAGGCCGTGGGATGAAAATATTATGTTTGTTACTGACACAACCGAGCTATCTGTACCAATCTCCTTAGTTTCATTTGGTTGTGGTTCACTAGATCAATCGTGGCTATTTTCCTCATTGTTTTTCCGTCAATCTGTCGCGATAACAGCGCCATATTTCAGCGATATCTTCTGACATATCTGTAGTGCCAATGGATTCCAACGTATTTCATCATTCGCTTAAGTCAAGGGAGGGCTCAATTGTATGGAACGAAAGTGTGATTTGGTATCGGTTAAACCCGAGAGCAACGAGCTTTCTCAAAAGATCAGCGGACAACTAACACGGAGGCGTCGAGAAATACGGCATCATAATTGTTACTATTTTGAATCTCAATAAAACAGCAAAATTTTTGATGAGATATCAGGTGCGATAGGACTCAGATGAAAGTATTAAAATTCTAGCAAGGTTTCTTCCACTTTTGATTACTAAAAATTCCGCAATCGATCGTTCCGTTATTAGTTGAGGTTGAGGAGAAACCGAATTGTTCCCAACAACAACAAGAAATCACCTCAACAACAACAACAACAAAAAATCAGAACAAACCGATCTATATGCCTGCCTCGTGACCCAACTGATTAGTCTGTAATAAAGTCACCTGAACCCCAAACTCAAGTGATGAATATTCACCCTTCAATGTTCTTAATCGTGATATAGAACAGCTAGTTTTATTGCCAATAAACCAGCATATCGTTAGGTAATGCCTATTGAAATATACTTTCCTTTTGAGCATTACTTGACCTCGATATGCACCTTGGAATTGCAGATTTACCATTCAATCATTTATTTATTTATTTTTTCATAATTTCAATCATGACACTATGCCACAATTTTTCTTAATAAGATAACTAAATATCATAGATATATTAAAACTTTGTTCATTTACAAACACATAAAAAATTTATATATATAACAGACTGATAGGATCCCATTTGAAGAATAGTTATTAGATTGTTTATAAATCTTATATAAAACACTGGAGTACAAAATGAAGGATAGCATTCATGGAACGAGAGATGTATAATGGATGTACTCCCAAGTCTTCCGGTAAATAATCTTCATACAAATTGATATAGCTATATATATATAAAAGCGCAGAAAACGTTTACATGTTTGAAATTTTAGCTTTCAGTTTTTTTTTCATTATCTATCAACGAGCAATGGTACACGACTTGGAAAATTACGATAAGTGATGATAAATATAAAAGCATATCACATCGTTTCTAGACGTAGTCCATGACAACGCATATCAATATACGACCAAAATTGCTTTTAAATATTGGATTGGTAACTGTGACTTATATTTTCCTATCTCACTTATTATAATCATATAACAAGCATACAAGAACAAGCATATGTAATGAATAGATTAAATACAGACAATAAATAGCTAGAACGATATTATAAATAGCCTATGATATTGTATAATCGGTTGGCGATAGGTCATACAATTCAAAAATGACTAAAATAGACTCAAAATATTTGCTCGATTGAAGTTTTAAAACATTTCATTATATATAGAATACTGGATGAATGATAAATTATAAAAAAAAAACTTTGAGTTAAAACAACAAGTAATTATTGATAAAATCTATCCAGAACGGGGTGCCAGAATAACATTTATTACACAACACTTTTATTTGAACTTCTACATGACAAAAATCTTAACTGAATGACTTATAAATTATGCTTTTTTATCACTTTGAGCATAGTTTGAATTCACCAAGTCCAATTCATTGACTTGTTTCACCTCAGAAGTAAAAGCTTGATAACTTTCTATCACGTGAAACGAAATCATACTTAGATGCAAGTAACATGGAATTCATTTATGTTTTGCAGCTGACAAGCAATTATTTATCAGCAGTAATTTCTGCTGTATATATCTAATTTCTAATATATATATCTTAGAAGGGGGGGAAGCCGATAAGATAGCTTTATTAGAAGGCCCTCTCATCTGGTATGCAAATATTTATTCAAGATGACGCACAACCTGAACAACCCTGACCTCGTACAATTACTATGTTCAGGTTGTGAGCCATCTTGGTACGAATACTTCGGGAGCACCCAAATATATTTTGTCTTCATTCAATGGATTTTTTAAACAGAGAAGAAACTTGACTTACTATTATTCTGTTGTTCTTATATTGTATTGCGCAAATTTTTAAATTCAACTTTATTGTTACCTCAACTTTTAAATAACTTTTAGGTGTTTCTAAATCTATACGAAGTTTATTACAGGTAGGATATTCAAAATTCAGCGGGGATTTTCCAAGATACAATAGCCCACCAAATGTGAATGCTAATTCCTCTTGAAATCAGTCAGTGACGTGAAATTGGGTGTCACTATACACTGGCGGTGGGGTTTCACATTTATTTATATTTGAATCATCACTAGTGGGGGTTATACCTTCACTATGACAACATATTGTAAGAGGGCATTCTTCTTTTTCTTCTGGACAAGCAGTAGCTAGAAATGGTTCGAGCTGAGTTTCTTTTGTCTTGTCACAATGGTGTGGTTGAAGCAATGGTGTCGTAAGAATAGTTAATCGCTGAAAAACATTTATTCAAACTTGTGATAATATTGAAAGAATAATATTAATTCTATAGAGTAGTGGTGTGTGACCTGCGGCCCGCGGGCCAAATGCGGCCCACAAGAAAAACTTGTGCGGCCAGTGGAGAAGCGCCACTTTTGAATGGTGCAGAATGAGTTTTTAATTTAATCTAGTATGTGCTAGTAATTTTAATTTTATTGCGTTGCAATGCTTATATCTGAGCTTGTGCAGAGCGAACAACAACGCATGTCACAAGATCAATAACCAAAATTTTGGTGTCTGCAACTACTGGAAAGCCTATGTTCAGTAAAGGTAAGGCCAGCGGTTTCATCCAGGTATTTGTATCTGGCCCTCGTATATTAAAGGTTGCGCAACCCTGCGTGTAGAGTATAGAAGTACAATTAATCTAATATATGGGAAACATTTTCAATCTGGATCACTTAACTTCAAGTACTTGTAATATTGCTCAGTGGTGAATCTCTGGTTAAATAGGACCGGGTCGGATACGACTAATCAAACTGTTTCAACCGGCCCACTTGTTTCTGCTGACATTACGGCTATAGTTTTTATGGATATAAATTTCCGTTGAAAATATCGATGAAAAATACGTCATATTGACCCCGATTGTTACATTGTGCTTCTCATCACATAAACGTTAACCCAGCCCTAGCTGTTAAACTAGCAGTTATAAATAAACTGTTTTTCATTCATAATTTTCCCTATTTAGTTTTTTGAGCCTCCGGCCCAGTAAACAAGTCTATTATTTGTAACTGGCTCATTCAGGAAAGTAATCGCCCACCACCGGGTTAAATGTATTTTCTTACCTCTCTCAATGTACCAGGAGTAGTTAGAATCTTGAATATGGCAACAGCTGGAATGCAGATCATTGAAGATAACGCAAATCCCCATCCTAACATTATACCCCAGAATGGATAATGATATGTTCTATTGTAGACGAGGTTTTCGTGACTGACCCAAGTTGAAATCAGAATAACCTGTTGAATTGAAAAATATTAATAATTTTCAATTTTTTAAGAAGGTATTTTGCATTGTAAGTTTGCATTACGTGCTAGGCTGTAGAGTGGGAGCTTGGCTAATATAAATTGAGTATTAAATCAGGTTCAGTACGCCCACTCAACAGACAATTTAGGAAGGCTAGCATACGCCAGGGTTTTTGTGTCCAAAATATTGTTTATTTGTTCGGATTTGAGAGCAAGAATAAGAGTCAAAATTCCTTGCAACACGGAACAAAAATTGTTGTCCGGAATGCGAGCTGGAGTCATTTGTTAAATGACTCGAAGTTTGGAGTCGGTGCCGGTTGTCTTATTGTTATATTGCAACAATCCATTATGTACATGCACTTCAAGTCACAGGTTCTTATACACCTTGTCAAAATGTTTGATTATCCAAATCCATCTTAATCACAAATCTACTACAATCTAATCCTTAGAATTTTGTAAAAGAATTCAAGCAGACGTTTCAACTTACTAAAACAACAAGAGGAGTAACAAACATCCAGCACCATTTGATAACAGGGTTTGGTCGATATCCTATCATATGTTGTATATTGTCATAAAAACGATCACCACCTGAGAAAAATAAATAATAACAATCAGCGAGATAGAATATAAATATGTTGGAGATACTTGACACTCGGATTTAGTTTCAAAATGAAAACCGCCTGGAAATATCACAAATAGAACATGCGTTGACATTGACAGCTTTGGGATCAATTTATCAGCCTTGCGGTAATATGCAGAGTTCGCCTAACCACAAGTGGCTGTGTTGTCACTTTGCCAACCGCCAACCACATTGACGCACACACAGATTAAAAAAGAACAGTTGATGAAAGACTACATTTGCCATTATAAATACAACTTGAAATGGGTCTAATCGAGATATAATCCCTTCAATTTAATAAATATTGTTGTATTATTTAGCAATAACTTGCAATGTTTTGCCAATAAATTGATCACGATCCCCATGGGTGCTGACACACCCGGAAGAAGCAACCAACTACAACAGAATGTCAATCATTTATTAGGATTTACATATTTATCCAGGGTGTGAGAAAGGCCGATAGGACGGCTTAGTCATAAGGCGAACCTCGGCCTCGCATCCGGTTACCAGTCTATGTCGGGTATGGGATTAGTTAGCCAGTAATTTCTTCCAGATGCATGGACTTGATGGTGGAGGAAGCCATAACCGACCAGCGGTCACGTAAACCACACTCTTAGCGGCGAGGGTTCCAGCAATACTCACGCACATAATTATCCCCACATTGAATTCGAACCTGCGAACCAACGCAGGGTATCAGGGGTGTGGTGGCGACCAGTTCGTTCAACTGCACATTAATCGAATTGTTCAACTTTTTTTAAAAAACGAAATTCTTTTACGTCACATACCATATATCCAAGCAACGGTAATACATTCCCAGAAAGACATCCAAAGTAGGGTCATCCCACTTGCTGAATAATAGTCGAATATTTGGAAAACGTACATACCACCCTGTAACACGAATAAACTATTAGTCAACTGTGAAGATAATTAGTTCATCTATCACTATCCGATATGTGTTCGCAGTCTCGGGTGATTATTATTTGCTATCTTGTCCCTATGGAAAAAAGTGGTTGATGAAATCATGCCGTTCACAAACATCGTAATCTAAGTGCTGTCTCAAAACAAAATTAGAACGAACTTTCGTACGAACTGAGTTGCTGAACTGTAAGTCAGGTCGTTGGAAAGGCAAAATTTCAGATTGATGGTTGAGCTATACAGCGAGTCAAGGCGTCATTCAAGATGACGTATAGGATTCGTTAATCGCTTTATTCTGATTTATTACATGAAATAGAGAAAAACTAAAACTCTCACATTTTACAAAATTCTGTCTCGTCATACCTGGGTAACCATGGAAAGACCGACAAGAAAGCAGATAAAACAAGTAAATGCAGCAAATAATTCTCGTCTTCTGCGTAGTTGACGTGGAAATAAATCAGTTAGTGCAGTGATGAAGCCTTCTACACCAACGAACTGAAAAGCAATAAAAGAATATAAGTCGAACTCATAATATCACTGTGTCGAAAAAACATGTTCAATAGCAATTACCTTCTTTTGCGGAGCACACGTCGCACCCTGTTATAAGGCGCACTGTCAATAAATTGCTTAGACTGGGATTCTATCCATTATTGCATTAGCAATCAGCTTGTGTTAGCAATAACGTTCGTCTACTCTTGTACTAAAGCACAATCTCAAAATTGTTTTCAATTTTTAGAAAATTGACGTGTATTTTGAGAATAAAAACAAAGAAGGAGAATTACAAATTTATTTTTAGCCTAACATACCTGGCTGTCGAGTCCCAAAAGTAATATCATGAAAAAAAATAAACAGGACCATAGTGGCGACAGTGGCATCATAGTAACGCCTTTCGGATATGCCAGAAATGCCAGGCCTGGGCCAGACTCTGCCACTTCTGAAACAGGTACATTTTGTTCGTATGCCATAAAGCCCAGAAATGCAAAAATTGCAAAGCCAGAGAAGAAACTAGTGGCGGAGTTGACGATAGCGAGAATGAAGCAGTCCCTGGTAAGAAAAAACAACAATGGTGAACGGTTTTTAAATCAGGGGTGCAACCTTCGATACAAGAAGACCAAATAGAAATAACTGGCTGAAACCGCGGGTCGCAACTTTATTTAACATAGGCTATCTAGTAGTTGCAGGCACAAAAATGTTGATTATTGATCTCATGACATGCGTTGTTCGCACAAGCTAGCTGTTAAGGCATTGTAACGTCATAGATAAATTGGACTCAGGTACAGTCTTCGCAACACAAAGGAATTGGAAATACTCGCACGTATCGGATTAAAATAAATTTAAAACTCGTTTCGAGGGCCGCACATAATTCAAAATTGGCACTTCTTCGCGGGCCACATAAATGTTTCTTGAGGGCCGCTTTTGACCCGCCGGCCGCAGGTTGCACACCCTTGTTTCAAGTAAAATTTCCTGCTTTAATAATATATATTATATATATACTCGATGGTTTTACTACCGATAGCTAGATATTCTTCTTAACTAGTATTAACATTTTTAACGTTGTCTTACTTGTAACAATCATTATGATACACGTTGTAACTTCCAAGAGCAGACAAAGCACCAAGACCAATGGCGTATGAAAAAAATATTTGAGTTCCTGCATCAACCCAAACCTGAAAAAGCAGATCACGTATAAAAGATTACGTTTTCTTTTTACATTTAACCATTCGAACTAATAAGGACATTTTAAATAAAATACGTTTATAAAGTCTGCTGGGATAATATTTATGATTGGCCACAAATTCCCAGAAAAAACATCCATATTACTTTAAACGTAATATTTTTTTATGCACATTTAGACGGTAGAGATGTAATAAAGATAGAGATGTAAGAGACATAAAATAGATTAGAATACTTTTTTATACTATGCACCTCAATAGTCCTGCTGGCGGCTGCACACTAACACAAATGTATTTCTGTAACTAATCGTCTGACTAAAATCAGACTTTTTCAATATACCATGTATGTTTCATGTATGTTTTTCCAGCTTTAGTGAACCAACTATATAGGTCGTGGTTTTTGTACACTCAAATGAATTGTTTAACACAATTAGTAGGCTACCTGTCCCTCTGTTAACTTGGTCCAGTTTGGTTGCAAATAAAATCTTATTCCTTCAGTCGCACCAGGCAATGTTGAGCCACGAACTAACAGACAAAGTAGTACGACATAAGGGAAGACAGCGGTGAAATATACCACCTGAAATAAAACAAAATGCAAGATAATGCGCCAGTAGATTGCAGAAACCAATCAGTAATGTATCACAGCAAATGGATTATGGATGTTTACTCGAGCATCGATTTATTTGTTGACGAAAAGTGACGTGACAATAGATGTTTTGGCAGAAGTCATCGATACTCAGAATTATATAGGGTTGGGATTTCGGGACCAGTTTTTGAAATCCCGGTATCGGGATATCCTGGGTTGAGCCTTATAATCCTTATAATCCCGGGATTTTTCGAGATTAGGTAAAAGATTGAAACAACTTAAAATAAACAATGAAATCACATATTTATTTCATGTAATATTGACGCAGAAATATTAGAGCATCTAGGGCAGCGGTTCTCTAGCTTTTTTATTAGAGCATCTTGGGCAGTTGTTCTCAACCTCTTTTATATCGCGGCACACTATTTAGTTCTTTCAATATTCGCGGCACACCTATCACAAAACACAAACATTTTCTACTCATAAAAAGTGCGATAGTCAAACGCGAACAACTGGTTAATATTTACCGATTATATAAATGTTTTCTTACATTAATATAAACGAGACTTACGAGAGCGACTTTGGAGCACCTCACATTAATGTAAAAGTTGCAGGGCCGCACGGGTAATACGTGGTCTTCAAACGTTGTTATAAACAATTTTCACCGCTGGAAGTATCTTTATGAATTTTGTGCAAGGCCCGAACATAATTTGATGGCAAAGATCATAGCATTTGCTATATGTCGAAACGCTTATTCGACTTTTCAGACTGCAGAAACTACCCGAAAAACATAACCGTTTTTGTGTGCGAGAGAAATAATCGTCAATTACACCACGCTTTCGTGAAGTAGTGCAATTTACTGAATTTATGAAGGTTTTATTGAGTTTTATTGCATCAGTGTCTGGACTACCACGCGTTCACCAGATCACTGGCGTAATTACAGATCGCAAGGGTGGGCAAAATAGTATATTTTCATCAAATCGAAAATTTTTAACGAATTGTCGAATATCGGGTTGAACTCGAAATTTTATTCCGATTTTTATCTTATGGGTCAACTTTGATCTTTCTTGTCACGGTTTGTAAATTAACTGTCCCAATTTTAAGCTAAAATTATTATCCTTTCTGATGCCGGAATGCGGATATTTGGGAAAACGATAGTTGACCTTCTTGATTTTACTTTAATTAAAACCATGCAAAGTCATTGAGTGAAGCCGTGAATTCTGAATGCTATTTCAAGTTCAAATTATGATTAAATAAGTCGGCAATATTGACAATTCTACAGGTGAAATATTAATTCCTTGGTAAAATTTGAGAAAAATTTTGCACAATAATTCCACTCAGTCTGACTGACTCAAACTGTAAGCGTGGATGGCATTTTTTCAAAAAAGGTATTAAATAAAATGGTATAACCCAGGGGTTCTCAAACTTTTGGTGTTGCGGAGCCCTTGAAAAGGTTAACTATTATTCACGGAGCCCCAAAATAAATGTTAAAATTGTTACTTTCGGATTAATATTCCTGAGCAAGTTAAAAGTACTTTACTCAATTTAAATGCTGAACCTTTTTTGAAAGGGTTAATACAAGTCATAAAAAAATCTAAATTTCAAACATAAATTATATATACTAAAGCTGTAAATTTGACACTTGGCAAACATGGTCGAATCTTTTCCCTTTTGACATGTTTGGAAGACTTAAAAGGCCGCTAATAATGTGCGCAATTGCATTTTGTTACAATCGCCGATTTTTCCTCAGCATGGCGTATTTTTGAACCTTTAAACATCTTCACGCCGGTGTTTATTCTCCCTGATTCAAATTTCCCTCTGCATATACATGTATTGTTACACAATGACGACGTTAATGGCTTTTGTGTTCTCGTGGGGAATTATGAGTTCAATGTGAAAAACATGTTACCATATTATAGTCATCGGCGACGAAATGCTAAAAATAATAATTAATAAAGAGATAAATCTGCAACTCAAATTTTTTGATTAAAAAGCGGCATTCTGAAATATTAAAACTAAAACTTAAAATGGAAGATCACACGTTTGGTTTCAGCAGACTCACCTAGGATTGAAAACGCTTTTATAGACATTGCAAATCACAGAATTTGGTGTTATGTTAGGTTTTCATTGTAGTAACTGCGAAATCGAAACACAAGTCAATTGTGCGCGCGATGTAGGCTTACCTTTTTTCCCATTTTGAAACTACCGACGGAGCCGCACGCAATCAATTGTGCGCGCGATCCGCGATGTACCTTTTTTCATTCTGAAACTACCGACGGAGCCGAATGCAATAAAATAAATTTCAATTGTTCGTATTTTGCCCAGACATTGTGTTTTTTTAAAGGGCGATATCTTGCTTAAAAATAATCTCAAGTGCGAAAGAACAAATCAAGTTTGACAAATCCCAATATCGCAAATATACGACTCCAATTTATTGATAGTTGGCAGTTTATCACATATTTTATGTTATTTCAGAATAATATTCTTCCATTTTGGTAATCCTAATAGTAATCTCGAATCAAACGTGAGTAACGATGAGCACAATTACATTATAACGACGAGACACGTTAAATGCTCGCATTGGTCATGGATTGAATATTTCACACAACAGAAATCTCGTTATACGTTTTTTTTAATCGCGAAGAATGTTGCGCGGTAATTTCCGATTCCAATTTTGAACCACCTCCCTCTTAAGAATCCTGGCTGCGCTCCTGCTTATAAATAATGTCATTTTTTAATTCAGCCTCTTTGCCATATTTCGAGGCCATATTGTTGTCAGATTTTATCAAAGCTGTTAATGCTTCTTTAAACAGTTACAAAATTAGTCAGTATTTTGAAAGTAATCGAATAGCTCGCGGAGCCCCTGGGTTCCTCTCGCGGAGCCCTGGGGCTCCGTACGGAGCACTTTGAGAACCTATGGTATAACCTACCATTTGTGAGAATATCTATATGCGGATAACAAAGCTTCAAAATCCCGGGATTTTTAGGAAATAATAGCGGGATCGGAATTGAAAAAAAAAAAAACAGTCCAAATACCGGGATTTCGGGATCGGGATTTCCCGGGGTCTCAACCATACTCAGAACTCCTGTCACTCAGACAGAATTTCAGGCACGGTTGTAAACATTACCTCGTTTTCGTGTTTTTGCATGTTATTTGTTAGTTTTCAGTTTTGTTTTGGAAATTTTAGTATGAATCAAATAACTCAATGATCATTTTTTCTTCGTAGGAGTTTTAGTTTAATTGCAGTAATCAAAAAGTAGTCTAGAAATAGCTGTGATATATTAGGCTAAACTCTTGTACCAGTACTTTTAGATAAGAGGTTCTTGAATGTTTTGAATCAAAAAGGTGGTTCGAAACATATAAACCAGTTTATAGGCGCCAAATAGCGAAACCACTCTCAAAATAGGCATTTAAAATTTTGTAATGGTAAAGTAAAGGAATTTTCCGGGGGTGTGCTCAATTTTCGGACAAATACGAATTTTGTTAGGAAAGTAACTACCAATTGCCCGTATCGTCAATCTAGCGCGGATACCATTTTGTATAATTGAACATTGTAAAATTCTACATACAACTGATAAATCAAACTGTGTTGTTTAAATCAGGATGAATGGTAAGCTTTCTCTCTAAATCACAAAGACTAAGGAAATAACAACAAACCTTTCCAGTGCTTCTAACTCCCTTGCAAATGCAAATATAACAAACAGTCCAAGCCAACAGAAGACAAAGTACAAGTTGCCATCTTATGTCTCCTGGTTCAGTGATTCCAGAAGTTATTTGAAGAACTTCTCTCCTAGAATAAATTGATTTACGATTTGATGAGTAATTTCTTTTGAATGGAATTTGAGAAGAGATATACCAAAACAAATATAATGTCCGTTAATAATTTCTCATACCTACAGTGCTTAGTCTATTCTGAGTGGGGTCATTTACTTTAAGAAAAATGGCATAATACTACAGCATGTCCTTCAATTTCAATTGAAAATGTATTTTGAAATAAATTCTTGAGCATCAAACTTTAAATCGACGCCATTCAACAGAAATTTATGGGTCGTAGTGAATGTGATGAGAGATTTCAAGATGCAAGCCATTAATTGATACATATGGTTTGATACAAAGGCTCTGGGTTAGTACACACTGATACGTAGGGTCCATGTTTAAAAAAGCAGATAGTTATTCATGTTTGGCATTAGCCTACCCACTTTTCACATCACGGAAAGAGTGTTGAATGCAGGTTTTGCAACCAAAATCTGGAATCTTCAACGCCAACCAGATAGTTTCAATGTACTGGCAACTAGATATTAGGCCCACGAGTTTCTAGAGATATTTATGAGCGCGTTTACTTGAAAGCAGGCCTACTTGTAAATGTCTTCCGATTAATACAGGTCCACTAAGGGTTACAACACAAGTACAGGATATATGATCCATTACAAAAATTGATTCTTCCTTACGCGATATCCATCAAAGTGTAATTCTTACTCCTGTCGGTGTAAATCGTGAATTTTTCACTTGAATATATTCTCGCGGGAATGAATATCGATTTTTTATGTATTTAGCCTGAAGTTTGTTCCGAATTTCTTAAACAAAGATTGTGGTACTTTTAACGATTTTTTCGAATAATTTGTTTCAATTATATATATATATTACCAATTTGCAGTTGTGCGTGCAGGAATGTGGTGGATAAACCGTAGATCACATATCGTCACGCTAATAACCGAATTGCGTAAGTCATTTTTAGCGGTTTTGAGAAAAACGTAAAAACTTCCTAATGATATTGTTATGCCATTGAGAGTCAATAATTTGCCATGGATCAATTTTTTGATCGTAGCCGGATTTAAGTTAATTTGTATGACGCAGTTAAGTGACGTCATAATGGCGCACTGTGACTTGGGCAGAAATGTGTCTATGACTTGGGGACATTTTGCAACTTTACTATATGCACCAGTCCTGAAAACTAAACATTCCAAAAACGAACGTATTTCTCAGTATCTACAATGTCTAATACCTAAAATAGCTAATCAGTTTCAATTACATTATTTTTTATGTTTAAAAATATATATTTCATCAATATAGCACGTTCTGCACACCCACCGAAATAAGACTAAGATTAAATATAAAGAATAAAACAGCAATGCACCCAATATAAAAGCCAACCAAGGTGAATTGGACTCGGACAGTGAATATCACAAGTGCACGCCGTCCAATGCTGTAGTATAAATTCAAATTAATACGCGCTAAGCTAGAATCCGAGATGCAAAAACTCGAAAATACTTCGCAGAGTTTATTTTGCCTTTGTGACGTCACAATAGTCCTGCGGTAACACTGATAATTCATTATGACGAAACAATTGCACAAATGTTCATGTCATACTAAATCTCCATTTTTATGGGTTTCGGAATTCCCAAAATAAAATCTGAGTTAACAGACAGGTGCGCAGCATTACATAAATACCTATTTTATAAAAAACTCAAAATCGCCAAAAATGACTTACGCAATTCGGTTATTAGCGTGACGATATATATTTACTCCCGATTTCGCAACATTTTGCATCGGTACGTTATCTTGTCAACACACACAAATTATATATGACATTAATATTAAGTCAATGGTGCGGGAATCATTCTATGACTGTATTAAAACTTGTCAGTTGAAGTTGGGCCGACCTTTACAAAGCCGGGATCCGGGCGAAGAACAGTCTGATCAGAGATAATGATTATGTACAAAATAACTATTAAAGCAATTTTACTTAAATAATTTTACGAGCCTGGCTAATTGTAATGATTTACACCTAGAATAAGTGTGGGCCTATGGTAAAGTGCGAGGCCTACTGCGGCCGCATAGGTAGCAGTGGGCTTGTATATATCCTCATTGGCTGAAGCGAACCCTAAGCTGAAGTTCCCGCGCATTGTATTTTTATAAGTCGATTCCAAATCACTTTGGAATTCAATACTGATATATAAGACTATAATACTGATCTCACTAAACGACAGCTGTAACAGCTTGATTTGTTTATATTTAATTAACTCACCAAATCTACGCGGCTAGAATGAACACGGTGGCATTCTCAAGGTTAGTTGCCGGTAGAATGAATGTTGCTTTGTGTTGCGCAATAATAAAACTACGATTTGCTCTTTAACAAAGCTTTAGCTACCGGCACATAGCTCAGCAATCTACATGGAATTATGCTATTGTGGTTTGCTGGAAATATCACCCGAAATTGCAACATATTACTTTTAGTGCAGTTGAATCTTCGTGCAAAACATTTTTATGTAGTTGGGATTGTTTCGTTTCCTGCTTATGAGGCCAAATTCCGCCTACTAATATCAATGGAACCATGTAGCTAGCCTGAAGCTCATCGGAATTTAATCACGATATTGGCGATCATTACACAGGCACGACCAGTAAGAAGGACTGGTTACATGTATATAGCTAAGTATATTAATATTTTTTTCTACTTATCCACAACTAACAGTGGGATGTCGACTTCGTATGCCGGTATCCCTGGAGAGTTTCTAAGTGCATATATTGCTTCATTAAACCACGACGGCATTCCATCAATCATTCAGAATGTTAATTATTTTGAGTTAACTGATCGTTATGTAGTAAAAGCCTGGAAGCTAGGTTTGTGATAACGCATGAATACTTTATAGTGGTGGGGCGAGTGCGTAAATTATCAATCATTTTGTACTGTATATATATTTTTTGGGGGGTTTGAAAAAAAAGCTGAGTCCGAGTTCAAAAGTTTTGGATGCCGGAGACATATTGCAAGTTGCCCATAATGAATCCTCCCAGAATTGCTAACTATTACTGGGGTATAGCAATATAAATATTGTCGTCCTTTGGAGTGATTTGGTGCCAACAACACGATACTGGAATCAGTGGCGTAGCAAGACTCTCGTGGGCCCCCCCGCAAAAATATTTCGTGGAAATGACCCTAAAAACTCTCGGACATAAGCTAAAACAACGCTTATTTTATTTCGTCAAAGAGCATAACATGTCGCTATTAAATGGCAATGGTAACCTAAAATTTGTCGTTTATCTTGGGTACTTTAATTTTTATCATACGGGCTTCCTCTTCTGCCCCTTTTCTGCGTTTCTGTGCCCCACTGAGAGGATTTGCTTTCGACATCATTATGACAGCCTTCGTAATTTTGCCAGTGCGATCAAACCACAAGACGCGGAAAATCGACGCTTACTTATTGTTACGTAACAAAACAATTTGAGCAGAATTAACATCAACGTTATAAGATGTGCATTACTGGTTTTGCAATGCAGCTTTTGGCTTTGCGGCTTAAATTTCTAAATTCTAATTGCTTGGGCCCCTTTGTGCTGTGGGCCCTCCCGCGACCGCGGGGGTGGATGCTACGCCACTGACTGGAATAAGATTTTATCACAGAGTTTAGCAAAATAGAATAGCAAGTTTCCCTTGTCACAGCAAACTGTACTTTAGGTACCAATGATTGTCAAAAATATTAACCGGGTGTTTTCCGAGCATCGATTCTTGCATTTTTACAGCTATGCAGATTTTCAAGCATGTTTGTAAACATCAACTCGTTTTTGAGCAACAGTAAACAATAAAAATTACCATGAGTCGGGAAAACATGCCTGGCGACTGCAGTAACCAATTGCACCAATACCTTTCTAACATTAGTTGTTCATCTTTTAACATGTTGTTCTAGCTAGAGCAGTATTAATTACCCTTAGGATTTAGGAACCAAAATACTTCGTTTATTCAAATAAAATCATCCCAGATTCGTCGATTTAGAATCTGTTTTTCCCGTATATTTTCTTGTCATTACATTAGTGCTCTTAAAACGTACCGCGACCTTGAGCCCTCTCGCGACTCACCGGGAGGCCAGAACCCCCAGTTTAAAGAGCCATGTTCTAATCTAGATTATGTACAATGATGAACTATTCTCTACCTGCACATCTAGAATGCATTCAAAATGCATCCAGACATTGTGAAATTCTATTTCAAATTGGTTATGGTTTTTGATCTGCCTCTATTTTTATTGTGCCACACGCGATATTATAGTTACCGTAAGACAATATTTGAAAATATCTAATTCATATCAAGGCCAATATAAAACAATGCCAGATTCTGCAACTCGGTGTTATCACGGTAATGGTGCATTGTCACAAAAAATGTCTAATGTCCAATACGTTGTAAAATACGAGCATGCTTGATATCCTTGCCTTACGTTGGCGTTGCAGACATTTAAATAATTCGTTCTAATATACTTACTCCCAAAATTCAACAACAGGAGACGTCCATTTAGTAGTAAGATTGGCATTTGTGATGTTTGTCAAATTTTGTGATGATATTTCTATGGATGATCCGTTGAAGTTTGTTATGTTGTCTGACATCGTGAAATTGTTCGCTAAAGAAAATAATAATAAGAGTGAGAATAGTAACAGCTGAAGCATTATTTTTATTATTATTACCATCTATATCGGTGAACATCGTCTAACACTTGGGTGGCCTGCTGGTCTCCTTTAAAATTCCCAGAACTATTTTTCAGAGGAGCAGTTTGCTCCAATCATCTATCTCCAGTAAGCGATGTTAGTTCGCCAAATTCAAGTGGTAATTCAAGTCACTGTCAATAACAGTAGTTTCGAAACTCTAAATTCCCAATTTTTCAAATCAAATATTAGCCTCTTGGGTGTCGCTGTTGATAACTTGTTTTGGTTCGTCGTGGATTCCCGTCCTCAGTAAAACTGTGCGATTATCGTTTTATCGTAAGTTGTGTACGATTGATTTTTTTTACTGGTTGAAAAAATAAACTTGACTGCACTAATTAAAATAATAATTGCGAGAGTTATGACTACTAAGGTACGATATACGCGATTCAAAATGACTTATTATTAATATTATTATTAATAAAGTTGTTCGATGGTGATATATCGTCTGTGTATGATTCAACCAAATCTTTTAAAATAAAAACCGCAGGCCCGATTGTAGTAAATCGTTGCGGCTAGCCTGAGCAAATATTAGATCGCTTGAACTCGAAAACAATAAAACTGACCACATTGAGTTTCCGGCCTTATTGTTGACAAAACTAGTTTTAACTAGTATATATATACGTGTAATATTAAAGAGCAAAACTATAACAGCATTATGCCATATTTATAGCCGTGATTGTATTATCACAAACCAACGAAAAACGAGGGAATAATAATAAGAAAGTTTTTCATGAAATCAACAACAATATTTGTGTAATCCATAAACTACCTTTTGCCGAGCTTAAGTCGGAAATGCCCTTGCCCATATTTTAAATTCATTCAGTTTTCTATATATATACAAATACAATATATTAAGTTCCTATCTATATGACAAGACGTTGAATCGTTTCTCGGAGGATAACTAGTGCAATCAATTAACCAGTGCAATCAATTAGAAAATGCATTTCAACACCTCGCAATAAACTCAACTCGATAATATTGCGGTTCACTCCCAGCATAGGTGACCCATGTAAATGGTTATTCGAGTTCAATACGGAATACAACATCCGCAAAACATCAATCACAACTGATGACGTAATGTTTTCAACCTTTGAGTAATCAACCTAACAAATTGATGAATCTCATAAAGGATGCGCAATTTATTATGTTAAGGTCACACTAACTGGTTAGGCCTAATTTCGGTGCTCCCTAAGTATTCGTACCAAGATGGCGCACAACCTGAACTTAGTATGTGTACCAGGTTAGGGTTGTTCAGGTTGTCATCTTGGTACGAATACTTCCGGAGCGCCCTAATTTCGATAGTAAGAGAAAACATGTTTACCTCCAGTGATGAATTTGTAATCATTTAAGTTTGTCATTAATTACTTGTATGGGAAGCCGATAACTAGTAGATTATACGATTTCATATACGACGTATTGACTCCGAATATGGCTCTGTACAAGCAGTTGCTAACAAGTAAGGAGCTGCTGTAGTTTGAAAGGATTGAAGTATTTCCGTTTTGGCATTGCTTACCTAATTAATTACACCATGGGCGAATTGATGGACATGGGCTTCGAATCCGCGATTCTAACATAGTTTACTACTAAAGTGTATTACAGTGATGAGCTGGAAAATCGTAACAACCGGAACGCACCTGATTCGTGAAAATGTATTATTATATTTACAACACGTCCGCGGATGCTTACAGAAATTGTTGTTTGATCTAAGATAGAGCCAAAGAGCTACCTAAAAATATGAAGGAATTATCTGTAATATGTCTTTGTAAAATGACAAGTATATATATATATATATATATTTATAGCAATTGAATACAAATTTTAATCAAAAATAACTTGCATTGTTCTTATTAATATTCAAAATAAGCATGAGGAATTTTTAATTGGTAAAGTATAGGTAGAATTTTCCTTGGGTCAAAGGCCGGGGAAACATCCACTACACGTTAGAGCTATACTATAATTATTTGTCTACTGCGATGATGTAAAAATAATTATGACGTTACAAAACTTACAGTTAATAACTGAGTTCACCAAAGAAACTAAACATTCCATGACATAATAACATTTGAACAACAGGAATGCAATGAAATATATAACAACCGCAACGGCGCTCCGGTGCATTCCGGCTACAGCTCGCTATCTATATAGAATCTATGAGCAAAAACTGGATTTATTTACCTGTAAAGTTAGTGGAACAGAATTCTGTGTTCCATGGGTTGTTGCATGTTGACCACGGCAGTATGGATGTGAATGAGCGAAAGAAATAATAAATAGCCCACGTAAGAACCATAATGTAATAACAGTTGCAGAAGAATACGATGATCGTGGATGCAAACCCAATACCTAAAAATTTCAAAAGCGAGATAAGGTATTTTTGATTCGCGAATAAGTGTTACCGTTATTCACTTATGGTATTTACGGAATTTTACATAGTTTTGTTCAAAAAAATCAAAATTCCCGTTATCCTATTTGGGTACTCCTGAAGTATGTGAACCAAGATTGCGGACCGGAACGTAGTATGCGTACCAGGTTAGGGTTAGGCCATACTTTCAGGTACAAACAGTACGGGAGTCACTAGGCTAGGTCCTGAACTCGTAATAGAACTAAAATAAGAAAAATTGGAGTAAAATTATGGCCGAACCCTAACCTGGTACACATACTACGTTCCGGTGTCCGCCATTTTGGTTCACATACTTCGGGAGTACCCCTATTTGATCACATGGATAACTTTCGTTCCATTTATTTTGTGAAAATGACTATTTTTGATACTTTTGTTCAAATCAAGTATTACCAAATTGAGAGCTACTACAGAGTGACTCAAAAACACAACCAAAATGTCTTAATTTTCTTTAGGTAGATGAAGAAAATTTATTTATCACTTTTGCTTCTGTTCGTGTGTGATTTTATCTATAAGTTTCAGTAATCTAGGACGGCTATGCACAAATGTTGTGTACTCCCTAGAATATGTTCCAAATGGCCCGGGTTTTTTTTTTTTTTGCGGCACCCTGTTATATATACTGTACTTCTATTTATACTGGGACATAGTCCTATAGTATCTTGCTATTAATGGTCGTTTTGATAAATTCAAATGTGAGTCACGAAATTGTTTGAGAAATTTGTAACTTTGTAAATTCATTGAACGTCGCAACGTCTACCTTTCATAATTGGGCAAATGTCCCAGATCCCGAATGCCCCTTGCTTCATGAATTGGCCGAGTGATACTTCCAGGAAAAATACCGGTACTCCTCCAATGACAATGAAGAGACAATATGGTATGAGAAATGCTCCTGTGAAACAATTTAAATAGAATAATGAAAATGGTAAATCAGAGAGGTGGCTCTAAATAAAGCGGAAAAAACATTTTATTTTGGGATTCTGTCAAACCCCCACTCCTAACTTGAACCATAGTACTCTAGTTTCGTCTAAGACAGTTTTATCAATACTAAACGTGTGTGATTTGCGCACAATCGCTTCTTTTGCTAATGTTCATCTTCCTGATGAGAATTGAATGCTGATATAGTTAAGCTGTTCATCAACCGCCCGCTCTAAAAATATTCCATAAGCCAATAAAAATTTTGAGAGGAAAGAGACATGATACAACCCATACTATTTGAATTCTACAACTGAAGTCAATTATAAAACGCTGTTTTTGCTTTAGTTGTACCACATGTAATTTTATTGTTATACAGTGGAATACAAGTGACTTTATTGATCTTTCTTCAAAATATCAATTGTTATTATCTTTTAACATTATAATACATACCTCCTCCGTTTTTATAACATAGATAAGGAAACCTCCAAACGTTTCCCAGACCAACAGCAAATCCAATGCATGACATGATGAAATCTAATTTTTTATCCCACGTCTCTCTTTTTGGAATATCATTTTGTTGTTCTGCCTCTATATCTTTTGTAGTTGTTTGTTGTTCCAAGTCGAAAGGCATGGCTTCAGGAACCTGGAATGAATATATATAATTTAGAAGGTTACTTTTTGAAGAAACAACTTATATATGTAAAATTTATAAGCCAGTGCTTCATAGCCAGGTGAATGGTTAACCAATGGGCGAATAAGCCTGCAAACCTTTGTTTAAACCTTTGAAGTAATATTGCTTGCTCCGGGGAAAACAAAAATCGTTTTGGTGAGTATTGTCTTGTTCAAGTCTCCATTATATTGTTTGTTAATGTTTAATTCAAGTTAACAATTTTTGGTAACTGCGAAAATATTGATTGAATTAGGTTGTTAATTTTTGAGGGAATTTAGCCTAATTTTGGTATACTGTCTGTCGACCCCCCTCTAGCACCTGTCTCGTAGCATACAGATAGTTAATTTTAGTTACTACCAGTGATTAGATGCACTCGAATAACGTGTTTCGAATTCAAAATCATTTCTGATTAAATCCTAACATTAATATTATAACGAAAGTTCTAAAAGGCCAATTCGTTCAATTACAATGGCGTTACAGCGTCATGAAAACTAGTAATTGTTATTGACAATGGGATTATAAGTAAAATGTCCGTTCTGAAATAAATCACAATTTACTCCACTTACAAAGTATTTCGCCTCAAACAAGGCTTTAAAAAAGCAGTTTATAATGATCAAAATTTGTTGTATTGGCACAGCCGCGCCTCAATTCTACACTCACGGATTATATGGAGCAATGACCTGATGAAGGATGAAATCTCAATCTTTTACCAGCGATGGCAATTATTTGGTCAGCGCGTGGACTACTAAGCTAGCATGAGCGCTAGCACTACATTCATTGTGTACTATTAAAGGTACTCCCGTAGTATGTGTACCAGGTTAGGGTTAGGCCATAATTTTACTCCGATTGTCCTTATTTTAGTTATTTTACACGTTCGGAGACTGTATGTGTTATCCAATTGAATATAGCCCATAGGTTTCAGTCCCTTTATACAACTTGATGCAGAATAGGCGAACAAAATTAGTTACCTCTATATTGGTACACACACTTCTGGTGCGCCCTATTAAATGCACAATATGCGGCATATTCTTACTTTGTTTATGTCATTATCTCTTTCAACATCAGTGATCGCATCCAACAGTATCATGTCTCCTTTTTCGCCGCTCAGATATTCTCGGGGATCTGTTGAACCCATTATTATGATTCTTCTGTCTGTGTCTACTCCTGTTCTTGTACTGGAGTTTATTTCTGAAATTTGAAACATTTAAAATGCCAATTTTGTTGGTAAATTGCAATCGAAAACAATTGTTAAAAACTTGCTAAAACTGGAACCTCTGTCCGATGAACCAGTCTATGCCGGAATTACGATCTGCTGGAATATAAAAAAATCGCCGCCTCGGTTATTTGGTAATTTAGGGCCGTAGAACAAGTCTCTTTGTCTATCGTGGTTCGTGCTGTTGTGTGAACTAAATATAATATGCCGAAAATAACCCGGTAGTCGGTAAGTTGTTAAAGCAAAAAATACCCAGTCAATATTTATCGTTAAACATTTCGTTTCTGTAAATATTTTCATCAAATGTAAATTGTCAGAGATGTGTTACAATTTTTATCTAGTGAGTTGCCAAGAAAATCTTCATTTTCACAACTTGACAATTACCGCCATAGATGAAAAAATCCTAATCTGGTAACCTCGTGTGAAACAAACAATAGCACACACATCGTAAGGGGCGGGCACGGTTTTTGGAGCAAGGGCCAACATTTTTGCCCAGGCAGACTGGCGGGCTATGTAAGTGTGACGTGAAAGGTATAATTTATGAACAATATTTACAATGTTACAAAAGCAAAGGTGTGAAACAATAAACCTTGTGCCAAAACTACATTTAATCGCAATATCAACAAATTCCGTTAGCTATATTTAACTAAAACGTTGAAATTAATTTCAGATTGTTTGTGGCAGCATCAGGCGGGCCAGAATAAATTGCCCAAAGCGCCGGATTTGGCCCGCGAGCCGTAGTTTGCTGATGTCAGTTGTAAACCTTAATGCGAACACGATAAAATAAACTGTCCTATTTGCAGTCGTATAATGAGAAAATTAATTGCCGCCCGCCCCGGATGAATACGTTTATTTACATAATGTTATTTATCGAGTGTTTGAAGACCTATGCAAATTTTTTTTTAAATAATTATTTGTATGGAGTTGCCATTGTGTTCTTGTAGCAGTTGCTCAGTTTATTATACTTATAGTAGTCTGATTTGACAGTATTCTATATCAGTGGTTCTCGACCTTTTCTCCTTCGTGACCCATTTTCGTTGCGTAAAAATGCTATGGCTCCTTGGTCGAGAACTAGTGGGTGATCTAGATTCCAGATAGTTCGCGAAGACGAGGTCGAGTATTTCAATGCCGCACGGAATTCAAGCCCGCGTTTCCGCATTGGTTATTCGGCGACGCAATGTGAGAGCGTAACGTTACGTTCTTAGCACAAATTAATTATCAAATTTAATAGATTTCGGCGTAAATGATGGGTATGTGTGACGAAATCTTACAAAAACCCAAGCGTTGGATTTTTGCTCTCCCATAGTGTGTGTACCAGGTTAGGGTTAGGGCATAATTTTATTCCGATTTTCCTTATTTTAGTTCTGTTACGAGTTCGGAGACATTCTGTGTCAGCCAAGTGAATATATACCCCCTGCTCATAGGATTCAGTCAATTTAGACAACTTGATGTGATTGTGAAGTAGGCGAACAAAATTAGTTACCTCCATATTAGTACACACACTTCTGGAGCGCCGGATTTTCAATCTTTGAATTTTTGTCTATAAATTCAATTTTATTATTTTAGATAGTGAATGGTTTGATTAATAATTGACATATGACCTGACAACCTTGGCTGGGCCGAACTACGTGCAGTTTCTCTCGTTTGTTATATCTTGAATAAATAATTACTTTGGGACAAGGTGATTGTGACCTTCGTTAGGATATCACGTTCCAAATATCGTCGCGCGATATTTCGAAATCCCCTTTTGTACGGGAAGCAATCTTGTAAACGGATAAGATCGCATTCAAATTTTATCGAAAATACAATAGGATATATATACAGTAGAAACTCTACTTACGGTGGGGCTTCTAGAACGAATTAATTTCGTAGGTAGAGTTTCCACTGTATGTGCCACGAGCATAACTTGTCGATGGTACCCATAATAAATATATTTAGCAAATTGTGACTTTATTCTCAATAGAAAAATGACAAACAGTACTCCTTAAGATATAATTACAATTTTAAATTTCGTAGTAGCACTTGTATTAAATTCAAAACACCGGTACAATGTGTGCAGGGAGTACATTTACTGAATGGTTAAAATATCATCGCCTGACAGAGCGGCGAAACACATATCTATCAACAGTCTCCATATCCCATAGTACATTTCTTGTTCATTTGATAAAACTATGCATTATGGCCAGATCGAAGTTTTTAATGAACGGAATATAGCGTGGAAGGTTTAACCAGGTCGCATAGGGGTCCGTGAATCAATTTTACGGGGACCGCGAAGTGGCTTTGACACAGAAGAACTAATGTCAGAACTTTTGAAGTCTGTGCCAGTACAGTGTTTCTCCAAAATACGAGATCGAATTGAACCAAGTACATGTACCATTGTTTATAGAAGGCATGTGCACCTCCTGATCGTGAATTGTCAAAAATTTAGTCTAAGTCTTAAAATTAGAAATCAATTCACATAACATGTGGATGCACTGAATTTGTCTGTTGGCTGAATTATGCGAAGAAATAGATTCAGACTTCAGATGGTTTTTAAACGAGTAAGTATTGAAAATGTTTGAGTATATATATATATTTGAAAAAATTCCCAATTTTCTGCAAGAAGCTAAACGTGAATCACGCGAAAAGTTCTCCGATGTTTGTTTTTTGGTCTGCCTGTTTTTGATACCAGCTATTAAAACAAAATTCCGAAACATAATGAAATGAGACATAATATGAGTGTTGCACTGTTCCGAACAGAACCCCAAAAAAATGAAGCGCCGGGGGCCGAGCAATTGCACCCATATCATTGGAAGGTAATAATCATATGCATTAAATGAAGGCTTGATACCGTGCTGCTATTCAGAATTCTCTAGTGGACCGCAAGTTTAAAAAAAAATTGAAAGTAGACCGTTATGCATTGTTTTTTAAAGTGGACCAATGATTAAACAAGTGGATAAATATCGAGTTTGTTTTGACAATTGAAATTGCTGTTCCTGAAAGAATCAGATATACCTACGGTACTTCTCGTTCAATACTTGAAAATATCTCCCAAATTAGTTTGGTTTAAATTGAAATATGTGAAAATGTGATTTATGCTATACATGTATAAAGTGAAATAAAGAAGTAAACTTACATTTCAAAAATAATAATTTTTTTTATTCTGAAAAAATCCGTTTTCTCGAAAAATTTTGGTCCTTTGGATTTCTCAAGATATTTGAGAATCTGTCTTCTGTGCTTCCTTTTAAAAACAATCAATGAAACACTTGAAGGTGAACAACTTAAAATAATGCATTTCCGTTCATCATTCTGTCCTCTGGTTTAAAAAATGACCGGATATGGAACGAACAGCTTCTATCACAGCGTTGATGTCCTGTCCTTGGTGATTCACCTATTTTAAAATGACCTCTCGGGAATACTTTCTCGAGGACAAGCGTTCTTACTGTTACTAGTGATACTATAAGTTATCTATATCTAAAATATGAAACGATAAATGGACTCTTATTGTAATTTTATATCTATAGAACAAAATAGTTATGTTCGACTGCTGTGTGACATCACAATAGGAAGAACATGTTCTGTTCTGAAAGTATATTGCACAAGTCGTGGGCTTCTTTTGTCCTGAACTCAAGCGACGATATCAAAATAGAATCATTTCCAATAAACAATAGAGTAATAGAATCTGCCGCGCTAGATGCCGGTTGTATAATATTACCTCCACTGAAGCTATTTAAATCGTTACAAAGGTATCTAAGATAAGAATGTAATTGATTTGATTCAAAAATATGTGAAATGTTTGCAGTTACTCCTATTTTTAATTTCTGAATCTAGTTTATGCTTCTAACCAAATGAATGCTTAAAACGAATGCTATTTTCTTGTGCCAGAGGTATATTTTCAAGAATGCAAATTTTAATCTTAGCAATTGATGCTCGAAGGTAGCAATCGAAAGTTAGCGATAGTGAATTATAAACGAGGTTCCGTTTGCTTGGCCTGGTGTTTCTGTTAACCACCGATAGTTGCTTCTCTTTCAGTTGGTCACGAATGATTCGCTTTTACTTGGCGTTCAAATTTTATAGTAGGTCGATCTTACGACGACGATTACTCTTTCCATTCTGTGCCTACGTGACAAGTAACTGCGCCTCCTACCTCGATATAATTATGTAAACTCAGCAGTGACATACAAAAGACTCTAATTTGTTAAAAAAGCGTATACCGAATTACCAAAATTTTGCCGTGAATCTCATAAAAAAGATACATGCTGTTTCTGTTAGACATATCTACCGTGTAGATATCACAGTTCTGTATAGTTGTGTATTTGTGGAACTCTCATGTAACGCCAAGCGTGGCAATGCATATCATGAAGTTATGTTGATATAATATTTTTTATAACATGCGAATTTTGGTGAAAGCGGCAGAAGAACACGATTTGTGTAAATACAACTGCAATCGTACTCTGGCTGCGTCACGTCTCTGCGACCTTGCCTTGTGTCCTGATGACGTTAAACGGAGTGACGTCAAATGCAACAAATTATATATCCCCATCGCAATCCATATCGAATCGATATCCGAATCGCGTCTGTAGTATATATTCAGTTTTTAACGAGGGTTTTTATTACGTTTCCGCTTCCCCAATATAATCATTGGTACGATATTACTATTATTATATATATATCTTAGTGAAATATCGGCGGAAATCGAGAACACTAATCGAATACTATAGACTACAAATTGTAGAGATCGGTACAAACTGCCTTCAAAATCGGTATATAATGAAACATAGTATAACCCGTATTTTACAAATATCGAAAAATAGGTTAAAATTTGTTGTTCAATTTTCATCTGAATTTATGCGCAAACGTAGTGTTACTTTTATCTTTTCCTAATAGTGTCTATAGTTGAACTAGATTTACTCAAAAAGATTCCTAGTTCATTACATAGCTCAGACAATAACCTCTTTACGTCAATTACATTCACTTCTCTGTCGGCCTCATGGTGCGCTCAACACGGCTACTCAAGAAGTTGTGTGTCGGTACATTCTTTTTGCTTCGCCACTTCACATGTCTCAATCAGAAAATTTGAACTGTCGAGCACGGAACAATAATAAAATTAGTCTGAATCTGACAATGAATCTATCGTCTACAGTCGATCTTAGATGGCTACTTTTCCAAGAATTTTTCGAGAAAGACTCAACCAATCTTTGATGTGCAGTCTATTTTAAAGCTGTTTCTGGCACAATATCCTCTATCATGTAACAATATTAGTCTACCATTTCGAATCAATTTAATTAGATCTCATTTGTTACAGCATGGCTTACACAGACACAACATCGTGCAATAATATTGGACTACCACTTCAAATCAATTTTATAAGATCCCATTTGCTGCAGCACTTCTAAGCGAAATCCGGATAATCGCATATTCGCTACGACATGATTACGCAGCTGTTATATTGCCTGTATCACCACATACCGATAAGCTACGTATCAAATTATTCGAGGGCGACAAGCCAGCGTGCTAATGACGTAGAGGTCAAACATGATCATAGCCTAGTTTGAGAAGAAGCGGATTACAATTTTTGCCAGCATAATCTCACCAATTTATATTACATTCGGCCAATAGCATTGAAAACAGAATGGCAATTCATATAAAAATGAAAATTTCGAATTTTGAGCCATGTTAAGAAAAACGCGCTTGGAATAAACTAAGAAACTACTAAGAAAGAGTCTTCTACACGCGCATCATCTAATGTCAACTTCATTAGTATTGAATGGAAAGAAATTGCCGGTTCTGTAGCCTCTACATTCTTTCCGGTGAGTTCAACCATACTCTAATTAACAATTTCAATGACTGATTGGTAGGGAGGGCAACTAATTTCACTTCTATTAATATGCATACATCATCAAAAGTCTGAACTAAAAATTCCGTTTTTGCCATGTTGAACTGAATGTTCTACGTGATGTCGACTATCATTATGTATATCTTTGCTCGCCCAACATATTACATAATGGAAAATATAGAAAATAAAATTGCCTTACAAATTTTAGTAATTGAAACATCTATACAAACCTCATATGTTGTCTTATTCATACTGCCTGACTCGCGATAGTATCCTAAAGACTGAGAGCTGTTTACCGCGAGTACTGGAACTCAGACATTATCGACCTCATACTCGAATAGGGATGATTTAGAAAAATTGAAACTTTTTTCATTATTCGTAATGAGAAAGGCGTCATCTTAAATTAATTTCGTATAGCGGCGTATAAGACAGTCATCGGATATTAGGAAGCTTGGCATGACCGAGGTCAATCGTGAACGAAAGGCAGAGATGGATACTCCCCAAACGAAAAAATGGAATCGAGTAGAAAGACTATGCAATTTTCGCCTTACAAAAACTTGCACTGAAATGCAAAGTAAATAAAACTCTAATTTAAGCCCTCATAGAAAAAGTAAGAGTCTGATAACAAACTGGCTGCGACCCCCAATACACTTAAAACTTGTTACATCTTCACAGCGCGATGAGTTGATTTGGGACGTAAGTTGGCCAGTTCATGTTGAGCCAAGTGAAATGTCTGGCATTCAGATAAATGTCCAGAATGATTTTTAGAAAAAAATTTCCGGAGCCATTTCCACAGATGTCCAAATTAATTAAACATTTAATTACTGGTGCAAAATCTTAGTTTGATATGACCCTGTCGCCTTTTAGTCATCTTTGACTCACTCATGCGTTCTTTATCCAATATAAAACGCTTCCTCCAAAATGGATGGTGCGCGTGATGACCGGATGGAAAAGTCAAACAAATATATAAGCCACATTTGTCGACGAAAAATTTGTTGCAAGCCTGGCGCTGATTCAGAACGAAGGCCGCCTATACAAAATTTGAGAATTCACACAGAGTTTCAACTGACATTTCAACGCAACGCAAAAATTGATGGATAAAACCAGCCTCGAGTTATTGACTGGACTATTTATCAAAGTCTCAAAATGCTCGAGTAATTTAAGCGAAATGACACGGACTCATACTCAACTAAACGCCATTGAGATTCAAGTCAGTGATTGATTCGAATTCTGACTAGATTCGAAACTCGGATGACCGAGACTTGAATCTAAGATTTTACTCAAAACGCAAGAAAATCTTTTGCTGGTGTGATTTTATACAAGTAGTGAAACTCAATAAAAATTATATGTGACACGAATTGTAGATGCCACGAAAGCAATAAATATCAATCTATGCAAGATTTGAATCGTTATGTAAATACCCTTTGGTCTATTCTGTTATATCAAGTTATCCAAATTTTATTACACCGTCAAGGTAAACAACTCAAACAATCGAAACATTGTTTTGTCGACGCTTTGAACGTATATGCAAACACACATTCAAACAGCTCAATCTAAGAGTAGAATGTAGATTTTATTTATATACAGTTTCTAATAATTAAAACTCGCTCAAAAAAGTTCCTTATAATCACTATCCTTGATTTAAAATCGACTTCCCTTCTAACTTATTATTTATAGAAATATCAGTCGCTTCACTAAAAAAAAGTCGCACTCTTTCCGGAACAGGCGGCAAACACATAAACTAATCGATGGAAATCACGTTTTGTTCATCCATGAATAAATAATGCTGAAAGCAACACCAACGAAAAATATTTAATCAACAGAATTGACGTTATTCTTCTCACATTTACAAGCGTCATAAAGTCCAATGAAAATTTAATCAGCTCTCCTGGCTTCTCGTTTACTGGCATTTATCGGGCTAAAAGTCGTATCGCAAAATCAATATATTTGTAATGTTTTCCAACGAGATTTTCTCGTATTAAGTTTACTTTTTCGTTTACAGTTACACCATTGAAACATACAGCATTGTTGAAATCATAAACTAATTAGAGGATTTTATATATCGACGTCAATCGACACTTGAATGAAAACCTACTGTTGAATTAACAAGGAAATCGAGAAAGATGCCGTTCAAAGCTTATGTAGCCTAATAGAAAAAGGTTACATCTAGTACTACAAACTGATCCTAATATCTACAACTTTAAATTAGTATATACATACACGTCGCTAAACTAGCTACCGGTATGTAAATTAATTTCATAGTCAACATAATATTCTCATTTGATGAAAATCACTATATATTACTTCGTACCTACCTGCTGAAGAGTATTTTCAAACTATATCAGATATCGGAAATTTCGTAATTTTCGCGCCAGGTTCTACGAGTCGGAACACAACATTCTACCAAAAAACATTTAGGCTCGCAGAAGCCAAATTTTTCCTTATAGTGGTCGGTTAACAACCCAGTTTGGAAACGGGTTGTGGTATTGTCGCGGACTAAAGTGTCCGCGTTTATATTGTGTGTGTATATATATTTTTATGTTTATAAACTGTTATGTTGACCCTTATTTAATGCTGTTTTGTCGCATTTGGACTCCGACCACTCACTACATGTGAGGCAAAAACTGTCTTTCGATCTCTATTCTCCGGTCGCTGCGCTGGCGGCCGGACATGTTTTCAATTCTTTAGTGATGTGTTCTATTATGGTGTTTTAAGTTTGATATTGGAGTTGCCATACAATAAACTACCAATCCGGAACCTTTAGTCTTCTGATTCATCTACAACCGCGGTAGCAACATCTCCGTACCGTGACAATATGCCTATAATGCAATTCATTTCGAACCCAAATGTAGACAGTTTATTATGAACACAAATGTTCCACAGCATAATTCTCGATGGAATTGGGCGTCTGACTTTCATAGGATTATTGTTCTCCTTCATAAATCTACCAAAAAAGCCATTGCGTCAGAATCTGGTAGAGATAGGACTTCCGATTATGCGAAATGGTTTATCAACATCATAAAGGTTAGAATGTACTTCTGGGGTTATATTCGCCAGTTTAGAACTCCCTTGATTTCATACGGCTAATATAAGATAGACAATTCATTGCATTTTAAAATCCGTTTAAGATGTTTATTGTGTGCGAGCGGATTTCTGGACAGTTCGTTTTCGACGAAGCATGCAGCGAATGTGGGCATACGTTCAATATTTTTCCTGGCGGTAGCGGAGTCTCTTTTCTTCCATTCCGAATCACATTTCTTATCGTAATATCTTTTTTTCTTGCTCTAAACCTCCCTACTATTTCCTTAAACTTGGTATATTACTCGCTGTTTTTAACTTCACAACTTGTCTTGAATAATGTTTCATTTTCCCCCTTGACTGCTATATTAGTTTTCTCGTAGTAGAAAGTCACTTTTTATTTCATTCCGATTCACATTTTTCATCTTAATATTTTTCTTACTTTAATCTTTCATATTTTTCCGTGACTGCTCTTGCATTTTATTATTTTTTCCTCGCAGTAGCGAGACACTTTTTTTTTCATTCCGATTCACATCTTAATCTTTTCCTTAGGCCTCTTTTTTTGCTTGCGGAACGCAACGCCATCTATTTATTTCCGCAACTATGCTTTTATATTATTTTATCCTCTCATGTCTGATTGTAGTTCAAGCCAGCGTCACTGATTTATTGTATTTTCACTGCCACTCGGGGGCATCATTGACTGACGCTCCGGCAAGCTTCGCTAATTTTTCTATTCGTGCAGGCTGTTTTTTTCCGCGGATTTCTATTTTTACACCAGCCCCAATGGCTTGTTTGTTAATGTACGGATGGATAGATAATGTATATCTCCTGGAGGATGTAGGGGGCTTTTTCTGTTAGTGCGGACTTTTATTTATTATGCCAGTGCGTCGCCACACTCCCGATAGTACTCTTCTTCATTAATTAACCCTTTCACCGATTTCTATCATCCGTTTTGAACTCTGCCCCAATCACCCCCGCTAGTACTCTTATTCATTAATTAACCTTTCACCGATTTCTATTATCCGTTTTGAACTCTGCCCCAATCGCCTTCCTCCCGCTGATCACCTTTATATTGACTGGCTCGTTATAATGATGATTTCCTGGATGGGATTTTTCTAATAGTGCGGTCATACTTCCCGCCAGTTGTCGGCGATGTATGTATTTCTTTCACCGATTTACTCTGCCCGTTTTGGTCTTTCTTGTTGGGTGCTGCTCGCTCTCGGCTCCCCTTTTCTTGCTTGCCGGCCGGCCCATCTCTTGGGCCAGTCTACCTTGTTGTCGCTTGCTTGCTCCTCTATCTATTTTTTTTTTTGTATTAGTGCGGACTTTTGTTATGCCTCTCAGTCTGCCTTGTCGCTTTCTTGTTGGGTGCTGCTCGCTCTCGGCTCCCCTTTTTTTGCTTGCCCGCCGGCCCATCCCTGGGCTCACCAGTTTACCTTGTAGCTTGTAGTGTACCCGCTTTGGTCTTTCTTGTTAGGTGCTGCTCGCTCTCGGCTCCCTTTTTCTTGCTTGCCGGCCGGCCCATCTCTGGGCCAGTCTACCTTGTTGTCGCTTGCTTGCTCCTCTATCTATTTTTTTCTATTAGTGCGGACTTTTGTTATGCCTATCAGTCTGCCTTGTCGTTATCTTGTTGGGTGCTGCCAGTCTACCTTGTAGTTATAGTGCGGACTTTTGTTACGTCTCCCAATCTGCCTTTTTGCTGCTCGCTCCTCTATTTATTTTCCTATTATGTCCTTTGTTTTATGCTTGATTGCCACAATCCCACCAGCGGCTCAGACCTGCCCCCTCGGCTTCCTCTGCTTACTTGCATGCCCTTTCTTCCCTCGGCAAATTCCTGCGGCTCGGTCTTCCCTGTTTGCTGGCCCATACCTGCGTTGTTGGCTGCTCTTTTCTCGCTGGCTATTCGTCTCCCTTTCCCCCCTCGGCTTCCTGCCTGCCTGCTGGTCCATCCCTACAGCTCAGCCTGTGCCCTGTTGGCTGCTCTCCGGCTCCCTTTTCTCCCTCGACCACATACCTGCAGCTAGCTCGGCCTTGTTGGCTGCCCCTATCACTTGCTCTTCAGCTCCCATTTTGCCCTCAACCGCCTGCCCTGCCTGCAGGCCCATCTCTACATCTCCGTTTACCTTGTGGGGTTCGAGCCTACCGTCATAACTGGCCTAATATTTTACAATGTCCCTGCGCCACCGCTACTGACGAGGATCGTGTGAATCAGAATTTTACTTAATTAACGACGTTACGCTTGGCAGCCCACGACGAGACTACCCCGAAAATTACATTGAACATACGGAGTTGATTGGAAGCAGTTGTATTCAATATTCATGCCCGTGAGGGCCGGGATATCCCGTTTTGAAATTGTGGTTCATTTTAGTTCACTTTTATTAAAAAAATGCGTTATTATGCAATCATAGCGACTGACCGCCTGATCTCTGGTTTACTGTTTCTTAATTTATAAAACATCTCAGTTCACAATTTTCGCGGCGTTATGCTTCTTTACAAATTGAAACGATATCATACACATTAGGATTGCTAACGCAGGCAGTAAAAGAGGAAACGCATTAAATTGCGTGTGCGATGTGATGGGTTACATCAGTATATATTTACGGTTCCATTACATTTGAACTCACGTACATTTGAACCTACGACGATTGCACCTGCGTACTATTTGCACCTATGGATATTTTTGTTGTTTCACAGATATTTGAACACATACTAACTTTAACCCATGGGCTTAGCACCCGCATATAGATTGAACCCGCGAAAATACACATGGATTCAAATGCACGGTCACCGATGGGATGTACTATTCATTCTTAGGCCATACGTTATTTTTTCCCCAGATTCTGATGACATATACGCTACTGGATGTGAAGTAGGCTATTACTCCATTCCAATATTAATGCATTCCTTATCCTATTGCATGACGTGTATTGAAATTTCTGTGATGCACCCTTTTCCTTGGTGCCCGAATCACGTGCTTATTTTGCTTAATGGTTCTTCTGTCACTGCATATGCCCACATACACACTTTTGAATCAACCTTTTCAAACATGCAACGGTTTACCAAATTTTCTGACAAGAAAAGAAATTTTGATCCGATGACAATAAACTACTGTTTGAATTTTCATCAAGTATTTAATGAAATACCCTTTTATGACTTATTTCCTAGCTCCGTTACTTCATAATCCTATAGCAGTCAGAGGCGTACTTCGGTCCAAGCGCAGTTTTTCAAACCATCCACATGCCTGTGACGAGTTCTGGAATTTGCCCTCAGCGGCTTTTTACATTTTCAGACTTTACTCCAACTGGGCCTCAGATAAGTAGGATGAATTTCAAGATAAATCATGTCATGGAACTGTATATTCGATTCTATTTTATTTAGAGAAAGATCAAAAGAACAAGAACGATAGAACATGATATGGTTTTGAAAGAAAATAGTACGTGTTTCACGTCAATACAATGGATGAATATAAATGTGGAGGATCCTGAATCTGATAATAATTTAATGATAATCCAAAATTGCCAAGCCACACCACAAAGAAAATCTTGGTCTTTTTTCCAAGAAAGGATTTTTTGAAACAATTTATGATCGGAGAATCAGGATGTATTTTAATTTTCAACTTGTAATATAATGAAGGCAATGGAATTATGGAAAGGACGCATGAAGTTCAAGAATCATAATCGAAGATTTTAATAAAATTTACTTCCAGTTTAAAAGAATTTGGAATCAAAATACCAACCCTTAACCTGCCCAAATTTTGACAAATTTTTTTTTTTAGGAAAGCATAAACCTTATTAATTTTCTGTTTAAATTGTTGAATTATTTGGCCATCCTCTCAATTTATTCTACACATTTAAACTAAGCTCCCATTTATAAAGTCTGAACTTTGAGTTGTGTGATTTTGAAATTTACATAAAATGATATTTTTGTGAATCAAAATTGTTTAGAAAAGGAATTACAACTTCTACATGTGGGAAAATAAATAAAAAATCCAAAAAGACACGGATAATTATTACCATTTCAATATAATATGCTCACTAAAAATAAACAAAAAGCGGCCAAAGTTACATATATGATGTTCACAGTATACGTCTGACGTTCTGAGGTGTGGGATGCCTTTGCGTGGTGAACCTCTTTTCTCATGCGAGACTTTGTTTGAAAACTTGAATGTGAAGAACACAAATTTCATAACATGTAACAAGAATAATGATTTGGAAATGCTAGGACATAAATACAAACAATTAAGCAAATAATCTCTAAAAGCGGAATGGCAAGACAAAAAACATATAAAAATGTACACAACCCAGAACAAACAAATAGACCAATATAAATGATGAGCAGAGTACAAAATGCAAGTTTCCATCGTCGTCATGAACCTAATTTATATCTATCATATACTTTCCGCTTATCATTATTTGCATCATGGGCAACGCATATTTTGCAGAAAGTCTCACATACTCACAAAATAAATAATTTTTACAAAATTTACGTTATGACATAATGAGAAATAAAGGTCGAAACATGCATAAAAGTCAACAATGTCCCCTTTGTGTAGGTTGCTCTTTGAATAATTGACAAAGTGCTTGCTATAAGCTGTGTTCTCAGAGAGTTTGTTGAAAGATGTTTTTCACAAGGTCCTTTTCGTTCTTTAATAATAGCTCTCTTTGATGATAATACTCATATAAAGTCAGTGCATAATCAATTCCAAAGCAATGTTCAATCAACATGTTTTTGATAAAATTGTTTGAAGAAAATAGGCCAATTTATTCAATTTTCTCTTTTATAAGTTTAGGAATGACCTTTGACATCTGGCCTGACGTAAGATAGGTGTCCATAACCATGGTCGGAAGTATCGGCGCAAGAGATTTAATCATGCGATCTTGAAACGAACCGACAAAGTAACGAACTTTTGGTGATGGTGCTGATACTGCTTCCACGAGAGCATGAAGTACACGATTTGTGTTGCTTAAATTTGGTGTGCCACGATTTTTCAGTGTTGAAAAGGTTTCTCCTTTCACATCAGTCACTGAATCTGTTTTGGGATTAGCTTTTTCACCATCTAGCGAAGATTTTAAAGTTGACGAAGCAGACGAATATCCAGAAGTTGCTGAGGATGTTGTTGATACAGGAGAACCATGCTGAGAAACTTGTTTTCGAGATGGAGATGTTACAGGAGTTGAACTTGGCTCCCCTGTACCAGCTGCTGATTGACTGTTAGCAGTATCTGTTACCGTATTTATGAAATCAACAAAGTAGTCATCACCATAAACATCTCGTAAATTCTTAGGAACTGTTCCCAAACTGATATTAATGTTTGATTCACAAAGTATTGATTGTCCGACTGAAAAAGAAATACACAATTAAGATAAAAAAGAGACATGAAGACCTTTACATCAGTAATTTTTAGGGAAATTTTTTCAAATCAAAGCTACAAGCACTCACTCAAAAGCGGAGGATTGTTCTCTGAACAAAGTTACACGCAAGCTATCGTGACTATAAACAATTGTATTAGCAAAATACATGGTAGTACTAGTAAATACTGATTGTTGCGAGACTTAAACAGTTCACACAGTTCAGGTCAATACAGGGTTAGTCCGTTTTTTTGATGACACTAACAAACAGTCGAACTCTTGACTCTTACCGGTAATTAACAAATGGTCATGTTCCATTTTTAGAACTATTCAGTCACAAATTATGCAATGCCAATACATTTAAATATGATATTAACCAAACTTTCGAAGTACAGTGATATTTCGGTAGTTGAACGACTCGGTACTCAAACAAATCGGTAGTCTAACACCAACCCTGAACAAATTAGGTTTGACTTCTGAGGTATCACTGTAATATCAATAAAGACCGGTTCGCACTATTTTGGAGTAGTAAGTCTATAAAAGACACTAACCTGGAAAGTATGCAGGCTCCACAAGAATAACAAACACTCCCCATTTCAACATTTCTTGCCTCAAAGAATCACTAAATGCTTCAAGTGCAAACTTTGTCAAAGAATAAGCCGACTGACCAGCACGTGCCAGGCATCCTGAATATAGAAACATAAAATAAGTACATTTACTATAACAGGTAAGATAAATTTAAATATTGGTTTTGGCACACGTATTAACATCACTTCACAATTAACGCATGGCAGCCAAATTATTCAACAGGATATGTGTAATCTCTATTTATGAATTTTTGGTCAAGTTGGCATTGAATAAGTATATTTTAAGAAGTTTTGTGATAATTCACGATATTTCAAGACTAGCTGCATATGGCAATTTAGTTATTTTAACTTGGACAATGTTGTGTATCATCTCAGGATTAAGACCAAGTCAAGTGACCAAATTGGTCGTCATGGCGATTTAAGTCGTACTTTGGCGTTTCTGGATCATAAATTTGTCTCCCAACTGGCAACAAACAGACAGAGGGTCCTCGTGCCAGTCTGAAAATAATTTTAACATAGGCTAATTTTTTCGAAACCATGCATTAATTATACCTCCTAGTTTCTTGGTGTCGTGTTCCGCGGGGCAAGTTGAAAAAAGCATGAGCGTTCCAGGGAAAAAAAGTTTGAGAAACGCGAATCTAACCCTGTCCCTAGGTGTTGTAAATTTCCTTTTTAGTGGCTCCTTAACTAGCAGTGACTGCCTGTACAGAGCCTCATTCAGAGCAAAAGTATAAATATGTCATATAAAAGAAATACCTGCTATGCTGCTCAAGTTCACAATTCTTCCTCTAGCTCTTCTTACTAGATGAAGTAGGGATTTGGTTATTCTTATTGTACCAAGCAGATTGACTTGAATAGACTTTTCATAATCTTCGATGGGACACCAATCTACTTCTGCAACACTGAAAACCTCGGCACAATTAACTAAAGCCCAAACACCTGAAAACAATTTGAAAATAAATGGGTATTTCTAACTAAGTAGAATTACTATACAAACATAAGCAAGCACCATAAGGTATTGAAAAACACCGGTACATTTAATGATTTAATTCAGGGTTTCCCAAATTGGAGTTCGCGATCCTGCAGGGAGGAGGGGGTGCAACAAATTTTAGGAGTCGTAAAGAGTACACCAATTTTACACAAAGTACTATATTGCACTTTTTCAGACATTTGATTCAAAACACAATGTTTGAAACTAGTTCAAGACATCAAACTCACGATTTGGAGAGAATACATAGGACTAGAGAAGCAGCGCGCTTGCATAACAATCCCGACTTAACAGGGTCGTAAAAAATTTTAATTTATTGGTAGGGATCGCCAGCCTAAACATTTGGAAGCCCTGAATTGATTAAAATATAGTAGGCTATTTTTGTAAGGTTTGTTTATTCGGTTTGTTATCCATATGGTATGACATGATTCACATACGATACTTGCATTGCCAAACAGTAAAATTTTTTTGACGAAAAGCACGGCGGAAGAACGTTATGCGTTTTATTATTATCAATATGAGCCTCAGTTAGTTAGTCGAGACTAATTACAGCAATGTATTTTTTTTTTTTAATGGTTTTGCATAAAAACACAATAATCATAGCAATGGACAAATATTAGAATCACAACTAAATATTTATTTGGTCACTCCAGTAAATTATTCAATTTGTCCTGACTATTTATTGCAAAAACACCATCTATTGACTTTAAAAATAAAATTGAGTCAATATCAAGGCATGAAGATATGAAAAAAAATAAAAGAAAACGAATTTTTCACCTTCCTCCCCAACAGAGTCTTCGATCATTTCCACGGCGTTATTAATCTCATTAGGTTTGGTAACATCAATCTGTAATATTGCAAGAGCTGTCGATCCCCTGGATGCAAGAGATCTTGCTCCAACACTATTACAGTCTGTGCAGCCAGCAAATACTGTGTATCCTTGTTCATCTAGTCTCAATGCTAGTTCATAAGCATATGAGCTTCTGGTATCACACCCTGAAAATTGATATATAATGATATAAATATTCTTAAAACGTAGGGTGTATATTAAGATTTAAAAGCCATTTATCAATTTGGTACTACTAGTGTGTGTACCAGGTTAGGCCATAATTTTCTTCCGATTTTCCTTATTTTAGTTCTATTACAAGTTTCGGGACTGTCTGTGTTAGCCAAATGAATATACCCCCTGACTATAGGTGTCGGTCTCTTTACACAACTTTAAAGTAAATTAAAGTGGCTGAACAAAATTAGTTACCTCCATATTGGTACACACACTTCTGGAGCGCCTAAATTTGGAAATTTTGAAAACTCATAATCATCCACACATAGCCTATATAACAAATAATGATATTTAAAAAATAATAATACTAAGTTCCTTATGGTTTCCATCAAAAATTAATTTCATATGTTTGAAATTGAAGCATCTGGAGGTTTGAGTGTATTACGGTAGTTCAGTAAACCTATTGCATACAATATAGCTCGGTTTAAGAAAAAACTAAACCATAGTGAATGACGACTCATCCCGGATTTCCAGATGAGAAACGAAGGCAGTTGACAAAACAAATCATTTCCTCACTATAAATATTCTACTTAAGTAGGCGGTACTTTCCCAGAACAACATTACAAAATAATATTGCTACTGTAAATGTCCTAGCAAGACCAATATATTACAGGTAGCAAGAACAAAGCAAGATTTGTCAAATAAAAAATATAGAATTATGAAAATAATAATATAATATCAATTGCCATTGCATACCATACTCAAGACGGAGATTGAAATACTTTTAAGCCTCCAGCCTAAAAAAATATTTTTTAATATACTACAACCCCTTACCTGTGATAACCACAGTTTTTTGAAGCTTAGCCATCAATATTTTTTTTCATTAAATCTCAGTTGCTATGAAAATATCATTTATATATTGATTGTATATTACACCTGTCAAACATGTGATATATTGCATTTAACAACAATGTGATAAATATCTGAGCACAAACACCGAGTCAATTGAGTTGATGAATGTGCAATTGCATAGTAACAATAGCAAAAAATGTGGTCCAATCACAAGCAAGCATCTTTGATTGTGTATTATTTGTTATTGTTGTTTGAATCCATTTGAGGTATACAAACTGATGACCAATGCCCATCAATTGAGTTGATGAATGTGCAATTGCATAGTAACAATAGCAAAAAATGTGGTCCAATCACAAGCAAGCATCTTTGATTGTGTATTATTTGTTATTGTTGTTTGAATCCATTTGAGGTATACAAACTGATGACCAATGCCCATCAATCTAATTGGCAGCCTTCGATTTAACATATTACATGTTTAGCCGAACAAATACATCTGATTCTCCCAAAGTCAGGAATGTTCAAAACAATTGAATATTCAAATACATTTTATATACCGTAGCAATTTCACGATCTAATAATATTAAAAATAAATTAAAAAATATTTTTTTCAGCATGTATTCAGAATAGTAATTTATTCAATTTTCTTGTAGCAACTAGCGCAAATTAATCACAAGTTGAGGTGATAATATAGCATTCTGGAATATGCATACGCAATTGATTTTGAGTTTTCAAGATGAGTGACAATAAAATGATAAAAAATATTATAGAATAAAAAATATTGATTCATGCTTTTGCATATTTGTCTAGTCATAATGGAAGCAACGAAAGTCCACTAACAAGAAATGTCTCAAACATGACTAATTATTATCTAAAACCGCAAAATTTCAAAAAGTTATGGTAATATTTTGCACATTTTAAAATCTGGTTACTTGAAAAATATATTCCTCAAGATAACAATTATCATAAATCAAAAAGTTATATATAGTTCTGACAAGTTAAAGTAGATCAATATTCAGATATAAATATATATAAACGCGAAATGCAAATAAGATCAATGTAATCATAGCGACAGTCACCAGTACGGGACACGATGGGAAGGAAGTGATGATGTAATACGACTGTACAAAATCATGTTGTCATCACATTTAACCTGTAGCACGAAAATTATAATTTGTCATGACTATTACAATTCAAGCTATCTGGCATTTATTCATAGATTACCAGTTTCATGGAAATTAACTAAATTAAAATTGAGCATCAGTTTAATAATTTTTTGAGCATGATCAAGCTTGAACAATAGATAAAGCACATTTACAAATATGGATTTAATTTCAAGCAAATGCTTTGCAAACAAAAACAGTTATAACCAGATATCAATAACAAATTACATATAACCATATTTATTATATAAAATCTTTTATGCTATTATTATCTTTATGCTATATTATTATAAACACTTTTATGCTATCTAATCTGCAAAATTGAATTGGAAAATTTTCTGTTGATCGGCTAATAATCAATGAATTAATGATCAATGCATATAGATTGTAGATAGATATGAGTGGATGATGCATTAGGATTACTATAGTTATTGAACTTTATTCAAAAGGTTAGATCGAGCATATGCAAAGGTTGATGGTCTGTGTCAAAAAGCTTCATATAAAAGAAACAATGTGTTATGTTTGAAAATGCAAGTTGGATTTCCATAATACAATACAATTTATACAACCATAACTTAGGTCTTATAAAAGTAACCATGAGAAAATTGACAATTTGCAACAAACTGACAATACAAAAATTTTGTTTGCAATGCTGCAATGATACAAATGAACTGAAATGCATAAAAGTATAAAATATGATTAAAGTTCATTGAGTCAATTTTTTACGAATAATATGTAGAGAGATTACAACAGACAAGCTGATCCTTTATAAGAGATCTATCTAGTCTATATTAAAACATCTAATTGAAAACTAATTTCACTGGCAATGGACAAAACTTATTTCTTTTCACTGCAAAACACATCTTTCTGTCTTTCTTTGTCAACTAAAATGTTAAAACAGTAGCTGCATGGTCTCAGCAATATTTATAACAAAATTCTGAAATTGCCTCAATCTATCGAAATATTTACATACGCTATTTTCGATAATAAACTAAATATGGAAATAGGTGTTGAGAATATGCAAAATGGGGATAGCGAAATTTTATGACTCTGATCACATGACCAATTTCAATGCTGCCAAGATCTTTCGTCAGACAATTGAATTATATAGCCTATAACAATAATTAACTCAACTGATTAAAGCGCATAGCACAACTAATTTGCCATAGATTGACATAAAAAATGGCAACTCCAGAATTTAATGCACTTCAGACAACTTTACTAGTGTAATGATTTATATCGTACCGTATGTCAGCAGAGTGTCGACAACAAGCATTTATTAAATGTTTTTCTTTTGTACATTTTAAATTTGGTATCATATTTTGATATTAAAACTGCATTATATTCGACTTCACGTACTATAAAAACAGCCAACCACTCCGACGACCAGCGAAAGACTAAGTAAACGTGTACATGGGCACGAAAAAAAATGCCTTGAGATAACAATATACTTTGGCTCCATATCACCACCTACGGTACCGGTAACTGTCCTAACTTGACTCGATTCCGAGGTGTCTGCTGCAAATATCTTCGTTTGCTGCAAGCATCGGTAACTGAATTTGTAAAACAAATGCTCGGGAAAGCTTGCCCTCTGTTTGCTCTTTGTTCTCCAGGACTAGGGTGTTCTTGCCCAAAGGATTTCCGAATTTTGGCATATGCGTTGAAGTAAGTTTTCTTTTTTTTTAAGTTAAGTTTTTAAATTCGGCAATCTCATGTGTTGGCTCCTGCGGTTCTGTGATGCAACCGTGTCAACTACGGTTCTAGAGCTACAACTAATAATCGGATATTAGTGTTCGATGATTTCTTTTGCAACCCTTACAGTTTTCGTATTAGATGGCATAATAATGTTAAGGAGAGAAACCTTTCACATATAGGCTACAACATTTCAAAATAAATCCTTTTAAGATCCCTGAAAAGTTGACGAAAAAAAAGACAAATTCAAAAATAAATTCTCTTACATCAGTACCGTACTAGGATTTATTGTATTGAATAAGAAAATTTAAAATTGTTTAAGTTGATTTTTGGAAAATTAAAGTTTGAAAAATAAGTATCATTCTGTTATGATTTCGAATGAAACAAACGTATAAGTGGCTCGGTGATGTAGCGCATCGTGCTAAGCATTAAGAATATGTTTGCTGCTGCACCTCTGCTTCGACCGCATTTCGCCATCCCTAATCTGCCACGCTTCGACCGCATTTCTCCATCTCCAATTTGACTTTTCGACCCTATTTTGCCTTTTCGACCCTATTTTGCCATCCCTAATCTGTCACCTTTCGACTGTATTTTGCCATCCCCAATATGACTTTTATGCTACCACCACTATAGTATGATTAAGCCATCTTATCGGTTTTCCTTTCCCCCGAGATAAATATGTAAATAAGTGTCTTCTACCCTGCGATTCAATGCAATTTTATAAATTTTTCTTAACTGATATAAGCAATTTAAAAAGGAGTCATTTTTTTGTATTCTTGCTATAACAGAAATTTGAACCTAAATCACTCTAATTCAGCGGTTCCTAAACTATGGGTCGCGACTCGCGACCCACTGGTGGGTCCATCCTGTATCATCTATTAGAATGAAGTCATACATTGCTTCAATGTTTATATTCTAAAATAGGTATTTATCTTTCGCAGACCATTCTCAACTATGTCACAATTCTCGAGACTATCAGATGATGAAATATTAAAGAAAATTCAAAGCATCATTCCACCTCTCACGTATGAACAACATAAAGGGCAATCTGGTTGTATTGGCATCATCGGAGGCAGTGAGGAGTTGGTTAATTAATATTTAAAAATAAATTTCATTACTCAGCTTATACTTGAAGTAATATTAAGATATTGTGTGATTTGAAATTGTGGTAACTTCTGAGTGTGGAATGTCAATTTGCACTCTATGAACGGTACTCCTGTAGTGTGTTTACCAGGTTAGGGGATAATGTTATTCCGATTTTCTTTATTTTAGTTCTATTGCGAGTTCGGGGATTGTCTGTATTAGCAAAGTGGATATGCCCCCTGCGCATAGGTTTTAGTTCCTTTACACAACTTGATGTAAAGTAGGCGAACAAAATTAGTTACCTCCATATTGCGCCTATAAACTGTGTCATGCATAGAGGAAATGCTTTTTTGTTGTATTTGACATTTTCAATTTTTCTTTCTAGATACACTGGAGCTCCATATTTCGCAGCTATATCAGCATTGAAACTGGTATGTTTACTTTTGACTTGAGATAGCATTTCAGTTCTGTCCATGGAAAGCAGAAGGCTGATGAAGATCTCATCTACTTATCAGTCTGGGTTGAGTATAGATTTGGTTATTCAGATCTATTTGTTGAGATGCCTGGATGCGGCGATAAAATATTTAAAAAAATTTATGCTTCGAAACACTGTTGAATATTTCATGATCTGTAACTGATTTCATCATCGGTAGGCCATCTTCGTGTTAATAATATTTTTTTTCTTTATAGGGTGCTGATTTAGCCCATGTATTTTGCTCGAGATCTGCAGCTCCTGTAATCAAATCGTACAGCCCTGAACTTATTGTCCATCCATTTTTGTAAGCTGAAACTAATGTTTGATATTTTATATGTTGAAATTGCGTACAATCTAAATGTTTTATAAAATATAACTCTGCATAATTTAATTTCATTTGGCATAATTCTAAGTAATAATGTTATGTGTTACTGTGTAACTTGGCATATGTTCAACATATTTTTGCCTTCCAACGTACTTTTGACTATATCGCCAAGGACCCTCTATCCTTTTGTATTTTGTAAACTGACATGCTGTTATTAATGTGTTTTAGAAGTGATGATGAAGCAAGCGATCAAATGAAGGAATGGATTCCAAGGTTACATGCTGTTGTAATAGGTCCTGGACTTGGTAGAAATCCTAAAATATTCAAAACAGTTTTGTCTATTATGGAAGAACTAAAAAAACAAGAAAAACCTTTGGTGATTGATGCTGTAAGTGGATTTGATAAATTATTACTAGATTGCAGTTTCACACTCTGAACGCGTTATTTTATTTCATAATACTTGTGATGGCAGCATTTTATTGTAAGTGCTGATGACTTTGATTCTGCATTAAAAGTTAATGTAATGTTATAAATGCCAACAAAATAATTTTGATGTAAATGTTTGGGATGCGAACTGCCATTTATTTATACTTTGATTATAATAACTATCAGAATTAGCAATTCAAGCTACCCAACATTGGCCAACAAATGAGTCTCTTTAATTCGTATTTTTTTCAAATGCAGCAAAGTTGTTTTATTCACTCCACATTTCCTCTACTTAATCATGGCAGTAGCAGTGCAGGTAAATCTATCTGATATCACAATGCGGCTGCACCTATTCCACTTCATTTGGATAATTATTTTTCCTTCAAATAAATTTTCCGTTTTCTAGGATGGGTTGTTCATGATCACAAATAACCTTGAAGCAGTGAAAGAATATAAAAATGTTATCTTGACTCCGAATCAGGTGGAATTTGAAAGACTTTGTCATGCAGTGGTAAGTAAGTATATCTCTCAAATGTATCTATGTTTTCAATAATCTTGAAGATACTACAAAGGACTGCGACTACTTCACAGCAATCTGTTGGGTTACTGTAAATTCCGCATATTCTATTACCAGTCAACACAAATTTGAATCTGTTCTGTCTGCAGACCATTACAGTACAAATATAGAAATTAATTTTAAATCAGCATTACGGATTTCACAATTACTTTCAGGGATGTGACACCAATTCAGACATTGATGAGAAACAATTAACATTGTCAGTCAGTAAATTATTAGGAGGATTGGTCATTGCCAGGAAGCATCGACATGATATTATCACTGATGGAGTCGATGGTAAGAGGATTCTTATGCTTTAATGGTACTTGAAACTAAATATTCAAAAATTATGCCAAGTCATGCCTGAGTATGGAATTTTGAAGGGCATCCTGATGTAACTTGCCACTAAACTTTTCCACAACACCCTATTGCTATTGTCATCAAGCTTTTAAGGGTTTTGAAAAATTCACACAATCCTGGAATGGTCTGCTTTCAAATGATCTCCAACATCTGTTCAAGATTTGCACTAGTTGTTATAGTGGCTCAAAATAATCGGGAATTCTGCCAAATGTTATCTAGTTTCCCATCGTTTGAAATGTAAACAAAAGTTATAATTATGCTATGAACACATTTTTTAGTCCTTGAGGTCAAAGCAAATGGAAGCCCTCGAAGATGTGGAGGCCAAGGTGATCTTCTGTCTGGTGCAGCAGCAGTGTTTTTCCATTGGTCACTGAAAACATCTTTCGGTCAAAAGTATGTGAAAATTAGTTATTTGTTGAGATGTACAACATACTTACACTGACATGCAATTTTATTTTAAGATCTAGAGAAGTTTCAGGATCTCACCCAGGAGTTCTAGGTGGATATGCTGCCTGTTTACTTTCAAAACTTTGTGCTGAATCTGCTTTCGGAAAATATGGACGTTCAACTACTACCACCGATCTCATCAATGAAATACACTTTATATTTCAGAAGCATTTTGAAAAACATACTCAAAAACTGTAATTTTGAATTTCATGTTGACTCTGAGGAAGTGTCGGGCTCATGAATTTAGCACCAGACATGACAAAAAGGGTTCCAAATTTGTTCCGCATGTATAGATTGATGCCTAAATCAAAAGTTGAATTTTTGATGCGTATCCAAGATATTTTGTAGAGGAAATAGAACATTCATTTTGAATAATTCTGGTGTTTAATTTTTCAATATGGATTTAAATTCTACAATTAATGAACATCACTACTTGGTTTAGTCATGAATTTTATATATATAATTCACATTTTATTTTATCTTTATAATTATGATATGTTGTTAAAAAATCGTCAATATCTGTCTGACGGGACAAGACTGAGAAATGAGGTGGGCGGGGTATGCTGTAGGTTGCCCATAGAGGTGGGAGAAGTGAATCTGGCATGACAATAGAGCTGTTCATTTAGAATAGAATGGCAATAAAATCACGAGCTTTTGCCATTTGTTAGGTAAGATTAAATAAGAACTAAAAGTTTGCCTCATCTCCCTGAACAACTGCACTGTTTTTTGGTAGCGCAGTTTTGTTGAAAGATCAAATTTATATTAGCAAACTAAATATTTTTGCATCGGGTTCACCAATATGTTTATTTAGACTCCATAATCGGCTTAAAAGACGAGAGAAAGATAAAATCAGGATAGAACTTATTACAGACGGAATCAGGAAAGCCAACAAAACCTTAGTAAGATTCAAAACGTGCAAGATAGATGTTGGATTGAAAGGTGTTGTCGAAAGAAGTGGTACATGTTCGCTTTAGACCCGTTCGGGAGGAAGAAACGCAAGATGAGAACATTCAAACTTTTTTATTTACTGGAAGTATATATAGCATCGCACGAAGTATTTAGCTTTGGTGTATCGAGGTTTTATATATATATATATATATATAAACAGTTTGGGAATACGCTATGACCCCGGCGGAGCTGAGGAAGAAGCTTCCATCATAGACAACGACCATTTTTCAATCTATTAATTAGAGAGAGAGAGAGAGTTTATTTCATTTTGTCAAACCAAGAAAACAATTTATGCACACATAAGCAAATATCAGAAAAATAGTTTTCGGTATATGACTGGGGGGCAACGATACGACCTTTGGGGGTCATCAGAGTCAGTTGCCACCCAATTATATTAAATAAGCATAAAAATAACAGGTTCGTGTCAATATATCAATGTCTCTCACGATTTATACTATGTACAATATTTACATGAGTTTACTATTTTCAATTATGGAAGCATTCTTTTAAATAATGAGATTTTGCACAAATTGAAATTATATTGCAAAATATAAAATGATCGAAACGAAAAAAAGTGGGAAAGCAGGTCAGACAAGCTACCCCTTATTTGGGTAACTTGTTTTATTGAATGAATTTAAGTTAAACATATCAAGTGGGATTTTGAACAAGCAAATATGGGTAGAGTGCTATTCTACACACACTAGTGCAATGTAATCAGAAGCATGGGTTGTGTCATCAAAACAAATTAGAATTTGGTTTAAACAACAAAAAAATGCATTTCAAAATGCAATACATTATAAACTTTGTATAAACAAACAATCGATATTAAAATATCAAGAAAGTTAATGCAATATTACCAAACCTATCAACATATAAGTCTAATAAAACTCAAGTTTCTAACTGTTGCCCACATATTTAACATCTTGAGTAGTTGATATCTGAAATTGAATCTGTTTCCAGCTAATTTGAGCGGCGGTGAACTTCTCAATTTAAATAGGAGAAATTAATGTTCGCCACCATGCGACGCGGTTTGATTGACTTTGTTTGATTGTGTTGCTGGGATTTCCCCGAGTGCATGCGGCGAACGACAGTTCGCGCTCGACTTTTGTTTCCGTTGCAGGGTGTTTGTTGAGCAATCGTATTCAAAACGAATAGCAGTGATCTAACGATCGAAATTCACAAACAAAATGTCTGAACATTCGGTTTTTCCGAATGATTTAGTATTTGGAAAATCAAGAAATGGAATTGTCAAATTTGCTGTTGTGGAACAAGTTGGGGGTAAGTTAAGTCTGCAATCTTAGCTTACAGTCTTGCAAAAAATGTACAGTGATTCTACTTTGAGTAGTTTGTTATAGTTGAAAATTATGTTATGGGTCAAGAACAAAGTATTATTGCCCTACCGAATCAGCATTTACAGATATTACTGGCCATACAGACACGTACAAAATAAATTATAACACTGTAACATGCAAATAACAGCTTAAATATATTTTAAATTTGTCCGACTCAAATTTTCTCAAGCTCAATGACAAATAGAATCATGATCTCAGAATTTAGCGTTTTTGATTTTATCATAATTCTAAAATAAGATTGATATCATCTAATATAATAAAGTAAGTTTACTTTACTTCGGTTATAATGCAGGTCTTGACAATTTCATTGAACCTCCTTTCAATACTTTGCATAACTCTTATCACATTTATGCATTAATTATTTGCTTAACCATTTACTGTAGGAATGGATGATTCTGAAGAATCATCAGATTCGGAGTTTGAGGATTTGGCAACGACTCCTTTAGATAAAGGATTCATCAGAGTTACATGGTATCCTGATGGTAAAGATGAAGTTGTAAAAGAATCTCAGGTACGAATCACAACATAACAAAAACTTTATAAACATTTTTGAACGTTTCACGGATATTTTTCATGTATATTTTCAGCTTCAAGTTGTTGATCGATCCTGTCTTCCACGAGATGTTGTTCGTATAAGAAATGGGTATCAGGTATGACTTTCAGTCAATTTTTGAATTAAAAACGTGAAAGCAATTTTGTTACTTCTGCCTATCTGGAGAATTTTTTTCTTCGTAAAATACTCTTGATTGCCTGATTGCATCGACTTTCAGTGAAGTCAGTGAATAAATCGTTAAATGGAATTTAACGGCGCAGCGGTGTGGGGCAGTGTTAACTCTAAGCGAATTATGAGTGCGAAAGTGCTTCGCAGTCGAAAAAAAAAGTGCGAAAGTGCTTTTGCCGATTTTAACAAGTTAGGTGCTCTAGCCTTTCATATAACCCATTTAACACGGCATAGATACTCGAAAAAGCGCTCCTCCGGTTAATATTATGAATTAAAGAGAAGCCTTTCCGTTAACAGAGTTCCCTTTAAGCGAATTCATGTTTAATTAAAACAAGGGAATTCATCGGCAACGAAAAGACATCATCTGCTAACACTTGCCGCGAACAAAACTTTCATGCAATGTATCACGGTGTCAGTTGCTTACTCGCGTGAACAGCAAAGGCTTCCTTTTAAACTTTTTTCTTCGAAATATTACACAAGATCACTTTGAAAATCCTCCCGTTTCGTGAGCTAGCGTGACCTAATTTCTCATTTACATTTATAATATACTATTTCAGAGCTTACCCAAAGACAAGTAATTTTTAAATGTCGACATGCCTTGGTTTGCGTGCGAGTTAGTTTAAATCAGACAGAAAACATCATATATTGGCAAAATGTTTAGTAATGTCATGTACTTTCAGCATTCATAAGTAGCACTCTTTGTAATGCTGCTGACCTAGTATCAAATATTCGCATCACAACGCCACTTGCGAGGTTTCCATATATTTCAATTACACTAATAGGAACGATGACACCAAAGAGTTTTCTTTTGCGAAGGTACACGAAATATAACGAGGGTGATTCTTGAAAAAAACATGAATATAAAAAATAAACGAATGATATGATAGTGGATCCCAAATAATTTTGAGAGTGTCTCGAAATACCAATCCATTTGATAAATAATTTTTATTCGACCACATGAACGCTGATATACGCATTCTCAGATATCGGACATCCAGTCGCGATATTCAATCGTTCATATGCACAAATCTCACATTAATAGTAATTGCTACCCACGTTTGTAAAGTTTAGAAACCAACAAACAGAAAATAACTTATCCTAAAACACAATTAAAACTCAGTCGGCAATAAATTCGTCGCCAAGACGATGCCATACAAAACAAAAAAGATTTGGTCGCGAGAGTTACGTTAGATGACTGCAAAACGACGTTGTTTTTTAAGCAGAATGTAAAACAATCAAATTAAAAAACGGGAGTTACGACGCCCTTAACACATTGTGTGTATTAAACTTCCCTGGTAAGTACTATTATTATTGTACTTATACACCTGTTGGAGTATTTCGGACAATTTCGAATTTAAAATTAATGAAAACCCGACATATAATAAAGACGCAAAAGTAAAATGAACATTTATTGAAAAAGTTATTATTTAAGAAAGACAACATGATCGTACAATTCCGCCCAAACCTCGACGTTCGCAAGTGAGATGATAAATAAATACTTCCCTGTATTCGAGCAATTAACTTTAGCGTATCGTTGTTCTGCCAACAAACAGCCGGGTGCAAAATATTTCCGTCCTGTGATATGCTCACAAATATTCTCGATATTAATATCATACCCTCGCGTATGTACTTTCTATTAGCTCTTTAGTGATCCCTTCCATCCTTGGCCAAGTCATGTTTCGAATATGTGAACATTTTATTCGACCATACATGGCCGGCGGGATGTTAAAATTGTAAACAAGAGAATCGCGAATTTCGTTTTGTTGCGCCTGTTATCGTCGAAAATGATTACCGGTACATTTGTTGTATTTTGAGGCATTTAAGCAGTAATAATTAGGGCATGACATCATCAAAATCGTCAAGTGAGATTTTGAAATTGCAAATTCCGTAAATAAAATTGTGAATTACTCGGTAACGAATTCAGCTTCAATGACCGTCGGGGTATTGTTTTGTTGAAAATTATAATTAATGTGAGAGCGCCAAAAACATACAGTCCATACCGATGCGACTGCAATTTATATGGCCGCACTTGGTGTGGCGCGTTTATTAATAGTGTAAAATAAATTAAACGAATATCAATTATAACCAAGCCTGTCAGCGTGTTTATTTTCTGTGGGCAAGAATCGTAAAATACCATCTTGAGACAAATTCACTTCTATTATAAAATCTAATTTTTCAGTTATTATCGTTTTACAAATAACGTGTGGCAACTTTTTAATTTATCGTCGACCAAAAAACCGCCCCACACTCGTCCAAACGTGTGTCAAGCTTGACCGACAGGAACAGATTCATCGACGACCTTAATTAGGGAAAATATGTATTTTGTTGGGAATGCAAAATAAATGTAACAAAATGCATTTTTTTGTGATAAAACTTTGTATTTTCGGAAACGGATTGCCTTGAAGGGTAAAATTTGATCTAAATTAATCGCAAAAATGTTTTATTTTAAATGTAACAAAACACATTTTGCGATATAACCTTGTATTTTCGAATACGGGTGTCCTGAAAAATAAAATATGATCTAAATTAATCGCAAAAATGTTTTATTTTAAATGTAACAAAACACATTTTTCGCAATACAACTGTATTTTCGGATACCGGGTGTCATGAAGAGTAAAATATGATCTGAATTAACCGTAAATAATGTTTCATTCCAAATGTATCAAAACGAACAAACAAACAAATGAACAAACGGGTAAACCCGAAATATAAAACTTCGATGTCCGCCGACCCGCAAGAATTCATATTTGTAAAAAAGAGAGGGCGGGAATATAGATTAACAAAACCTGGATATCGCCGCCAAAACGATCGGTGACAAGAACAATTAGCGATTACAACGGAATTAACCAGTAAAAAGGCTTTGTTGCCGATTTTTTAATGTTTCAACCGACGTTCCAAAAATATTTGTTATTCGGTACTCGTTAAAAATATTCAATTCAATAAAATATTGAATTTTGCCCACCCCTACTCGCATATCAATGAGAAATAGTTGAATAGTGAATTTGGTGATTTTGCAAATCTGTGACTGTGACATGCTGCTAAAAGTTTCGTCTGATTTGAAAATCGTGCACTTTGGTCACAATACATCCAAAGTGACTATAACACTTTACTAACACTTTTATAGTCATTTTGAATTCAAGGATATCATTGATAGTCACATGACCACTTTCGTTCAAAGAAAGGCACTGGTAGTATTCCAACATCTGGTTTCAAAGACGCGGAGCGTTTTTGCGGGAGAAGCGGAATCGGTGTGCTTATATAATAATCATATTATAAACAAGAATTTTGCCGTTAATGCAAAAGCTTTATCTCCTATGTCTGCATCTCATAGGTTAGAATTCCGGTAAATATCGTTATGATATGCAGAATTGAGTTACAAAAGTACTAGTATGTTACTTATTTGTCAACTTAATAGTCGAGAATATTTGTTAACTTTGAATTTTTATTCCATTCAAAATCGGAAAAAAGTGCTATTTCTCTTCAAAATCGGAAAAAAGTGCTATTTCGCAGTCCCTAAAAAAAGTTGCGAAAGTGCTTCGCAATTTTCGCAAAAAAGTGCGCTAATAGTGAACACTGGTGTGGGGCATCGTGCTAAGCGTTAGGAATACGCTCGCCACCGCATCTCTGATTACCCTTCGTGGGATTGCAGGTTCGAATCCCATGCAGGGAAGATCATGTGCGAGAGGATTGCTGGACTCCTCACCGCCGTAGGGTGGTTCACGCTACCGCTGGTCGGTTACGGCTTCCTCCACCATCAAGTCTATGCTCCTGAAAAAATGAATTAACTAAAACTAAATAAATAAAAATAAAATAAATAAAACTAATCCCATACTCGACCTGGACTGGTAACCGGACGAGAGGCCGTGGTTCGCCATATGATCAAGCCGTCTTATCCACTTTCATCTCCCCCGGGATAAATTTGTAAATCCTATCCTAAATACACACCGGTAAGTTTTAAAAGAAAAAAGGGAAGTTTGAACAAAATAGTTCGAAGCTCTTTCAATAAGTGACTTGTTTTTTGTTCGAACTACTATTTCAAACTTGATTGAAATCTTCATCATACTCGAATCCTATAACTACTGTATTTATATGATTTGCAATCAATATGCATAAACATTGATCAATGCTAAATTAGATTCAAATTGACTTATTGCTGTTCGTGTTTAGGGTTTTTACCGTATGTGCTTTCTGTACTTCTATGTAAATTTTGTACAGTCATTTCAATGTTAAAATTCAATGATTATGCCTTTTTAAGCTCGGTACAGCAATCAAAACGAAAGTGATGGGGGATATAGGAGTAGTTGGAACCACAAAAATATTGAAGAAAGTAAATGTTTCAGAATTTTTACCAATAGTGGTAAGTTATTGTTGAATTTTTTGTTGTTGCACTTTTTCCAACAGGCATTCTATTTACTTGTTGATTGAGTGTCATGCCACTAGCCTCTATCCTATCACCTCTTCTTTGATGTGTTGATGGTTCCATGTGCACTGGGTCAATCCAAGAATTAAACTTGCGTGTAAGACTGAGTGTATTTCAATTCTTTGTGAATAATATTTCAATATATCTCGTGGTATATTCTGTGGATATTTCATGTACAAAATTGAATTCATTTGTTTATGTTCTGTCAAGGCATTTCAAGATGATGACATGGTATCATATGGACCATGGTTGGGCCGAGTTCAACTTGTTCTTCAAAAACTTCAACTTAAATTCAGCAATGGAGGAAGGTATGAAAATTTAAGTTTTGAAAACTTCAGAGGGCCAAGCTACTAATCTGATACAGAGAAAATAGTTCCTCTTTGCTGCAGTTTTTTATTACCTATCTTTTGCTGACAAAAATATTTAGTTTGTCCTTTCGCAAATATGAAAATTAAGATAATTAACGATTTAATTCGATCTTGTTTTCATTAGTTTTCAGGTAAAAAAAATGAAATACTTTTTGGTCATGCTGTGAGACTTTGAAAATGAACTATTTTAATTATACCCTAAAACTAGAATTCAAAGTATTGGATATAATCAAATATTCAACTGAGAATCTATTCAAATATTTGATTCATTTTGAACATTCATGAACCATGATCAATAGTATTAAAATGTTGTGTAAAAGTATGCTTGAAAAGTAACAGTTGCTGAGACGATGTTCTGGGATTTTATATATATTTGATATATAATATTTGATTTTCTTTCCGTCTTGGTTGGAGAGACTTCTAGTCTTATATGGTAAATTATTTATGCTATGTAGCTTGTCTTGTTTGATTAGTAAATTATCTATCATCTTGTATAGAATTCAATATCATCAGCAATAATTTTTTTTAAATTGTTGAAATTTTCATGCTTTCAGAGGAAAATTGGATCTTGAAAATATTGATGATGAAGATCTCATCAGTGATGTTTATCCTCATCCCAGTGATGAAGTGAGTTGATAGAAAATCATATTTAACCGTAATAAATCTAGATAGAATCAAAATGCTCTCATCAAGATTTACAGTTTCAATACAAAATATCACATTCATTATCTGCAAGAGGCAAACCCCGAAAATACGCCACATGTGCAAGTTATTAATTTAACAGCATGGCGATATAATCAGTGTAATTGTTGATAGAGGAAGATAATTCGATTTGGCACATTTCCAAAATGTTACGATGCTATCATGTGAGGTCTCTAGTGCAATAATAACAAGTTAATGTGTTGTGATTTTTTCCACTGTGTTATGAAAACATATAGGCTTGCAACACCATGTGTAGAAGGTTCCAGAACATTTCTACATGACACTGTCAATTTCTGATGCAGGTGCAATATAGCGTCAATAAATATTTGAAAACAATCTAATGGCCCACAGTTTCCAATAACAACTTTTCATTTGTGTAAAATGTGATATTTTTTATTGATAAAAAAGATCATATTTGTGATATGTTTTAAAAAAATTGGTATTTAGTTGGGTTGGTTTACATTGGTCTAATGCAGATGGCAATATTTTTGCTGCTATCGCTTAGCCTTACAGTAACGAATGCACTGGGTGCTGACGAGGGCCCCACTAAATGGCTTGGCCAGCTTGTTGCTCACCTCTGTTCTAATGCTTTTTAAATTTAATTTATCAATCATAAAAACTTTTTAAAATTTATCCATGCTGATCTATATTTTTACCATCAGGGCGACTTCAACTTGTCACCTTACTATCCTGGACAATTTGTTCGAGCTCCTTCAAAAGTGTTCAAAAATGTTCAGTGGATTTCAGGAGATGAAATCAAGTTCAAACCAAAAACTCAATACAGGGCTTTAGTGACACATGTGAGATATAATTCTGTATATTCGTCCTATTATTGTAAGTAGGTAAGAGTATTAATGGCTTTAGAATTGAATGAAAAATCTCACTTTAACGCTTCCAAGGCTAATGTTTATTAAAAGTGTTCATAGTTGCGTAGTCGGACACGAAGTGGACCTATGAATCGTCTTGTTATTTTGTTGTTGTTGTTGTTGGTCATCATGTTAGTATTTCTTTCCTTCTTCTTCTTCTTGTGAAATCGTCGGGTCTCTATTAACTCCTGGACCAATTGCTTTGAAATTTTCAGTGGTTAAAGATTGTATTTTTCTCTTATCTTATTTAATTTTAAAAATTTCTGTGATCTCTATGGCATTCTTTTTTTGTGTGCGATGACATTATCAAAATTAAAAATTTTGCTATTTCTGACAGTTCTGCTTTTGCGTGAGTTTAAATTTGCTGCTCATCTGCGTTACAGTACCCGTTGTGACAGATTGCATACCTATACCACTTTGTGTCCATATATTTGAGCTTCGCTCTCTTGTTAAAATGAATAGTTGTTTCGATATGCCTGTTTCTGGGAAACATACTATTTACCCTTTGCTTTATTTGAAATGCAACAATGTGAAATTTGTCAAATATTAGAATTTGAAATTTGAAGGATGTTCGATACATTGACAATTGACATACAGTTTTTTAGTCTCATTTCCACGTTTGAAGGTTGAAATATATGGAGTGCAAGTAAAATGGGGAACAAGAGCATTTCCAGAAGATTATAAGGAGAAAGTAGAAGTGAATAAGGAGAAGGTAGAAGAAAAACCGGTAACTCAAGAGGTGTTGTAATTTATTCTTTACTACTTTTGGTTCACTAGATATCTAGACTGTTTCGTCACTGTGGCAAACTTCTTGGAACATGCTTTTTTGTTACAGCAAGTTATCCAATATGGGGGTTCAGAATTAAATATCTTGTTTTTGATCATAATTATGGTATTGCTCATTTTTAATGAGGATGGTTAACATAAAGGTTAGCCTATTGCGGTCTTTCCATCTAACGTTTCTTTTCTTCTATACTAGCCAGCATTCAATAGGATAGGATTTACATATTTATAAGACGGCAAACCTCAGCCTTTTGTTCGGTTACCAGTCCATGTAGGTTATGGGCCTACTGCGGTGAGGAGTCCAGCAATCTTCCGCACATAATTATTCCTGCATGGGATTCGAACTTATGAACTCACGAACTGTATTCTAACGCTTGACGCAATGCGACACATTGCCGAGCCACAAGCAAATGCAATGGGAGGCTGTGGGTCAACACTATGCTAATACAGTATTTTTAAACGATCCATGAAAATAAATTATATACTAAAAACAAGGTTACTAATTTCGGATTGGATTCAAGTCTCATAGTCTGAAATTTCAAGAAAATTATTTATGTTATTTTGTGTTCTCCCCTCCACTGTGAACTGGGCACTGGACAAGCAGCCAGTGATATGAAAGGAGAAAATCAGGAATACTGATAAATAATTATTTCGAAACCCACATTTGTGTTAATTTAGTAATATGCCAAAATGGGTACTCCCATAGTGTGTCTCCCAGGTTAGGGTTAGGCCATAATGGTGTTCCGATTTTCCTTATTTTAGTTTTATTACGGGTTCGAGGACTGTCTGTGTAAGCCAAGTGAATATGCTCCCTGGCTATAGGTTTCAGCCCCTTCGGCCTTCACACAACTTGATGTAAAATAGGCGAACAAAATTAGTTACCTCCATATGTGTGATTATTTTTTTTATTGAGACTTTACCCTCATTTGTTTAGTATTCTATTGAAAATGGATCATCTGTTGATCCCACTCCCGACTTACAACATGGAGTGAATCACAGAAATGTAGCTGAAACAACTTCATCTGCTGTTATTGGTACATCAGTTGATAAAATACCAGAAAAAAAGGAAGAAGAAGAATTAAAGAATCCTGCTGAACCTCCGCCTGCTCTCATCACCAAGGACGAATTGAAGAAGTAGGATTTTTTTGGATGAATTTTGAAATGCAAAAGTCACTATTTTTAGTCGAAGATGCTTTTTATGGAGAAATGACTCAAATTTAGATTAGAGAATTGTATTTTGGGGATTTTACCCCAAAAAGAAAAACTTAGAAAAGCTGATTTAAGAATATGGGAAAAATGTATATTTTTAGTTTTGGAACTCCTGAAACCTCTTATTGAATTACTTTGGTAAATATCGCTTCAAACTATGATTATATACCTTAACACTACTTTACACTAGCACTTATCTTAACACTAAATAGTTTCAAATAATATTTTGTTTTTTAAAATATTCAACATTCGCTTTTTGTCTTAAAATCCTCAAATTATCGTTTCCTAAATTCTTATTCTGTATTTAGTTATAATACTATTAAGTAAAAATTGCCAAATATAGATTGATTTTGTTATTCTTAGTCTAAAAAGTTTTTTCAAGTCTGGTCGTTCATCTCATTAATCTGATTGGGATTGTAAATTACGTCATTGCCAAAATGAACAAAAATCTGCAATATATCCTCACATAAATGCCATAATAATTTTCCAATTCTGTTTTCTTCAGTTGAATATAGTAAATGTTATTGTTTAGAATCTACTTGTTGAATCATTTCTGGGAAGGACATGTTTGGTTAGGAGAAAGGTTTCGATATCAGTTGAATGAGGAACAAGCAGAAGATCTTAATCAACAAGTCAACAAAAATATTAAAAAGACTAAACGAATGAGAATGGCTAAAAGAATGGAACAGTAAGTCTAATAGAAATTTAAAAAAGTTTGAGGGAGCCGTACCTGATCATCTGTGGCTAACGAGGAGCACCCTATGATGGCTGTGACTCACTCGCAAATAATTATCTCTCGCAGATTCAAACCTACGCCCATTCGGCAAGCATGTTCCTGACAATCAGTGCAATGCTCCAATCATCGAGGCTAGCCTAGAGCTTAACATTCATAATATTGCATAGAATTTTCTTTGTTTAAATCCCCTGAAATAAATTCCTTTCCTGAAATTTAATTTTACTGGTGGACTGTCTCTGGAGACCATTCATTGACTCTAATTTGATACTAAAACATTTTATTGTCTTCAAAACTAAATTTTAATATTTTATCTCCCAGGAAACTACTTCACAGCACTAGCAAATCATCGTTATCTCCGAGCCTTTCAAGAAAGAGCAGAAAGAGAAGGACACAAGGTCGGTAAATTTCATGCCATTTTGTTCAGGAAAAACTAAAAGAATCGAAATTCACATACAATATGTTTACTTGTCTAACAGCTTGCATCAATGTTAATGGTATATCAGTGTGTCTTTCTACCTCAAATTTTACGTAATTCAGATATTCAAATTTTCGTATGGGAATGCCTCCACATTAGGTTTCAAATCTTGCATATTATTTAACACTGATATGACTCAGACGTAGTATTGTCATTACTTATCGATCTCGATCGGTAAGTATGTTGATAGGTATTTGTTTGTTTGTCTGTTATATACTTCTGTATGTTACGCGACATCTCACGAAAGCGAGGTTGAATCTGCTCCATCTGCTCTGTGTATTCATCATATCTCAAACCAGAAGCCTATTGATTTTGGATGAATTATGTCGTATAATTAGCGAGTTATTATTTAATTAGTGATGGGACACAGGGTGTCGCTATTGAGTCAGAGCGAAGAAATTGAAACCGCAGATCGATAAGTCGGCGGTCTCCGATCGCTGTCTAGTTCTTACTGGTATGTTAGTTAGTTGATGTTATTTAAGAAATATTATCTGATATTCAAGTCAAGATTATTTTTTTTCAACCAGTACAAAATCACTCGAACACAAATTACGAGATGATAAATACACATTTTACTGGGAAATCGAAGACAATGTGTTTATCCAAATTATACTATATAGGCCAATTTAGGCTAATATAGGCTAATTTTTTACTGTGTATTTTAAAGAAAGGACTATTTTTGATATTCCAATATTTCTAAATACGTTGTTTTCAGATTTTCATTTAAATTCTCTTGACATTGTTGACAGGCAAAAATAAAATTCAATAAACTCTAATGAATCAGCGACTTCTACTCCATTACAATTCCAGATAGTTTTAAATGTTTTGCCTATGCGAAATATGTAAATGAGTCATCACTCGCAGGGAACCATATGTAATCATTTTATACCTACATCTATAAATATCTCATGGTATGTTGATCTATCATAGGAAGTCTACTATATCTAATTCAAGATACCTTATGTAATTAACCACGGCAAAAATATATACTGTAACATAGCTCAATTTTCTGTTCTAGAAAAATGTTTTCTAGTTAGCTATATTTTTTCGACTGGGTTATGGTATTCAGAAAACATGCCCAATACTGTCAAAGATGTTTGCAAAACTTATATTTTCTATTGCGAAATTATCCAATGGTTCAATAATCTTGAATGAAATATTCTAAAATTAAAATCGTTTGCTTTCAAATTATATCTTTCATAAACTTTTTTGTACAAATTCCACAGCTAGTGCATCTCAACATGATGACTCATCAAGTAATGATGATGAAACTGACAATTCATCATATGAAGATGAAGATGAACAGGATGAGAACGATGAAAACGATGAATCGTGAGTCTTGTTGTATTTTGCACTCCATTCAGTCATAAATTATCCATGTCAGATTACAATATATATATGGGTAATATCCATTCCTATTTTGGACAATTATTCAGGATGTGCTTCGGGCTTAACAGTCCAAATCCGGCCCGTTAGATAAGTCAATCTGGCCTGCCTGGTGCAGCCACAAGAAAACTAAAACCAAATTTTGATGTATTAGCTAAAAAATAACTCAAGGAATTTGTTGAGATTGCGATTCAATTTAGTTTTGACTGGTGGCTTATTGATTTCACTTTTGCTTTTGCAACACTGTAAATATTGTTTATAAAATGTAACTTTTTACGTCACACACACATGGTCCGCCAGTCTAGGTGGGCAATATTTTAGGCCCTCGGTTCAAAAACCTTGCTCACCCCTGTTATAAATGCATCTTCAAACTTGGTATTTAGTTTCTATTCTTACACAGACTTCACTTATCGCAACAGTTAATAATGTCAAGCACTTATAATATGGTGAGTGCAAATTTCAGGATTTGATACTTCAAAATCATAATTGATAAATTTTTTATCATGAGTTGGGACAGTTTGGTAAGATATTTAGACTAGTTGAAGACTCAATGTTGAGCATTGATATTTTATACCACTTAGGGATTTATCATTAACTGTACCAGAGTATACTATTACTATTTATTTTTTTGAAAGTGCAATTGCTCCATCTGGTGGATCATGTGCAAGTATGACAAAAGAAGTGGAAAATGAGATTGAAGTTCTTGTCAACAATGAGAGTGACATGACTATATCATCTCCTATTGGTCAGATACCGAAGATTCTTGGAGTTATGTCATGCAGGGTAAACAGTCTATTGCAATATTAGGTTAAAATTGTTTTGTTATCAGTGGAGGAGCTTGACTATTTAGTCTGTGGTTGATTTTGTGCTCAAAGAAAAGTCATGAGTACTCGCTCAAAAATTTAGGAAATGAACGAAGCTACAGCTGACCACTGTTAAGTGTAAACAAACTAAGAAATTATTTTCAGGTTGCCGGGTTTGAACTTGACTTTACACTTATCCAAGAAAGTGGTCCCGTTCCAAAGAGGAAATTTCATTGCAATATACAAAATCCTGAATGTTCTAAGGAAATCATTGAAAGAGTCAGGTAGGATGTTTATAAGATAGCATATCGGCTCATTCTGCTTCAGTGAACACTTTTAACTGATGACTATCTGGGAATGAATAATTACCCCAAAGCAGTGGTGACCTAGTTAAAGCATTACATTTATCTATGCTGGTATCACAAGTTAAAATTTCGTGTTCAAATCCCGCGTCCACCAACTCACTCAAAGTCTCATAAATTGAGTAAGAAATGATGAACCGAAAGGATTTCGATCTTTCGTAAAAAAGTAGCTTTGTTCGTATAAGTTGCTACTAGTAAAGAGCCTTGTTTGAAGTGAAAGGAATATAAATATGGATATGGCATATACAAAACTCAACAGAAACCTTCTTTTTGGTGTCTTTCAATATTACTCAGCTCGAAGGTGTGCAACCTTTAATATAAGAGGGCCAGATACAAATAACTGATTGAAAAAGCGGGTCGCATCCTTATTTAATATAGGCTTATGACATGCGTTGTTGGCTTCGCACAAGCTATCTGTTAGGGCATTGTAACATCATAGACATATATAATAAATTGGACTCAAGTATAGGCTTCACAGCGCAAAGAATTGGAATTACTCGCACATAACCAGACTAAAATAAAAACTTGTATCGCGACCTACATACCATACAAAATTGGCATAATTTTTTGGGCCACATAGTTTTTCCTTTTGGGCCACATTTGGCCTGCGGATCGCAGCTTGCACACCCATGTCTTAGATTATAATAAGTCTTTTTAAAAGCTCTTAGCTGTTGCCTGTTCCACACAAATATAACTCTATTTTTTTTTTTTTAATTGTCATTGGTGCCTAGGTATTACTTATCGTGTATGCTGCAAAGCCTGCAACCCTATAGATGTATAAAATATTAAGCATTGTAATTGTCATATTTTAAATCTGTTGGTATAAAACTTTTGTTCCTTGTTAGTGAAAAATTTCAAAGCTTCATGAAAGGAATGTTAAAAAGGAACAAAGATTTGTTGAATGATTCCGAGTCTTGTGCTACTATGATGTCACAATGTCCACAAGCAATACGTACCTTTATTATGCAACAATCATCTTCGAATAATCAAGAAATATATTTTGAATACACAACTGGTGATAAGCACACAAGTGGCATGGTTGATAAAGATGGGAAAAAGGTGAAGATTCTGTTATATGATTACTTATTTTAGGATATGATTTACATATTTATCGCAGAGGAAAGACGACAAGGCAGCTAAATCATATGGGGAACCACAGCCTCTCATTCTATTACAGGATTAGTTAGCCAGTTATTTGTTTCCGACCCATGGACTTTCAGTCTGATGAAGCCGTAACCGACCAGCGGTTACATGAACCACCCTACGGCTGCAAAGAATTCTGCAATCCTCTCGCACATAATACTCCCCAGACAGATCTCAAACCTGCGGATTCTCGCAGGGTAATCAGATATTTTACGAATATAAAATATCAAATACATGCTAAATTGGTGGCAAGTTGATATGGAAAATTGCATAAATCACTATATCTTCATGTTGATCATATCTAAAACAATACAAATATAAAGGTTATTGATTTCTCTGAGCTCCAGACATGTGTGTACTAATAAGGAGGTGACTAATTTTGTTCGCCTACTTTACATTAAGTTGTTTGAAGGGACTGAAACCTATGGGCAGAGGGTATATTCACTTGGCTAACACAGACATTCCATGAACTCGTAATAGAACTAAAATAAAGAAAATCGGAATAAAATTATGCCCCAACCCTAACTGGTACACACACTACAGGAGTGCCAATTTATTTGTGTTGTTTCTACTTGTCTGACAGCTCAAAATCCCTAATTTTTTTATAAATATGTTCTAAATTCAAAAACTTACTACATCGAATATAATGAATTCGGAATGTATTGGAATATTCGATTCGTTCTGGACATCCCTATATTCACAATCTATCAAATTACTTTCAGACCGAGGTAGAATTTGATGATGAAATAGATCTAAGGACGATGCCCCGAGATATTCAAATGATTTCTGATGTTCTGGATTCAGTTGTTGCGCAACCTGGTGACTTTGTTCTAACATCGGGTCCAGTTGGTATCAAACAATGTGGTCCTAATGTGAAGTATCATGCTGGACAATGGTGAGTTTGTTTTTCTCTAGCAGTGATTCCCAAAATTGATTGATCCATTGTCATCAATTTGAAGATTTGATATATCTTGCTGATTGGTTATTCTTGCTTATGCTTGCCGCTTGTCCTACATGATACACACTTGCCCCAATCTTATGAATCTCACTTTATATGGGTACTCTTGCCTCTCGCAAAAATATTATATTTACCCGAATATAGAACATGAATTGTACTTCATATGCTTACTCACACCTGAATCAGAAAAGAAGGGCAAGTGTGGCAAAGTAGGCCAAGTTTATTTTTCTGATGAATATATTATAATAAACTTTTGTAAAAATTTATAATTATGTCTGTTAAGTTTACTGAAATATTTTCAAAAATTCAAACAATGTTTATCAACCCTTTTATGCGAACTATTTTCACCGAATTCCGGGTGTTATTCTTTTTGAAGTGTCTTCTGTTTATTTCAGTGTTATTTTTCCATCTTCACAGGGTGACAATAGAAGTATGTCGTACCTATACAACAGTTGATGTACAATGGCAGGATGGCACCATTGATTGTGATGTCAAATCTTTAGATCTATTACCAGCACACCATGTTGATGATAATGATTTTTGTCCTGGAGATTTCGTTATTGATAAGAGAGGTGGGATTCTTATTTTGATATACCTTGATTGCCAGAAATACAATAAAGATACAGTGAAAAGATGACAAAGAAGTCAAACTCATATGTAATTTGGGACTTATAAAAGCAGTCTACTCGGACTTCAGCAATGCTTAATGAAGCACACAACTTATTTTAAAATATTGGACTCTAGTCAAGTTTTAAAAAAATATAGCATCATCTCTAGGGCCGATTGCTTTTCTTGAATCAAATCGAATATTATTGCGCAATCCTTTATCTGTCTCCATTGAAAAATAAAACCTCCTCTCACATCCTGTGAAGACATATGTGCAATTGCATCTAAAATTTTGCATGACCTTGTCTCCAGAGGTTCAATAGAAGATCCTGCTCCTAAATTAATAAACTGGTCAAATATTTAGTCACAAAAATCAATTAGAAAAAAAATATTATTACCATTTTTTTTTACCGCACTATCCAATTATTCGCAAATTAGTCGCAAACGATTCAAATAATTCTGATTTGAATTCGAATATTCATTTTACTTGGACAGCCCCAATCATCTCTATGCTATTTCATGGACAAGTCCATACTTTGTTTGAGATTGAGACACTTTTCAAATAATTCTTTCAAAAAATCTTTCCAGTTGAAGAAGAACCAGCAAACCACGGAATTGTGATTAAAGCTGATAGTCAGAATAGAATGATTAAAATCCAGTGGATAAAACATGGAAATGTCAGTGAAATTGAAGAGGTAAACTTATGTTCAAGATCTTGCATTAGGTATCAATGTTTGTGAGTTGATCCTTGTCCAATCAAAATTTGTGAATTAGGGAATGATTTGAAAAACATTCTTATCTAAAAATCAGGGATTTTGAGCCATCAGGCAAACAGATCTAAACGTACGATATCTCAACTGGTAACAAACAATACAAACAAAATAATTTGCCTTTGCTTAGGTCATTCAGATATAATCAACATGAAGATATAGTGATTTAGGTCATTTTCCACATGAACTTGCCCCCAATTTAAAATGTATTCAATATGCCATGATTGAAATATGTTCTCAGAATAGTGAAATATTCGGTTTTGGCTATCCTTGGTTGTAATACATGTTTAAGTACGCATTAGATTGATGATTGTGCAACAAAACAAGCAAATAATGCATCATGACCTAACAAAGTAGCTATGGGCATTTGTTGTAAAAGTTCTTAAGGGAAGAATGTTAGAGTTTTTAAATTACAAAAAGAGAGTAATGTAATAAAAAGGTGGGAAACCAGTAAATTACAGCATCAAATAGTGTTGTGCTTCATTGCGATTCCTCAACCCAACTTATCAATGAAAATCATATCTTTAACATATCAGAAGGGATCAACATATCGCAGTGTTATTTATGGGGTAATTTATTTTACAATATTTTACCTATTCTATTTTTTTCAAGGTCAGTGCATATGAAGTGGCAGACCATCCAGAATTACAATTCAGAATATCTGATATTGTTGTGAGAGTAAGCAACATTCATGGAGATGGTACAACAGTAAGCATTATTTGTTCTTGCATGCTACACATATCACGGATCAGTGTTAACAATTTTTGCAGATTTTATATAATATTTTGATATGCTGTATTTTACGAACTATAAGCCGTACTTCAAATTCTATACTTCACCGAAAGGAGTCGGTGCACGTAATGTAAGGATCATTTACCGCTTTAATGCTTATTGCCTACACTCAAAATCTCCATCTTAAATTTCGTAGAAACCGCTGCGTCCTATAGTCTGGTGCGCCTTATATATGAATAAAACCACAATCTAAGCAGTTTATTAACAGTGCGCCTTATGAACAGATGCACATCATGGTACGTAATATACATAAAACGAATATTTAATGGACAAACAATAATTAGAAAATTGTATAAATATACCACCTTATAAACAAGATGCACTTTTTGATGATGGTGGATTGAAGAGTTTTTTTTGAGTATTTTATATTTAATTAATAAATTGCTTTTGTTCATTTAATATGCTTCCAAACCTCTTTTATTTACGAAAGTTCACATTTTGTTTTCAGGATTCCCTCGATAAAGAACACACTGTAGGTGAATTACTGCGAATTAATGAAATGGGATTATTAGAAGTTCTATGGTCTAATGGCTCAATTTGCAATGTTCATCCTAGGGTGAGATTTTATTTCGTCTGTATTTAGTCGCAATTGCATAGTAGGGGGTTGTCATTGAGGTTGAAATTCCAGGTTTAACCCAGCTAACTTGCTCGCTTGAATTTCATATACCCTATAGTCACATTCAACTTCCCATCCATTATACTTTCAATAGTAATATTATAATTTATCATGTCTTTCAACATGTTTCTTTCTAAAATCTCTCAGGATGTTCTAGCATTTAATGATGAAGACGAAGATGGAATATTTGCCAGCCTTGGTTCCGGTGATGATTTTATGGGATCTGATGCCAGTTGGATGACAGCTTCATCAGACAGTGATGACGATGATGATGATCTGAGCGTTTTAAGCCGCGATTTTGATTCTGCTGGTGATGGCGATCATCCGAAAGCGATCACAAATGATAATTCGAATTCACAGGATGCAAATCATCAAAGTGGAGAAGGATTTAACCATGTTCATGGAAATGATGAGCAACCTGAAATTCACGATGAAAATCATGAGACAGGACATGAAAATGATCAAAATGAAATCACAAAAATCAATATTGATTCCACAGATAACAAAGAAATTAATACCAGTGATCCTAAGCTGAAGGGTGAAATTGGTGAGGGTGTTGGTATCTCCACTGGCAACGAAAACGAGGCGATAAAAAGTAAAATTGCTGGTATATCTGGAGAACAGGATACAACAACTTTAAATCTGGGAGAAGATAACAAAGACAATAAACTCAAAAATATGGAGGATGGCTTGCTGTTTATTGACGAAAATCATAATTCTGAAAATGCAAAAGAAATCCAAGAAAATGAATTGAACATTAACCAAGGTACAACATAATAAAACACTGAATTAATTTAGCTCTTTTCTGCTTGTTTCAGCTTCAAATTTTTTAATCAAACAACTATTGTATATTCTCTATCATATATTTGTTTTATACAGAAGTCTTCGTCACTGCAACAATATCTTCTGAATCCATATCTTCCAACAACACCACTGTTATTTCAGAAAATTCAGGTATGTTTTACAAGGTTTTATAACTATAGAAATTCAACTCGTAAACGTAGCAGTACCTTTTGCGTAGTAGAAAAAATGTAACATAATTTTTGAGTATATTTGTAAATATTTAATTCGATTACGGTATTCCCTCTCTCAATGTTATTTGTTCAAACATTTCAGGAATAAATTATTTCTGTTTCAAATTGATAAATAGCCTAAATTCGTAAATCTAAATTTTTGTGTGCCTGGTTGCCTGCTTGCTTATAAGTTAACCCCCCAAAAAATTGAAGTATCTTGACGCCATGGAAAAGAATAACTGGGGTGATTGCAAACTTTAATTTTTTGTTGGATTTTTATTTTCTGACAAACACAACCAAACCGTTTTTTTTTTTGGTAGTATACACGTGTCCATACCTATCTGCAGTGTTCACTATTAGCGCACTTTTTTGCGAAAATTGAGAAGCACTTTCGCAACTTTTTTTAGGGACTGCGAAATAGCACTTTTTTCCGATTTTGAAGAGAAATAGCACTTTTTTCCGATTTTGAATGGAATAAAAATTCAAAGTTAACAAATATTTTCGAGTATTAAGTTGACAAATAAGTAACATACTAGTACTTTTGTAACTCAATTCTGCATATCATAACGTTATTTACCGAAACTCTAACCTATGAGATGCAGACATAGGAGATAAAGCTTTTGCATTAACGGCAAAATTCTTGTTTATAATATGATTATTATACAAGCACACCGATTCCGCTTCTCCGGCAAAAAACGCTCCCGGGTGTACCAGATGTTGGAATACTACGCAGTGCGTTTCTTTGAACGAGAGTGGTCATGTGACTATCAATGATATCGATGAATTCAAAATTACTATAAAAGTGTTAGTAACCTGTTATAGTCACTTTGGATGAATTGTGACCAAACTGCACGATTTTCAAATCAGACGAAACTTTTAGCAGCATGTCACAGATTTGCAAAATCACCAAATTCACAAAATACCATTAAGTACCATTTTATTGTAATCACAATGTTGAAAGGAGGTAGCATTTTCCGGGATTTTGCGATATTTACACAACTGATTCTCATTGATGTGCGGACGGGTGGGCAAAATTCAATATTTTTTTGAATCGAATATTTTTAAGGAGTACCGAAAAAACGTGGTGGAACATTAAAAAATCGGCAACAAAGCCTTTTTACTGGTTAATTCCGTTGTAATCGCTAATTGTTCTTGTCACCGATCGTTTTGGGGCGATATCCAGGTTTTGGGTAATCTATATTCCCGCCCTCTCTTTTTTACAAATATGAATTCTTGTGGGTCGGCGGACACCGAAGTTTTATATTTCGGGTTTACCCGTTCGTTCACATCGGCAACAGCTGTTGAAGACATTGAGGACTCAAATTAACATTTGCGTTGACTTTAATATTACCTATCAAGATTTGTAAATTTACCGTCCCAATTTTATGCGAATGGTAATATTATTGTCCATACCGTGATGCAGATATTTATTAGGACGATAATTAACTTTCTCATGTTTTACTATGGTGATAAACTCACAAATCTGAAATTGTGCCAATCCTGAATGTTGATTTAAAATAGTCATTGAATAATTCGGCAATAAAGGCATTTCTGGTGGTCATAAGACGAGATGACGTTAATGAACAGCACTTCTTTTACAGGATATTTTACGTATGCGACTTAATGCTAAAAAAATTGGGCTCGAGTGCTTTTTTTTTCGAGTGCTCGAGTGCCTAATAGAGGTCAGGCGCTAATTGTAACTAATTCCCTCAAGTTTCAACGTGTTTTCAACAAAACAATACCGTGGCGATAATTATAGCTGAAATGTTATCGAGCAATTCACAATTTTATTTATGGAATTTGCAAATTCACCAGTTTCTTGACGATTTTGATATTGTCACGCCCTAATTATTAGTGCAAAAAAATACTCCCCTTTTCCGCGGCGGTTTGACGGGTTCTTTGTTCCATCTTCAGAAAGTTCTGACACGGGGATATAGAATACTAAATCCAGAGGGTTGAATCCCTGTCCACTTACTGGTAATTTTCCGTTTTGAAATGCGTGAAACATTCTCTATTTTAAATTAAATGACGTTTGCGGGCTAGAGTTCTCCCCAAAAATGATGTGTTCCAGACGTTAGTTAAGACGATAGATAAAACATTAGATTAATAATTTTCGTGACGCCCCGTTTTCGAAAATACAAAGTTATATCGCAAAAAATGCGTTATGATACATTTGGAATGAAACATTATTTACGGTTAATTCAGATCATATTTTACTCTAAATGACACCCGGTATCCGAAAATACAGTTGTATCTCGAAAAATGTGTTTTGTTACATTTAAAATAAAACATTTTTGCGATTAATTTAAATCATATTTTACTTTTCACGACACCCGTTTCCGAAAATACAAGGTTATATCGCGAAAATGTGTTTTGTTACATTTAAAATAAAACATTTTTGCGATTAATTTAGATCATATTTTACTTTTCAGGACACCCGTTTTCGAAAATACAAGGTTATATCGCAAAATGTGTTTTGTTACATTTAAAATAAAACATCTTGCGATTAATTTAGATCAAATTTTACTATTCACGGCAACCCGTTTCCGGAAATACAAAGTTATATCACAAAAAAATGCGTTTTGTTACATTTATTTTGCATACTCAATAAAATACATATTTTCCCTAATAAGGTCGTCGATGAATCTGATCCTGTCGTTCAAGCTCGACACACGTTTGGACGAGTGTGGGGCGGTTTTTTGGTCGATAAATTAAAAAGTTGCCACACCTTATTTGTATAACGATAATAACTGAAAATTAAGATTTTATAATAGAAGTGAATTTGTCTCAAGATGGTATTTTACGATTCCTGCCCACAGAAAATAAACACGCTGACAGGCTTGGTTATAATTGATATTCGTTTAATTTATTTTACACTATTAATAACCGCGCCACACCAATTGCGACCATATAAATTGCAGTCGCATCGGTATGGACTGTATGTTTTTGGCGCTCTCACATTAATAATAATTTTCAACAAAACAATACCCCGACGTTCATTAAAGCTGAACTCGTTACCGAGTAATTCACAATTTTATTTACGGAATTTGCAATTTCAAGATCTCACTTGACGATTTTGATGATGTCATGCCCTAATTATTACTGCTTAAATGCCTCAAAATACAACAAATGTAATCATTTTCGACGATAACAGGCGCAACAATTCGTAAACGAGCCGTTGTAACGGAATTCGCGATTGCTTTTACCTCTCTTGTTTACATTTTTAACATCCCGCCGGCCATGTATGGTCGAATAAAATGTTCACATATTCGAAACATGACTTGGCCAAAGATAGAAGGGATCACTAGAGAGCTAATAGAAAGTACATACGCGAGGGTATGATATTAATATCGAGAATATTTGTGAGCATATCACAGGACGGAAATATATTTTGCACCCGGCTGATTGTTGGCAGAACAACGATACGCTAAAGTTAATTGATCGAATACGGGGAAGTATTTATTTATCATCTCACTTGCGAACATCGAGGTTTTGGCGGAATTGTACGATCATGTTGTTTTTCTTAAATAATAACTTTTTCAATAAATGTTCATTTTACTTTTGCGCCTTTATTATATGTCGGGTTTTCATTTATTTTAAATTCGAAATTGTCCGAAATACTCCAACAGGTGTATAAGTACGATAATAATAGTACTTACCAAAGTACCTACCAGGGAAGTTTAATACACACGATGTGTAAGGGGCGTCCTAACTCCCGTTTATTAATAATAAATTTTTTTACATTCTGCTTAAAAAACAACGGCAGTCATCTCACGTAACTCTCGCGACCAAATCTTTTTTGTTTTGTATGGCATCGTCTTGGCGACGAATTTATTGCGGACTGAATTTTAATTGTGTTTCGGGATAAGTTATTTTCTGTTTGTTGGTTTCTAAACTTTACAAACTTGGGTAGCAATTACTATTAATGTGAGATTTGTGCATATGAACGATTGAATATCGCGAATGGATGTCCGATATCTGAGAATGCGTATTTCTCTTTCAACATTAATTTTCAGGATATCAGCGTTCATGTGGTCTAATAATAATTATTTATCAAATGAATTGGTATTTCGATACACTCTCAAAATTATTTGGGATCCACTATCATATCATTCGTTTATTTTTTTTATTCATGTTTTTCTCAAGAATCACCCTCGTTATATTTAGTGTACCTTCGCAAAAGAAAACTCTTTGGTGTCATCGTTCCTATTAGTGTAATTGAAATATATGGAAACCTCGGGCAAGTGGCGTTGTGATGCGAATATTTGATACTAGGTCAGCAGCATTACAAAGAGTGCTATTTATGAATGTTGAAAGTACATAACATTACTAAACATTTTGCCAATATATGATGTTTTCTGCCCGATTTAAACTGACTCACACGCCAACCAAGGCATGTCGACATTTAAAAATTACTTGTCTTTGGGTAAGCTCTGAAATAGTATAATATAAATGTAAATGAGAAATTAGGTTACGCTAGCTCACGAAACGGAGGATTTTCAAAGTGATCTTGTGTAATACTTCGGAGAAAAAAGTTTGAAAGGAAAGTAGGTCAACCTATCTCCTAAAACAGGGGAGTATCCTGCCTAATATTTCGGAGGGAACGTAGGTTAACCTATCTTTTAAAACAGCGGGTGGCGACTTTCAAAGTGGTTCAAAATCACAAATTAATAATTATCAGATTAGGTTTAGGGATAAATCGAAAAGTTGAATTTCCATCGCATCTAACCCTAATTAGTTGATTGCTATTTATATTTGGGGGGGATTATTTTGCAGAGGATTTGTACAAACGATCCACCCTGTAACTACTATGGTTTCCAGCCTGCCTCGTGTCTGTTAGATGGAAGGAGTAACAAATGTGAAAGTCTTTGCTGTTTACGCGAGTAAGCAACTGACACCGTGATACATTGCATGAAAGTTTTGTCCCCGGCAGGTGTTAGCAGATGTCATTTCGTTGCCGATGAATTCCCTTGTATTAATTAAACATGAATTCGCTTAAAGGGAACTCGGTTAACGAAAAGGCTTCTCTTTAATTCATAATATTAACCGGAGGAGCGCTTTTTCGAGTATCTATGCGGTTTTAAATGGGTTATATGAAAAGCTAGGGCACCTAACTTGTTAAAATCGGCAAAAGCACTTTCGCACTTTTTTTTCCGACTGCGAAGCACTTTCGCACTCATAATTTGCTTAGAGTTAACACTGCCTATCTGTCTTAGTATAGTGTAAAATTATTGTAAATTAGGTAACTATAATTTACTGTATTTCTTTATCGCTATTGCCAATAATCTCCATGTTTAAATTTTCTTGGTTTTTGTTGTATTTCAGACATGATTTCTTCATTTTCTGTCGAATCATCAGCTCCAGAATCTCATCATTTTATAAAACGATATTTTGATGATTCATCTTCGAAAATTTTCATTAAAGCCATTCAACGTGATTTGAAGTTATTACGTACTTCACTGTCATCTGGTATCACTGTGAAAGCCTATGAAGATAGAATGGTGAGAAATGAAAGAAAAATTCTTGATGACATTTTCCTATTTATCCGATAGTCGATTATACTGCTTAATCATATGGGTAACCACAGCCTCTCATCTGGTTACCAGTCCATGTCGGATATGGGATTAGTTAGCCAGTCATTTGTTTTCAGATGCATGGAATTGATGGTGGACGAAGCCGTAACCGACCAGCGGTTATGTGAACCACTCTGCTGCGGTGGTGATTAGTCAGGCAATTGTCACTCACAGGATTCGAATCAGCTGTGTGGTGGCGAGCGTATTCCTAACGCTTTTGCCGAGCCTTATATCAAAATTGATATTTCATATTTTAATCTTACCCTTAACCTAACCCTGATACATACCATCGACTTAACACAAGGAATATCTGTGAAATTATTTGTTTTTGCACATGGGGGGGGGGGGGGAGCTTTTATGCATCTTAGATAGTTTTGCTTCCTGATATTTGCTGGCTATAAATATATTTTTAGCCAAGAGATGGCTTTTCGTTTTTCTCCCTAACTGGCTTTGGGGAATTGGATGTCTCAATTTTTGCTTGAAATTTCATATCAACTTCTATTTTATCAGGACTTGTTATCAGTCCTTATTGAAGGACCAGAAAGAACTCCATATGAAGATGGAATATTTTCATTCGATATTCATCTTCCCAACAATTATCCTGATTCACCTCCGTCCGTTCATTACATCTCATTCTCACCTCGTCTTAATCCTAATTTATACGAAACTGGAAGAGTTTGTGTCAGTTTATTAGGCACATGGAGTGGAAAGGTGATTAATGAAAGTTTTTTTATTTTTTTTTTATTTAAACATTTCTATTGTAGTGTTCACTTTCGACATTTGTAAAAAAAAGGGAATATTTCATTGCGCTTGTGTCCCCTTTTTGTTTACTCTATTCAAGGAATAACATCCTTTGTCATTTTGAGTGAACATTCCAATAGTTTTTCTTTTATCAAGCTTCAAAGTCTTCTCAATGAAGTTTTGTTAGCTGGATATTCCTTTCATGCTAAAATAAGTTATTTTTTTATAATATATTTTTCCTTCTAAATGATTCGTTTTTTTACTCAGGGAAGTGAAAGATGGACAAAGGATTCAACTATTTTACAAGTTCTTCTATCAATTCAGGGTAAGTTATTAGTTTTTTTATTTCTTTTATGCCACCGCGTTCTGTTCAAAAAAATCAAACGCTATTATGCAATCACTGGCGACGGTACGCTTGAGCAGCTACTCAGCCATAATGGGCTATTGTGTGTGGGAATGAATTTTTTCTTTCTACTTTATCGTTGATTACCCAATTTTTCTCACTCTGCAGTGGGTCGCAAAAGAGCTCAATGGGGGTTACAGTGAAATATTGTTCGCCACTAACTAAACAAAATATCAATCAAATTTGAAAGATTTGAGACCCACCATCACCTAAATGAGGCAAGAGACTATCTTTTGTGCCAAAATATGCAAGCACATCAGTCTCAATAACTTTTTTTGTAAATTTCTGCTGTATTATTGAATTTGAATTTATTTTTGTTTTAGTTCATGGGGTTTGTGATGAAATTTCGCCGTACCAAGTTGGTCGTGATGAAAAAAGTTATGTTTGTATTATTCTTGTTCAAAGTAGTTGATATATTTTGTTTCAGGTCTGATATTAAATGGTGAACCTTATTATAATGAGGCAGGATATGAAGGGCACAGAGGAACAGCTGAAGGCATGAAAAACAGTAGATGTTATAATGAAATGGTAAGTTCAAATTTCCGGTGATTGTACATTTTAACCCACGTACATTTGAACCCATGTGTATTTTCGCGGGTTCAATCTATATGCGGGTGCTAAAACCCATGCGTTAGAGGTCAAATATCCGCAAAACGAAAAAAAATTCCATAGGTGCAATACATGCAGGTGTAATTGTCGTGGGTTCAAATGTACGAGAACCCAAATTTCCATATATTCATTCTAGTCAATGACTAAAAACATTGAGTAGCTATACTAGAAAATACAAAAAATATGTTAAATGCCAGCATTGTTTATTGGACAATATTAAAATCAAATGAGTCATATAGGACCATTGTTTCAAAATAACGTTTTATCTAAAGAGTGAGGGAATGATTTCAAAAACATACAATGGTCGCTGCTTATGCAGGCTCTGTTTGAAGTATCAAACTTCAAAATGTCTTGATTTTAACTCGAGAACTTTATTTGTAGGTAATGTTGCGGCTTGTCCAACATATGACAGCAGTTGTACAGAATCCACCAGATGCTTTTGAAAAAGAAGTGAATGCATTTTGTACTGAACATATATCACAATTACTTAAAAGAGTCAGAAAATTACTCGATGACGTTGAATCTTCGGAGATGGAATCTGATGAAACGATTGCAGCAGTGTCTGATGTGAATGGAGTAGAAAATGATGATGCTAAATTGGGTTAGTTGAATGTATAGTTAAATTATATTTTCAACTAGATACAGAGGTTCATCAAGTATGTGTGTTTGAAGCATTGTAGGGTAGTCATTCGCTCAACTTGAGTCACCATTTTCAAAGACTCAAATTGACGAGAGTCATCTGAATGAAATGACTCTTGACTCAACTAACCACCTTTGAGATTTAACTGAGTGATTGTTTTGACTTCGGATTCAACTCTGATGACTCGTGACTCGACTTGGCTCAAAACGTCACCAATTTCAAAGACTCAAATTAAGGAGGGTCATCTGAATGGAATGACTCATACTCAACTAACCGCCAATGAGACATAACTAAGTGATTGACTTCGGACTCGACTCGGATGACCCGTGACTCGACTTGGCTCAAAACTCGAGGGTTAGGTACTTCTACCTAATGTTGGTGTGAAACACTTCTTTCATGATTGTGCTACTCAAGACAATGATCTTCAATTATTTGTATTCAAATTTAAAATCTGTTAACTATGTCAAAATCCTCATTCTACTTTATTTATCTGAACTCTAAAGCAAGTAGCATAATATTTTTCTATTTTATTCTATTACTACTATTATTTTTATCAATACAGGTACAAGTATTGGATTTCCACTTCTACCATTGTCAAAGGGAGTCATGTTAAGTTTAAAAAGTCGATTGATCGACCTTGAAAATGCTGCAAAGGTCATGGGCCATCTCTAAACAACTCAAGATATGTGACACATAATTCTGTTATTGTACTTCCAATTCCCTTAAAATCTTTTCAAGTTCAGTAACTATTTCTGATTCCCATCTATATCGATATTCTCCAGGAGTGAGTGATTTGGGAAAACTCCAGTTCAATTCTTCACTGTTTGAAATTTCTCTTCCACGGTACTTGTAATGATTCAATATTTATTTGAAATGCCTTCTGCTTGCCTGTTTCTTTAAACCTTAGTAACGTTGCACGTAAATGTTGCTTTCATTTTTCAGCGAAACAGTCATTGTTAAATTCAGGGTTTATTTTCTTGTATGCTCCATTCAATAACCAAAAGATTATAGAATTTTCATCCGACGAAAAAAGTACCCAGTCACAATCTAATTAATATTTTGCAGATATTTGGATGTATAAAACGTTCCAACTTTTTGTGTTCCTAATTTTTCGGTTCGGTTCGTTTTGCTTTGTATAGATGAGGGTGATGTATTATAACAAAGGTGAACACTGGTAAAATATGTTGAGATGTTATAAAAATACTGTAGTTGATACTGTGACAACATAGAGTAAGTCAGCAGTTCCCAAACGTTCTGTTCGGCATGTAGGCAATCTGTTCTTCCCCTGATCTGCCCTCTTTGAAAAACTGCTGACATAGGTGGTTGTGGAACAATGTATGTCTTGGTTACTTATAAATCTTTTATCCAGCATTGAAAGTATACACGCTGCCCATGTTATATAAGTTTACTGACGTGAATTACTTTGTTGCCATAATTCGTAAGGTTTGGAAAAAAATATTTACTGTCCTCCAACTTAATATAAAGTTCGTAAAATCTTTATGATGACACAATTCAAGATGTGTCGAACTGATTTAACAAAAATGCAAGCAAGCAGTCAATCGGATGCTTTTACTAGGGTTATTGAATGAACATAGTTGATGTACAGGGCAATTAATTGTAGCATTGTGATGATTTACTCCAGGTGTACAGAATATGAAATGATCACTACTGACATTTTTTATGTTTCTTTGAGTCTCAAAAAGTGTACTATTTTTATGTGAAATTATTTTTGATCTCCAGCAAATTTTCAAATTTGGAGGTTCTCAATAAGAAAGAATTCAAACTAATAAGAGAGTATGATGTGCGATACAACACATTCAAAATTTCATGGTAGTGAGGGATCACTTTGAGAAGCTCGCAATATTTGAAAATTTCATAGAAAAGTTTGGAAATATAAATTTGTTATTAAATTAGGAATAACTCTGATAAGTGTAAAGCGCAGCGAAGTTATCTCTCATGCCTTGATATAATTCAAACCAACTTATTGACTGTATTTGTTTAATCATATATGTTTGCTATTCTTCAATCATACATAGATTGTCGCCATGTTTGCATTATTTTTGTTGTTATATCAATTAAAAAGTATAATTCGCAATGTGTTACACTAGTGTTCCAATTATATATATTTCATTTATAATGTGTTATCTGCTGATACTAGAAAGAGTACAACCCTAAACCAGGTTAGCTATCAGTCATTTAACATCGGGCAATAACGTTTATTTGGATCGGAAAGATTGGGAATGAAGGAGAAGTGATATTATAGTGTGAATAATGGGAATAGCTCCAAGTATGACGCAAAAATATATTGTAATTTTTGAAACTTTATTCATCTATATCAGGGCGGTCCAAGGTTGTCGGCTCCGCAGGCCGCAAAATTATTTTTGCATTGTTCGCGGGCTACAATAGTGCCAAGTATAGCGTATATGTAAACAGTGAAATACAAAACAATGGCTTTTATTGTGCAAACTTGTTAGTTATCAGACATAGCTATCCCAGGCTAATAGAATCTGCATTCTATTTTTAGTTTTCTATGATGCCTATATTGTAAAAATATATTCCCGACCAAAAAGATAGGAAGCCAGATAATAATTTAGACTGCCAAGCACCTCATTCAACTTCGCTAGTTGCCTCAGCTAGCCATAACACTAGTCAATTTAGTGACATTTGTGATGTAATAATATGTCAAAAGAATTTTCGGATCAATTTTATTACGAAACAACACGAAATGCGATTTTTTGATTACTCTCCGAATGCGACGCGGGCCATAGAGAATGAAGCGGCGGGCCTGGGTTTGGACTACCCTGATCTATATTTTGGAAATATACATTGGGAAACGCCTACTATTTTAGATAGTTTATTTTGAAAACTCCTTAATACTCTCAAATCAAAATGGAGATTTATAAAAAGAGCGAGGAAAAGTTTGAAACAGGCATAACATCCGCTCACCAACACACGCGCGGGCCAGAAATAAACAAAAAAATACCCAAATGTACTTTCCAAAACCAACGAATCCACCAAGGAAACTACTACGATGCGTGTCGGATTGGGAATGGCGAAATACGGCCGATGCGTGTCATCAATTCTTATAATGCGCTGTGTAGTATACATATAACGGTTACCAATTGCCTCAAAATGACAGCGAAATATAGTCGATGGTGATTGGGGCTGATGAAATGAGTTCGTGCCTGTCACAACTGGGCTGGCAAAATATGACCGATGCCTTTCCAATTCGAAAACGATCGATGCGTGTCAAATTAGGGATGGCGAAAGAGGGCCGACGCGTCGCTGGAACATATTATGTTTCGTCACTGAAGTATTGTAATCGAAGGAACTGAAATCCCAATTTTTGCCTGGTTCTGTGACGTTTACTGTAGTTGTCGTACGATGACGATGGGAGCTTCAAAACAGAATTTGGAAAAATAACAATTGTAAATTTTATAGTGTATAAAATTGTTTCGAAAAAATTTATTTAAATACTGTTATTAAACAATTCTTTTCGATTACAATTATTTTATATTGCTCGATTGTGCAGAGAAATCGTGATCAGAGTTAATACAAGAGAGCTACGCCCAAATATATGGACACGTCTGTTCGCAGTACAGTACGGTTTACCCAACAACTAAGGCTACCAACGACTAACACACCGTCAGATCACAGTCTACAAATATATCCACGCCAAGCGAAGCAGTACAGTAGGACACCAAATGGCGTCCGATGTCCGCAGAACGTTTAATGACGTCATAGTAAACAAAAACAAATCTCACAGAGCTAACAGAAATATTTAAAATGAATAAAAGTAATAGCCTTCTGGGGAAAAATTTTATCTTCAACCACTGAAAATTTCAAAGCAATTGGTCCGAAGAGAAAAGCGATTTTTTTTCAAAAATGATGGATACAAATAATGAAAATAACGATAACAACAAAATTTTGAAACGATCGTTATGTCCACTACGTGTCCAATAAGTTAAATTTGTCAGAAGACACGATCACACAGCATAGAAAACATTTACCATGTTTCGTTAATTTCAAGTCCCAAAATTTCTGATCAATAATTTTAATACAATATTTTAATGTTTTTCATCAAGTCTTGAAAATTTGTCCTATCCTATCCTAGGTTGTTTTAACCGGACGCGATTGTCACGATCGGAATTATTGAGTCTTTTATTGTGAAAAATCCATAATTTCCTTTCCTCAATTTAGATGAAATTAAACGTGTTTTAACATTTTGATCGCATACGATTAATAAATTTAGGAAAAATCTCTAATCCTTCCCATTAGACGTCCTAATATATGGAAACACTCGTAACAGCCAGGACTTTATATTGCTGGATGAAGACCTATTGGATTATTTTTTTCAGATGGGGATTTCGCTATTACGAGACTTGAACGTGCACAGGTTCAATTGATTCTTCAATGATATTCCCGCATAATCACAAACAATCCAAACTCGATACTAGGACAACAATATATCACAAAAATATACACCTTCGATGTGCCTGCGGTTAGTTAGAGTTAGACCGTCGCCCAGATTCCCGCGTAATTCTTTTCGGAAACAGGCTTGGCTAATTCTAATGTTAAAACTCATTTTAATAGTTCTACAAAGCGAATTTTTTAATAATGGCCTTCTCTTTCTCCACCTTTAATTTGACACATATCATGTCCATCGACCCTATTTTGCCATCCGTATTCTGACACGCTTCGAACGCATTTCGCCATCCCTATGCAGGCACTCGGTAAAAACCTATTTTACAATGCTTTTAGTTACTTTAAAGCAGAAAACTCGAAGATACACATTTTGTATGATTGAATTTACAACATTTTGGTAAAATACAAAACGGTTTGTGACTAGTGGAGACGTGTCAAATTTCGCAAGTGCCCGATTTTTCATTTTTCTGGATGTCAGTTGCCATTAGGCTTGCACGTAATTGACAAAAATCAATTCCGTAATTACGGCAAAATCAATTACGTAATGACCCCGTAATTGCGATATTTTTCCACGCATTTAAACCTATCGTAACAACCCATTGAATCCACTTTTTTTCCGTATGGGATATTGAAGTTGGGTTTTTCTATTCTTGGCAGTACTACACGCCGGCGGCAGATGTTAAAGACAACTATCAAGGAGTGAATTCAAATTAATTTTATTCTGATTTTTATCTTTTGTGTTAGCTTCGGTTTTTCTTTATCACCTTCGCAAATTAACCGTCCCATTTTTATGCGATCAATTTTATTTTATCATTACCGACACTGGTATACGGATATTTATGGAAACGATAGTTTTTTAAAACCACCTTAGTACTGAATAAAAATTACGGGTTTCTAATTTATTAACCAACGACGAGCGTTGATTATACTTGCGATTTCCTCGCGACGAAGACTTGTTTTTGCAGCGTTTTCTGCATTATCCGACATTAATGCCTTGTTAGCATTTTTATAATAATAATTATTGATGTCGACTTATTGACGATATTCCGATTACCATGCTTCATTTTACATTCAATCATTTGGCGGACTGAATGTTTATAACATTATTTGCGATAAATTTAGATCAAATATTATTTATTTGCGTATAATTTGAATACCGAACTTATATGACATGCCTTCTCCGAAAATACAAAGTTATATCGCAAAACAATGCATTTTGTGACATTTATTTTACACTCACAACATTTATTTGCTAACTCAAGTCGGCGATCCTATCGGCCAACATTGACAAAAGTTTGGTCGAGTGCCGGTGGTATTCAAGTCGACGATAAATCAAAATAAGTTGCCGCATTTGGTAAGACAGTTAATCATATATGGCCGAAATATTGAGAGGAATTGTGAAAAACATCATGAGCAAGGCCAAGTCCGGACTGATATATAAGATAAAACCGTTAACAGAACATCAAGATTTTGTAATAGAAAATGGATCTCGCACAGAATAAACACACAGGCTCATATTTGATTATATATGATAGCAGTTAAATTTTCAACGGTCCGCGAGGAATCCGTCGTTTTGGTTCATTACGCAATCTCTCTTTTGTCGTCAAATTGCTATTTGATAAGCGCGACATTAATTATCACGGCGAGGTATTGGCGCGAGTGATCAATCGCTCTTTTCGCTTATTTGGTTCCAATTCGTCGCGAAAGCTCTTCGTTAAATTTCACAAGATCGTCGTGTTGAAAGGTTATGGATATTTTCCTGTTTATACCCCAAGTCTGAAATGAAACAGCCAAAAACAATATGATATTCCATGTTCATATATCAAGTGTTGATATTAACAATAAAGAATGGTTAAGCATTGCTAATCCACACTTGGCGGGGAATTCCCACTATTCAAACGCGTGAATATAAAATAGAAACGGAACATATATACCATAAGTAACGGAAAACTGGAACAAGTAAATAATAAATAAAAGTAAAATGGATACAAATGTTTGATAGGCCATGTTTGATAGATTGATCTCCTGCGTTCATTAGTCATTTCACCCGAAGAAGTTGAAACCGGGCGTGTTAGCGTCTATCGGTCTAAACACAATTCTATCCCTTATCTATGGTTTAGTTGCGGGAGAAGTTAAAACCAGGTGTGTTGACGTCAAACGACCCTACTCAGTTCTTCCCCCATTAACTAACTAATAATTTACATTGGCCACGCCAGATAAGTTGATAATAGGTTAGTAAATGGCAACGCGGCTTGCCTTCCTTCACCTACGTAACAAGAGAGAGAAAAACGGCTGCGAATACCGGAACTCTAACTTCTTCTACTCGTTGAGCTTTCATTTTTCGCAATCGACGAAATTGACTGCTTTGAAGAAAGCTCGTTTCAATGCAATAATTACGACTTTACGTAATTCGTAACTTCCCTTCCGTAACTCCAAATAATTACGTAATTCCGTAAATCCGTAAATTACGTGCAAGCCTAGTTGCCATATTTTTTTGCTTTATTTTCTATAGATCTGACACGCTTCGACCGCATTTCACCATCCCTAACTTGACTTTTTGACCCTATTCCGCCATCCCCAATATGACTGTCATGCTAAGGGTTGGTAGCATAAAAGTCGTATTGGGATGGCAAAATAGGGATGGTACTCGGGAAATCGTGAATCACCGTGATCGAAGGGGTACGGAAGTTGTTTTCTTTTTCAACTCTGTATAAGTATAAGTTTATTTCGACTTCATATTCAGCATGACAATACACTTGACAGATAAAAAACGCTCTGGTAAGTGAGTTGCTTTTTTCAACAGATAAAAATGTACATAGATAGTGCAAGTTCAATTTAAACCGCTTCCGCATCTATTGTGTCGCTGTTGAACCAACCCCGTGTAACTCCGGAAATTTGGTCCCGGTGTTAAATTCGCCGTCACGCTAGACTTGGTGCTGACAGATTTTTGTTGCTTCGAAAATCAGCGTGCGAAAATCATCATTCCTGCGTTTTTCTGTGTTCAGACGGCGATGTCTCGCGTCAAGATTGAGAGATATGTGTATTTTGTAAAAAAAAGTTGCAGTGTGAAGAATTATGCTGTGTGATCAAAGCAGTTAGCAAGAATATACATTAACTGATAGGTGATTGAAATTATGAAATCGTGACGTATGTATGAAAAACATAAATTAAACACACATATTTTAACTTCAATTAATTAGTGTTTTATGATGGAGTTCTACTGATCTTGATAATTTTTTCCCATACTCATTCTGTCATTGTATACGAAGTCACCAGCTGCATATTACAACATAAGAGGTGTTTTCCGTTTGCCATGATAACCCATTTTGCTTGATTTCAGGCTGGTACTAATAACTTTATTCACATTAATTGGATACCTATTATTACTATTATCTAAACATGGCTTCAACATATATATATAAACATATGATAAATAATTTTAAAATAAAAAAAATTCATAATAGCATTCTGGAGAAAATTTCAATCTTCAACCACTGAAAATTTCAAAGCAATTGGTCCAGTAATCAAAGAGAAAAGACGATTTCTTCAAAACGTGTCAAAGAACAACGAGTCTAAGAACAACATAACAAAACGTGTCTAATAATGAGTGACATCATTGCGATGGAGCGAAGTAAGTGTTGCAGCAACAGCTCAGATATGTTTTTTAATTTGCAAAAATAGGAATCGAAGCAACATATAGTCGTACATGTTTATGTCCACGGATTGCGTTGGTTTTTTGGAGCAGAGATATTATTTATATTGTCGCAATCGCAGATTAAATTGATCACTAATAAATTAATGAAGCAACACATTTCGTTTCTGGATATTTCGAGATGATGAATATGTATGTTTGATATACACACTTTATATTTATTGCCCTTAATTAAATTGTACTATGCGGGATTTTATAGCAGACCTTGGGATTTTATAATGGCGATAACGAATTCGCAAGAGCGCAAAAATAAGTATCAAAACTAAATATATTCAGGAAATTTATCTCACATTATTATGTTCACAGATTGTTGTGTTACGTCGAGCACAATTAAATTAAAATTGAAAGACGGCTGGGATTTCCGTGGTTGTCATGGATTAAATATTATGCAACAGGAAAAAGTCATAGTGAGTTATTTTAACGAAAGCGCAAACACTTCGACCGCTCAGAAGCCGTTGCATGGTAATTTGAGATTCCGATTTTATTGCCCCTCTTATTGGGAGGTTATATGCAAAAACCCATTTTCAGGCTTAAAAACGGGCCTCGTCTTATTTACGAGGTAGACTTATTCGCCGGGAAATACGGTACTTTTTGCTCAAGCAACTGAGCAAGAGCGGTGCAGCTCACTTCCTGGAGGTCTGATGTTCTGAACCGATAGCACGGATTCGAATCGCAGGCGAACCACTGAAGCGTGAGTATGTGGTCTGCTAGACCGGTTGCAGCGGACATGTAATGGCTTTTTCCAGACAGGTTGTGTATTGGTATCTCAGTTTACACGATAATTAATCCTTTTCTATAACCTTGTGTAAAATTAGTTTCACCTTCAAGTTCTAATTGCGCTCCTAGTTTCAACCGTTCAATCCTATGGGGTTCGACGGGTGCGGTATCATTGGGAATTGAATTCTGTTTTGTTGGGTTAAGATTTGACAAATCGTTAAACAAGCGGTTGGTATGTAATTTGATAAGAAAACTGATTCGTGAATGGTGATGCTAGTCTATGAATGTGTCAGGGTTATATTATAGGTCGATTGCACCCGACAAGTAGGTCGTTGATTAACGCGCTTTGAGAGTATTGAGAGACTGGCATTATAAATATACTGCAGCTTTCTCCTGAGGTTGGCGTTTCAGAATCAGAACGTAGCAGAATCAGAATTATATATGTCTAAATTTAAAGTGGCAAAAATGTCACAATTTTTGTATACGTGTGAGCTAATCGATCAAATGCCATAAAACGAGAGAACAGTGAACAATAGGCTCGAATGTAAATGTTATATATGAAATAAAAAGGGTGCAAAGTACATCATATTAAATTGCGCTTTGTATATTGCCAAAGGTTAAATTTACTTGAATATCATGGCGATTGATCATATTTTGAAACAAAACAACAACAAAAACAAGGCTAATTCAAATCAGTAATGCTTTACTCATAGCTCTTTACCTGAGACGCCTAATTAGCCAGCAGTCGTCCGAAGTCGTGAGTGTGACACATACCGTAATTTTCATTGGATTAAAAAAAACAATAGATGCTGTATAATAATGTGTATATTGAGCATAAGTAGATGTTAAAATGACACAATAATTTCATGTTCAAAGTCAGTGATAACTTTTTTGTAAATGACCCACCAGCAATTTTAATAATCGAAATGTATCTTCATCCCTTCTAGACTTTAATTAAATAATCGAAATTTGTTATTCAGTTCGTGTAAAAGAATGTCACTGAATAAAAATGTTTTAATAGTATACGCTCATCCTGAGCCAACATCATTTACTGGTTCGATGAAAGATGTTTCCGTTAAAACATTGGAAAGTATGGGGTGTAACGTTAAAGTATCGGATCTCCATTCAATGCATTTCAAAGCAACAACATCCAAGGATGACATAATGGGTAAGTCTGTCTTTGGTTAGTTCCTAGACCAGTCTTGCAATCTTTAAATGTAACTGTAGTTCAAAGTAAAGTATAGAAGTTTGTTTGTAATTTCATATCAAGTTGCTCAATATGAACTGCAAATTCTTTACAAGAGGGTCGCCCAATATATAAAATATTGAGCCATATATTAGCCTACGTTAAGTCTGAATACGTATCGCGTTCTGAATAAAGTATTGCAGACATGGCATAGTTGCATTTTGATCTCGTCTTCTCACTAATTATAGATTAATGTATTTTTTAACATACTACCTTCACTATTGGGGATGTGGATTTGTTCGGTTTGTGTCAATGCTTAGAAATAAAATTAAAATGATATTTCGTCGCCTTTTAGGAGAAATTACTGCCACCCGGTTCGACTACTTGAATGAAAAAAGCGCAGCAGTGAAAGAAGGTCGACTAAGTCAGGATATCATGGATGAAATAGAAAAAATCGAATGGGCTGATTTGCTGATATTACATGTACGGCATTAGATTAGAACTATTTTATATAAATAGTAAAATGCAAAAGGGGTTGCGAAGTGAAGCTTCTTGTTTGCCAAGGTTATGTGTTTCTATAATTATCGCTATGTATGGAAAAAAAACGTTAAATTTGTTGATCTATAGATCGAGGGAAATATTGACACGAAGCGAAATAAAATAATTTCGATGACTTCATCGCACACGAATACGAGTCTCATGGACTGAGCCCACAGAAATTAAAAAAAAAATTAATATCTTTTTTTTTGCGAAAAATACAATCTTCAACCAATAAAATTTTATATCAAATAGTCCAGTAATGAGAGAAGCGATTTTATCATGTATATCATCAAGAAAAGATTTGGTTTCTGCGGGACTAACTACTTATCCTTCTTCTATTCTCTTGTGCCGGCGGATCCGTATGCATATAATGCTGTAACAAGAGTAAAGATAACTAACTATTCTAAGTGATTCAAGATTACTGCACACTAACACAAATATATTTCTGTAACGTTTCGTCTGACCAAGGTCAGACTTCTTCAGACATATATACATAGTTCAACTAGAGCATCTCGAAAAAAATACTAATAACAAGAACAGCAACATAATAACAAAACGATCTTCGTGTCCAATGCTAGAGATGTATCGGTATCGGGTATCGTCAATATCGGTCATTTTTTTGGTATCGGCCATGTATCGGTAACAGTTAGATTAAGGCCGATATTTCCGATGTATTTACCTTTTTGATATGGTCCAAAATGTAAGTAAGTAAGTAAGTGTTTATTTCGATTTTCCGTTACAACAAAACAAATAGGCAATACAGGGCAAAACAAATAAATGTACGGAAAATCAGGAAAGTGGGCAAAATCTAAAAAAGATTTAAGACGTGTTTTAAAAGATTAGTTGGAATACTAGTTTTTAATTTATTTTTTGTCTGGAGAGATTGTGAGCTATGAGCCATACATGTTCCCACCCCCGTGAGAGAATATTCACGTGTTTTTAGCTATTTATCAGCCAAACTAGCTCAACTAATTTAGATATTTTTGCTGTCAAATTTTTATATTGACATTTTTAATATAACATAGTAATTATGAAAAAATATATCAACACAGCACATAACAAAAAGCAATCAGGCGCCCGGTTTTAAATCATAAGGTGGAATTGGGGTCCTTATTAACGGCACATGGACTTTTGGCACGGGTATAAATTCTGACTGTTTGTCGTCAAGTACGAGTGTCATTTAGTCCGTCGACATCGATAAACTAAATTTCGACACAATTATCTCTCTACGCAGGTAATAATTTTAATTTTGTTTAACTACACAACTACTTTATAGATATATTGACATGACCGCATAGCCCTAGACTGTCTCAAAATATATGATTGCAATTGTAAAATATTATAAAATCTATTTCGTTGGAAGAGATCATGTTATTTTCACTAAAAAAACCTCCTCGACGGTTATAGGTTGGCCTTCTTTTTGTTGGTGCTGATTGATATTCTTTATTCATGTTGCCTTTGACTTATTGCGTCGACGATTACGATAAGCCACGAAATACAATATTTGTAAAATGCTTTTAATTTGAACGTAGGACGGCGGCGCTACAATATGTGGGTGATAATCGATATTCTTTTAAACACGAATAACGATATTCGAAGGTCGCGATATTAACATTAAATTCAAATTTGACATCCCGGCTTATGAGTTTTCTTATTGAACACCGAGATTACTAGCGTTACTGTACAACGTATCTTAATCAGTTAAAGCAAACTCCAAACATTAATTTCATATTATGCGACATATATATCTTTTTTTTTATCTGAAATAATGTGTACTATGAACAACGCTCAAAGACCATTGTTTTAACCCGTCTGCCCTACACAGCACCCCTAATTAAGTAATAATTACATAGTATCGGTATCGGAATATCGGTAATATCGGCCTTCTTATAGTATCGGCATCGGCGTTTTTAGCTGGTATCGGATCGGTATCGGCGACAAAAGTGGTATCGGTACATCTCTAGTCCAATCGTGTATAATGGAAGTTTAAATGAGCTATTATGATGTCATAGATTGGGTGTTGTTAGTATCCTATACAACGAACGTCTGAATGGTGGGGCTGGGAATTTCAGGGATAACACCTTAACCGTTAACCGGGTAAATTTAACCGGTTAACCGCAGCGTAACGTTTCACATAATAATTTATAAATTTAGCTTGTTACTCCGCAATGGTTACAAAGCAATTTCGCGTGACCTTATCCCAGTATCGCTCAAACTTATTCACGAATCGAGATAGTTTCATGATAGCTCTGCTGTAAGAGATATGCAGCGTGGGTAGGGCATACGGAAGTATTTTAGTAAAACCCGATTCCGTTCATTTATGTGACAAATTTTCAGTGTTCTATATTCAAATTTTACCTTGAGATATATAAAAAAAAAACAGCATCAACTACGCAATTTGAGTTGGGTTGCGCGAGACTAACTTCCTATCTTTTCCCTATGCCTTTATGCTAGTGGATCCGTATGCGTATACTGCAAGGATACTGTAGCTGGAATAAACATGACTATTCTATTCAATTAAAGAGTCCAGCTGCACACTAACACAAATGTATTTCTGTAACGTTTCGTCCGACCAGAGTCAGACTTCCTCAGACAAGCAGTTTACAACAATGGCAAGAAAGAAAATTTGCTAAATGAATTTGAAATATCAAATCAAGTATGACGTAACAATGCATAAACATTTAATTTGCATTTAGCCGTAGAAGTAATGATTGGGAAGATTAGAACCACAAATATCAGTGGAGCTCATTTCAGATGTAATTGAAAAAAATAAAATAAAAAAGGGGTTTTATTATTGCATTTACGAAAATGATGGGTAACTAAATGTAATTGAAATTATGGGCACTTAGAGAACCACGAGGAAGTAAACCAACATTTAAACATAAATCAAGGCTTAGTCTGGTGAGGACCAATTTCAAAATTAAAAAAGGTTAAAAGTTATTGCTGAATTTTGATCTTAAATAGCGTTAAAATATAATATTAATTCATAATAATAAATGAATAAATTAACCATCTAGCATATGTCGAGTAGAACAAAGGAAAATAAATAAAAAAATTATCGCAAGCACATAACTCCAAGGTTTCGAATTATAATTAAAAAAAAAAAACTTAAGATCGCCACGTCTCGAGCAGTCGATCGCGTCCGATGTTGAGTGTATTTTATTAAAATACCAACGAAAAATGGCCTCGAACCAGTTGTGTGTTTTACAACAGGTAAAATACGGTACTTTACATGCGCAAAATGCAATATACACATACAGTATTTGAGTCTGGGCAAGCCCGTAAAAACATTTTATTACGTGACAAATGCAAGTTTTTCCGCTGCCAAAGTTTAAAAATAAAGTGCCGAATATCGCGTGTCTAGACTGACAAACCATCCTACAATAACTTCCGCAGTATGTGAAAGTTGTTGTCTCACTCCAATAGTGATGTGATAAATTTTATTCGCAATGGTAGCAGTGGCATTAAAATGCCCAATTTGTTCTGATTCTAAGCAAGCGAGGAAATTGTTAGATAGGCTACTGAAGTTTGAGCATTCACGTAACATTCATTCAATATATATTTTTCGATGTTTGGATACAATTACATAAACAAATACAATTAACAACAATTAAATATTCAAACTAGATAGCGAGCAGAGACCGCCGACTTATCGATCTTGCGGGTTCGATTCCCTCGCTCTGATTCAATAGCGACACCGCATGACCCATCACTGATTAATTAATAATTCGCTAATTATACGACACATGATTCATCCGAAACTAATAGGTCTGGTCCGAGATAGGATAGGATCAGATTTACATATTTATCCCGGGGGAGAGGAAAGCCGATAAGACGGCTTATCCATATGGCGAACCACGGCCTCTCGTCCGGTTACCAGTCTAAGTCGGGTATGGGATTAGTTATATTGTTTGTTTTCGGAAGCATGGACTTGGTGGTAGAGGAAGCCGTAACCGACCAGCGGTTACGTGAACCACCCAACGACGGCGAGGAGTCCAGCAATCCTCTCGCACATAACCATCCCTGCATGGGATTCGAACCTGCGAACCCAAGCAGAGTAATTAGAGGTGCGGTGGCGAGCGTATTCTTAACGCTTAGCCCGTTGAGCCACACCGCCGCGCCGAGATATGGTGAATGCACATGCAAAATTTGGAGGAGATTCAACCCCGCTTTCGTGAGATATCGAGTAGGATACGAAAGTGAAACAAACAAACAGACAATTACCTATCAACATACTTACCGATCGAAATCGATAAGTCGCAACAATTTAAATGGAACACAAAAAATACAAATTTTGTGTCGATTTTAATAATAATGTGCCCACAAAGCCTTCTTATTGGCAGCGGTGGAATTTTTGGGTGTGTATGGGTGTGTGCAAGTATCTGCACATCCAGTACTCATTCAGTTTTTGTGTAGGACCTTATTACCGATCAGTCGATCGCGATCTATGTTGAGCATTTTAGTCGATCGCAGTCGAAAGCAGGTTGGCCACCCCTGTAATATACGATTGGCTGTGTATTTAAGTTGGCTAAATATGCATATGTCATTTGCTGTATATGTATATTGGATTAGTTGTATATGTACATGAGTTGGTTCCATTTACATATTATTGGCCGCATGCGTATATGACGTTACCAACTCCCGTCAAATTAGACGCATCATATTCACATTATAACATGCAATTATGATTATTTTACTTATTCAGTTTCCAATGCATTGGTTCAGTATGCCAGCAATCATGAAAGGATGGTTCGATCGTGTTTATGTATTTGATAGAATTTTTACACCGCAGCAAATGTACAGTACAGGGAAGTTCAAGGTAGGTTATTCTAATCTTCTGTTAAATATGAAGAATTACATTTTTAGACTGAATAGTGAGTTTTATACCTAACTTTGTGCCTGCATTTCCACAATTGCTTTGAATTGATCACATTTAGGCATCTACGTGAATAATCATTATTTCAGCCAATTCAAAATCGAAATTCAAGTTTTTCGTTTTACCTTAGAATCAGTATTTATGTAAACATCTCATGAAAATAAAATGTCCCTCACAAAGTTTTTGGCAGAATAACGCTGATAGTTAGCTATTTTGGATACTCTTCTCATATGTTCTCGACAACGCTCTAGCAATTGTTGCTAAATTTTGAAAAAAATATATAACTTTTTTCAAAATAATTCTGTCTCTCAAGTGAGTTTTAAACGTTCTACAATTCAGGGGAAACGAGCAATAATTGCAACCTCAACTGGTGGTTCTGAAGTTGTGTTTAAGAAAGGAATTCATGGTGATATGTCTATATTTCTTTGGCCAATACAGAGTGGCCTTCTCTATTTTGTTGGATACGATGCATTGAAGCCGAATGTATGTTTTAATGTTCGATCCATAAATGATGAAGCTAGAAAAAAGGTATCATTAACATCTTATGTATATTATAGAATAAATCAAATTTCATAAATAGGATATCAGTTAGAATTGAACTCTTTCTTAATTTTTTTATTGCACTAAAAACAAGAGATAAATGCTGACTTAGACCAGGGGTTGTCAAACTTTTTGTTTTGCGGAGCCCTTGAAAAAGTTGACTATTATTCACGGATCCCCAAAATAAATGTTAAAATTGTTACTTTCCGAATAATATTCCTGAGTGAATTACAAGTACCTCACTTATTTTAAATGCTAAACCTCTTTTAATAGGGTTAATACGAGTCATAAATGAATCTAAATGTCAAAGATAAATTATATAATTATACTTAAGCTGTAAATTTGACACTTGACAAACATATTAATAAATTAGGGGTCGGATCTTTTCCCTTTAGACATTTTTAAAAAAGACTTAAAAGGCCGCTAATAACGTACTCGATTGCATTTTATTGCGATCGCCGATTGTTTTCTTCAGCATGGCGTTGTTTATTCTCCCTAAATCAAAAATTCCCCTCGACATATACATGTATTGTTCCACAATGACGACGAGTGTTGCTTTTTTGTTCTCGTGGGGAATTATGAGTTTAATGCGAAAAACATGTTACCATATTATAGTCATCGGAGACGAAATGATAAAAATAACAAATAATAAAGAGGTAAATCCGCAACTCAAATTTCTTGATTGAAAAGCGGCATTCTAAAATATTAAATCTAAAATGAAAGATAACACTATAAGTTTTGTTTCAGCAGACTCACGTCAGATTAAAAACGCTTTCATAGACATTTGTAAATCACAAAATTTGGTGTTATGATGGGTTTTCTTTGGTTATTCGTCGTAGTAACTGCAAAACCGGAACACAATCAATTGTGCGCGATGTACCTATTTTTCCATTCTGAAACTATACCGACGGAGCCGCATGCAATGAAATAAATTTCAATCTTTCGTATTTGGCCCCGACCTCTTGATTTTTTAAACGGCGATATCTTGCTTGCTTGGTTTATCGCGTATTTTATGTTATTCCAGAATAGTATTCTTTCATTTTAGTAATCCTAATAGTAAAATTAGCCAATTCGGTATTTTGAAAAGTAATCGAATAGCTCGCGGAGCCCCTGGGTTTCTCTCACGGAGCCCTGGGGCTCCGTACGGAGCACTTTGAGAACCTATGACTTAGAACGGCACAAAATTAGTAATCGCTGAATACTGGTAGTGTGTTTTTTATATACGCTATATATGAGTTAAAACAACTCTGAAAGGCCGTTATAGTAATAGATCTTTAGAAACCACTTTTATTTTCAAAAACTGGACTTTTGATCTAGTAATTGAAGCAACATCATTTTGTTACTCTTAATATTTGACTAGAATTTAGATGCTACTTGAGGTGTTACTCAAGACAGGTTGTTCGTTAGGATTATCTTTTTGTAACACTAACATCGCTCTCCATTGTCTGACTACATATATACTCACACGGAGCACTCACTATTCCTTGATGTCTGGTGTACATGATTCAGATGCAAATGATTTCCAACCTTTTCTGTACATCCAAAATAATAAAAAAACTAAGGACCCAATTTCCTTTCACATTTAGAAAACTTCCAATATTAACTTTCAATACTAACAAATGATGTAACTGCATTACCCCCAATTTTGATTTTTAACAGATGATAGACCAATGGGCAAATCGCTTACAAGGAATATTTGATGAAGAACCTGAACAATTTCTTTCAAGAGACGATTTTGAAAGGAACGGTTTTGGCCAGATAAAACCGGAATCGTTAGAAAAAGCTATGAAGAATGGGACTTTACCTGTAGGACAAAAAGTGCAGAATCTATTATGATTGAACATCATGCTTTCGTAATTCATTTAAAACATTAAAACAAAGAGATTTCATAACAACAAAAAACACCATAAATTGGATGATGAACAACATCTTAGTACAACAAATTATATTTAGTTGATAATTGAGTTTGGGTTAATGATGAAGAAAATAAAAGCGTTAACATGACAACTTATTAGTTCCTGAATACAAACTTTTTTGAAAAATATTGTTGGAGTTATTATATATTCTTAGTACAGGTTCACATATTTTATTCTTCAGTATAAACTATAAATAATATTTTACTTTGTTTCATTGGCGCTACATTTTTTTTATACATGAAATGCGCTGTAACTGCTCAGCTGCAAAAGCTGTATTAATGATACACACTGTCCGATATACCAATCCAAGCTGAAACAAGGGAGAGCGATGTTCAAATATATATATGGATACAAAGACCAAAACGAAGTAGTACGGGTATGCAATCTGTCACAGTGGACTACCGGTACCGCAGTCTCCACAACTGCGCTTGACCACTAACGCGAATGCGGCACACGCAAAAAACGAATCTCATATAGCCCCCAGACATTTTTGAAATGAGTAACACCCAATATTTACCGGTCCGATAATTAATTATTGACACATTTCGTGTCCAATAACCAAACCAAATAAAAAGGTTATCGCCAAAAAAATTGAGCTTTCCTTTCGAATTTTGAGTGAAGAAGTATTTAATAATCTGGATCTCTCCCCAGAAGTTGTCGATGTTAACATTACTTGTAGATTGGTTTAATTCATTCTAGAGCTTTAGAAGGCCACTCTATCGTCTACAACTTTTAATAAATTTGTCCCTTTCAGCCAAATCTATACTCGATCGACTTACGTCACATATGCATATTAGCACTGCTAAATTAATCGTGTTATTTCTAAAATCAATCATATTAGGTTTGGGATAAATCGCTTCTCAATGATAACAGTTCTCCAACAATCAAGTTGCTAAAACTTGACTATTGTTTATTTAGATATTTGAACCTTGGGTGTCGCTGCTTGATAACCAGCATTGGTTCCCCGTGGCTTCCCCTCCCCAGTGAAATGTGTATTTAATATTATTTATTCGTCTTAATATTGCATGGTAACTTTTTTACTGGATGGAAAAAATAAACTTGACTATGACTATGTAGATGTATATAGTGTGATAGTATCCAGAGTGCGTTCAAAACTTCTACGCCGCTATTTAGCTTTTGCAATATATAATGTTGCAGTTATGTAGTTACATTCGGTAGCACAAACATGTTTTATACCTCATTCTGTCAGACCCCAATACTGAATTTAAAATAGCTTTGAAGCAATTTTGCCTCCTTTTGCAATTACCAATCCTACTGTTCTTTTTTCTTTTGAAATTATCAATGCTGGTAGTGAAAAGAATTAATTACTAGATATGAACTATAATATTACCTATATCAAAAGGTTACATTTGTTAATACTAATACTTGAATAGTAGGTAATGCGTAGACTCGATACAATATTTACGATGCACATTCTAATAACACAAAATCTCGTCAGCATTTCTAAATTCACTCACTAGGCGGTATACTTGATTTCATTTCTAAAACAGGATAATTGGAATGATTTTACTGCGTAAAGTATATATGTATACGGTGTTAAAGTAACGATGCAACAATCATTTCACACTAATTTTATTTGCATAAATTATTTTGCTTTCACAAAATAAATTTCTTGTTTTAAAAGTTGGACCAATTTTATTCGGGTATTATGAAACTGAAATAATTTATCTAGCTTGAACTAATACTAGGGATAGATCAAGAGATCGTTACGATAAGATTGAAAGTGCAAATATTAAAACGTGCAAATACGTACAAATACGTGAAAAATGCCAAAAAAATCTCACCAATAAAAGACGTGTATTGGAATGAATATATTACACCTCCGAAGACCAATAAAACTTTAGTACCGAGAGCTATTATTTTTGTTTTCAAATTAACTCTGAATCATATGTGACACGAAATTTTGCTTGCAACTTTGGTCAAAAATCATAGAATGACAGCAGAATAATGCAATGCATATCAGAAACACGAATACTACAAAAAAAAATGCAATGAAGCAGAAATTTCGTCTCATATTATCGTTAAGTGCAATGACGCTGCTGCCTAACTTCGGATGGAAATTTACAAATCGGTATTTCTTGATTAAAATGCCAAATATTTTACTTATTCAAATTTATATATCACGCATAAAAATGACAACTACTCGAACGATGTCTCCCTGCGTAACTTTGACGCAGTATAAATATATATAGCCAGATAAATGTCTCATTGAGGTACCGCGGACCTCCAACTCCATTCCAGGATTTTCCCTATATTTAGCATCACTTGTCTTTAAAACAAGAGTGTTTGGGAGAAAGCGTAAAAATTCCAATCTATTTCAGGCTCTTTGGCGTAGTTATTTGACATTTGCGTTCATACATTTCGTCATTGCTCTTTTGTTTTCATTTGGAAATTGAATTCTGGATATGTCTAGGACTTGAGATTTTGAAATCTGCTTCTTTATATTTTACACCGGTACTAGTATATATATTTTATCTTAATATGCCCTTCTTGCTATTCTTCTCCCTTGCACAATTAATAATAATGAATTAGCGCCATAGATAGTATCCATTTCATTGCACTCCATTTTTATGAACATTTTTAACAGTACGGAATAGATTAAAACAGGTGATGGTACAAAGGTTTCGACAAACATTGAGCAGGTTACTGTTTAACTCGACAACGCGAGCGCGGATAATATCGCAGGCTCATCCTATATTCATTTTGCACTACTTTGTTCATAATAGAAGTATTCACATTGAATGGTGTAAACAATTGGGGTGAATCGGGGTTTTACTTCGAACTTGCTGAGTTTATAAGAAGTAATTTAAATTTAGTGTAAAATGACGGAATAAGTATATATATATATTACATATTTGAGTAACAGTTAGGCTACTGGTTTTAATTCCCCATTTCAAATATCAATTGTAATATCAAAACTGTCTGTTGCCAATGTCACTAAATCATATAAATGGTTTAAATTCATGCTTATACTAGTAGGCTATCTGGGAAAGAGGAACTATAATTTGTGTGCAAATATGAGTTATGTGCCAGGATAGTGTATTTCAGAGCTGATCAATCATTTAGGCAGTGGCAGTCAAGTACGTAGCTGCCTCATTGTATTATTGAAGTAGTCGTGTGATCTTGATGAGACAAAATACAAGAATTGGGAGATCATATCACCCTGACCTTATTTTCTTGTATCAATTTTCATTCTGAAAAATACCTGTTTCTGCTGACTAACTGTTGAAGCAATCTTTTCAAAGATTTGTTGATATTAAAACAAATTCCGTATAAACAATGACTTATTCGGGAGATACTGAGCTTCTCGAGTGGGAGTTGGATCAAGCAGATGACAATTTTGAAATGGATGAAGAGGTGAGCTTAACTGGGACTATAAAACGTGTCCGGAATTATTTCCTTTCATCGATTTTTTTGTTAATTTGAAAAAGCAAGATCTCTAGAAGCCTAGTATTATATTATGTAAGTTCGTTTTAACGCGACAAATGTAATCCAACACACTTGCTCATTTTCGTATTTTGAAGACTCGGAATTAACAAGTATTTACAATCTGAGATGCTTGTATTGTACTGTATATTTGTGTATTATATTATTTCGATCTTTGTGTTGTCAAATTAGCATATAATATGTCCGCACCCGCACAACCTGTCTATTTAGTATATGTTTTGTGGTTTTCATTATATCTTCTAATTTAATACAGATGTTAATTCTATTCTTTAAATTTTCAACTTGTCCTATTTTTAAATTGTTACCATCCCCATTTGCCTCATCATCTCTGACAAGGTGCAGACCACTAATGAAATAACGGCGTTCGTCACTGAAATATTCCTACATTTTTGTCAGGAGGACTCTTGGGTGCCACCAGAAAGTCGTAACAGATTTGGAAACGAATCCGAGTTTCAATCACCAGAAAAATTGCGAAGTGCTCCGAATAACTGGAGAAAAAACAGGTTAGCTAAAGCTAGACAGTGCTTCTTTAAACTAATGTATAGCAGTGATGCCAATTTCGCGATGAAATATGCTCACCATGTCTGTAAATACCTCAAACCCTAAATATTATTACGTTCAATATTCAGGGAATTCCTAAGCCCAGTCGAAGGAGCTCATGAGGAAGGGAAAATGGATGACGAAGAAGAGGATATCGGAAACGGAGATATTTCTATCCCAACATCCGCGCAGTGAGTTAAGCAGCTTTTCTTTATAGCAATATTGATCCTGCCACTCAGACTTGTACCGGTATATATATTTGCCAGATTTTGAATATATATACTAATCGGTCCAAATAAATAAATACTTTTGGACTGATTTTATTTGCAGTGAACTACCGAACACTTTGTGAGGTATTTTTCGAAATTTTCAATTTTTCCCCATTTTTGTACTCTTATTTATGTTTTAGAACTGAAGTTAAACTTCAAAACTCCATAGAAGAAGAGAAAAACAATTTAAGTGGAGGAGAAAACTTCCAAGCTATGGACTCTTTCGGAGAAGACACATATTATTATGACGAAGATTTAACAACCAGAGAAAATCCAAACACTGAATTTAGATCAGAAACGCAAAGCAATACGGACTTAATTTTTCGAAGTTCTACTATGGAATCCCAATGGAGAAATCGGACTTATGTCAAATACCTTCGATACTTTTTAATGGCTGTATTAGCACTAGGTGCTGGATGCTTTTTAGGATATTTAATAGCCAAGGCAACAAACCAGAATGACAATAACTCCCAAAATACAACAACCGCCTCGATAGTTTATTCGACCACGACTAATGAAACTGTCTACAGCTCTACAACACCGAAAACATAGCAATTATTTCTCTGAAAAGTGACAAAGTGCACAGAAACGAGTTATTGAGATGTTCTTACACCCTGAGTGTTTGTCGAGCAAGCAGATGCAGTCGAACGTCTATCGCGGGTTTTCTATCTACCTAGCAACTTCAGTTTTGCCTGTACCGAATACATCATGAAAAACTTGAAAAGTGTTAATACACACCATGCTTGGGTGACAATGACGATACCACAATGTGACTAAGTTTGGGATAAAACTATCGAAGAGAAAAAACATGATAAATGGTGTTTGCTAAAAAGCCATAGATATATATATACATTATGGTGATGGAAAAGTTGGTTAGCTCGACTCAAAACAAATACATATTGTCATTGATGGGATTTAAGTTTTAAAAATACGTTCTCATTCGCACCAAACCTACTAACCAAAGATTCACTTATTTCACAAAACCTTGCCTAACTTATAGCTTCAAAAACAACATCGAGTTCGCATATTATCATCAGATTCCGAAAACGGGAATGAACCGTTGAATCCTACCACTACATATAAGCCTAATGCACAAAACGTATATACAGACGCCGACGTATTATAAATAGTAGAGGCTGAAATATTGCTACTTATTTTTTAGTACGTCAACAATTTTTAGTACGTCAACAATTTTCACTAAACCTAATTGAACGGAAATGCTTAAATTGAATTTTGGTACGTAACAAAACTGTCGGGAAAGAGTCAATATAATGTATATCGACAAAAATATCCCAGTTACTATATTTACAGAAGTCTAATAGTGAATCTTATAGGTCACATACCTACGACTTTAAAATTCAATAAATATTTTCTGGGAGTTATGTTTTGAAATGTATGTGCAGTTTAAATAAATTTTGGTCGGTGCTAAGGCGTAGGATTAAATGAGATATGTTCAGTTTTTATTTGATTTTCCTTTTAAGGACTCAAGGTTGGTGATATGACTTGAGAAAATTTAAAATGAAAATTAAATAATCGTTTAATAATAAAAAAAAATAAAGTAAAACCTTTTTGGGATATATATATATATATATATGTTTCGAACTGTATATGTGCGTTTGAAGAAATTGGTTCATTACTGGGATCAATGAAATGAAACATGACATGTTCATGTCATTGCTGGGACATACACGTTAGACATAATATGCTCAACAAGTAGGCTGCAGACATTCCTTACTCACTCAGACGTTTGTACTACCCATTTCCCAAGAATAAATGCAGTGTAGTTGTTTTGTATAATTATTGACACTTAGGCGAAAACAAATTTAAAAGCAGCATCTCAAATCAAGGTCAAAGTTTGTTTGCGAATTAACGTGATTTTTGCTTGAAGTGGGTCGCTCGACGTTATATGTGTCAATTTGAACCCCTCCGAATGACAAATGTCGTGATAGGTCTTACATTAAGCTTCACAGACGCTTGAAAATGTCAATGTGGATGGATATATTGCGAATAGGGTAGAATCCTATATTTTCACAGAGCAGAAAGTGGATTTATTCAGCATTATGTGACATAGAATACAATACAAAAGAGAAAAGGCTCGATTAGGTACTTTCTAATCGGACTTTGATACTTCATGGATATAATTGTTAGTTATAGCAGAACTATCTAACCACCATAAATAGATACCGGTAATATGTATTCTGAAGCTAATTATAGGGTGCCGCGGCCATCAAACGTCCATGGGTCTAATCGCTGCAGGGCGACCGAGTTGATTATATTAAATGCCCCCCAGGCGCGACGCAACAATATGACGCTACGGCGCCGGTAGTGTGTTGTCACTTGTCAACGTGGCGAGTGACGTCGCTCTCATTGTAGACGCGTTTAGCGATGTGTAACTCAAGCACTATCCGTTCAGTTGTGCGGTGGTCGCCGTGTTGGTATTTTCGGTAGTTATATCTGTATTTTGGGCGTGGGTGCAATTATTGATGCAATTTTCCATGATTAAAGGTTTCCAGCCTTGGGGTTTCCCCATGGTTTCCAGATTTCTGGAATCCCATTTTATAAGTAGCTAGTATTGGCTACTGACTAACCGAAACTCTTGATCATATCACGTTTTACTGTTTCAATTCGATATGAATTAGAGCACTTCATCGCAAATGTTTTAGAGGGGAAGATGAGGTTTGAAGATTGAATTCTATGTAAGTTTACATTCTAACTAGATGCTGTGATGGGGCATATGTAGCTTTTATAGTTAAGGAATACAGGGATAAATGAATTCTTTTCGGCTTTCGATAGATTACTGCATTTAACGCATTTACTGAAACTTAACTTATTTATTGTTGATGATTATCAATAGATTAAGATCTAAATGATCTGGAAGCTGGGAAGTGCTCACATTTTGAAATATTGTTCATACTTACTGCAGTACTGACTTATGTATTTGCAGATTATTTGAATTTCATTAATGTAATTCCTGTGTTATTTTTTTTTATTTGATAGTAAAGTTACAGCGAAACCTAGCATATACAGATGTCCATACCCGTCAGTCCAAGTATGGAACTGATCATCAATGGTTTGAAAATGATTATTAACTTCAAACTTATACTAGTTTTACAGTATTAGAATACATTTCCTTAATACTGTTATCAAGCATGTGCCTCACTGCCCAAGCTTGCCTTTTTTTGAAAAATGTTCTTTATTTTACTCGCACTTTATCCCAGTTTTCAAATATATTTTTTTTATATTAATTTGTTCAAGATGGCTATTCTGGTCCAAAAAGTAGTGTTTTTAGTCATATTTCGACTAGTCTTTCGAAACTGATGAATAAAAAATGAATGAGAAAACTCCTAAGCCCTGTATCTTACAATGCCAGAGTCGGAAAAACATAATGTATAAAATTGTACACCATAAGTTTTACCATACCAACTGTTATATAATATATTTAGATTATTGTATACTAAGTACAGAAGTATTGACATTTGACTATGTTGAATAGTGATTTAAATTTCTAAATTATAAATATAGATTAAAGTAAAGACTGTCTGAATCTCTCGATAACCTTGACTGAAAATTAGAACAATATTTGGTAATATCCTTGTTTCCAAAATATTAATCATCATTGGCTCAGCTTTTATCAGTGTTTCATAGATTTATCTTTTCTATTTTAATCCTCATGAATGTATAGCTACCGCTTAGTTTAACTTTTTTGAACTTATATGGACTTATTCAATATTTAATTCTTGCCAGATGCCAGATCCTATGTGGAACAGGCTGCTTATTTATCAATCACATCAAGTCACAGAACTTTCTTTATTTCTCAGATCAATCTTACTTTAAGATTTAAACTGCTATACAATATTTATCAACATGGTAGTAACACATAAAATGCGAATGGCTTCAGAGAAGCACAGCAAAAATGTAACATCGAGAGGAAACGTAGCAAAAAGTTTGGTAAGTATTATTATTATACCTATTGGTGGCCAAAACTAAATCGACTACTGTATTTATTTCTTGTATGTTCTAAAATATATTTACCAAAATGAAGGTAGCTAATAAATTCTGAATTGGTTCATGTTTAACAAAGAGCATGCATGAAGCATTTTCACTGTCGTGACTGTCTACCTGACTGGCTGTTGTCAATTGTGCATAATGATGTATATTAGGTGAAATTTCTCTTATTCTCAAAATCAAGAATTTATCATGAATACAGGCAATTGTCTTGGGATATTCTATTAATTTTGAAAATATCTAATCAATAATCATACTGTATTTGTTTGGTTTGTACTGCAATACAATGTAATTTTAAATATGATTGCATAATTGCCCATATTTTGTATTCAGAAACCCACAGAGGAAAGTTATCCTGTTGGACCTTGGCTGCTCGGATTATTCATATTTGTTGTTTGTGGATCAGGTAAATTCAAATTAAGTATTTTAAGGTACTTTTTGTTATAATCATAAGTGAAATCACATGTTGTCTTTTAAATTGAAAACTAATTTAAATAATTCATTACAACAGACGCTAATATACCAGGAAGTACAGATTAGTGTGCTTAATTGCTTTGTTAGTTACCGCTTCCTGGATATGGTGAAAGCAGTAATTTTGTGTCTGTGTCAACCATAACATTCTTTCCTATAGTAATACCTTTATATAGATCTATTTTTCAGGAATTTTTAGCCATTGTCCATTTGTCTTATACTCATTTTTCCTATTTTTGCTTCATTTCAAGATAGGGTCGTTTTCAAAAATATTGGCATATACTTGAAAAGTATCATAAAAGTTGGTAACCGACACCACCAAAGAAATATTCAATATAATAGGTGAAAACGCATAAATAAAATCCTCATTGTTTACTTTGTTGTTTCATGAATATTCACGCTTTCATTTTCAGCGATATTCGAAATTCTCCAACATGTTCGTATGTTTGGTTAGATTGAAGACTTTTCGGACAACAAAGATGTATATATCTACGTTTCTCATGATTATGGACCATACCTTGCTGCCTTGGGAAAATTTTCAGTCATTTTGTACATAGCAGTATTTAAATAAATGTTCTCTTGTAACAAACCTTGCTCTCATGTGCTTGCGATGGTGTGCATTTTATGACTTTCTTGACAGTTTGTGTGCAACCCACATCAATAAATAAATGTATATTTCAGTATGATAACCAATAGTTTGTTTGAATTTCACATCTTCTTGGTTACACTATTAGTGTAGATAATAGGGCAAAAAATAGTAGTGTCAAGAAAGACAAAACTCGGGTCCATATCTATAAAGCAGGGCTGTGGCGTCTGAGATTGGTGTGGTTGGGGTCGTATTTTTAAATTCGTCTGGGTAAAAATTTTGAATTATCCTGTAGTTGGAATCTTGGGACTTTTATTGTTGACAATCGCTGTCAAAAATCTCTGCAGAAACTCGGAGGTGTTTCTAACAGTTTAGAGATTGGGCTGAAGTGGAAATATTCATCAAAATAAGGGCCAAATTATTTTTCGAATTGGGAGACTGGGAGACAAAGTCTACTGTAGTAGATGCAGATTTCGCTGATTTGATTTTTTTACGTTGGAGATTCATCGCATCTGTGAACTTTACTTACACCGGATCAGAAAAGCGGGCGCTAGGCGGAACTTTACAGTAAGTTTGCGCATTCAGGGTGTTCGAAGGAGGGTTGTGCAATTTCTAATTGCTGTGTTAGACCGTAACAGCCAGTTGGAAAACGTGGGTTCTCAATCGTCTTGAGAGTCTAAAAAGCGCTTCGAGCTACGAAAAATTGGAGTACTCCCGAGGTATGTGAACCGATTGATGGCGGACAGCGGAACTCAGTATGTGTACCAAGTTAGGCCATAATTTCAGGTACAAATACTACGGAAGTCACTTGGCTAGTCCCCCAATTCGTAATAGAACTAAAATAGGGAAAATTGAAATAAAATTGTGGCGTAACCCTAACCTGGTACACATGCTACGTTCCGGTGTCCGCCATTTTGGTTCACATACTTCGGGAGTACCAAAATTGGTATGTATGATACAGAATTTTTACCATCGTCCCGCTTTAGGCGGGACAGTCCCGCTTTTTAGCGTCTTGTCCCGCCGAGTCAGCCAAATGTCCCGCTTTTGCGTTCAGCCAGCATAATACACGAACATGTTCTCGTTACTGTTGTTGGTGTGCAGCGCAACGCTAGCGTACTTACTGAAGGTGAATGCGTTATTTTGTTTGTTTCGTTGTTTCCTGCTAACATTGTTAGCGAACGTATCCGTGTAAAATCAATTATAATTGGTCCTGTTCGGACGTTCGCGTGAATGTAACATTGAACAACATTTTTTAAAGGCGTTATCTACAGAAAAGCATGCTTGGGCGAATAAGTAAATTCTCAATGCTTGAAAACGGCAGACTATTTCATTATTCTTTATTTCTTTTGCTGTACATAAAAAATCTAAATTCGAATCATTTGTATAGTTAGCGTCTATTCCTTTCTATTTTTCGAACTGAACTCGATATTTAGACAGAGAATATGCGCATGAACTTTCGATGACAATATGGTCAATGAAGACAGGGGGGGTGGCTTAAATGTAGGCCCATGTAGTAAAACCGGAAACTGTGAAGTGACAGGAGGCGTCCCGCTTTGAAGTCAAAAAAATATGATAACCCTAATTAAGATGTATATATACATATATTTTAGGACCTCTGTAAATAGTTGCACCATTATGTATTATGAGTGACAGAACTAATGTTTCATGTGAGAATATTCGCGGAAAGACGCGGTGCAGGTAGGAAGTATCGAAGCCTGCTGCTCATTGGCAGCGGAAACAAATGGAATGGGGTAGAAAAGATTCTAATAATTTGGACTACTTCTATGCCTGCTGGCAACCTGTCATTCAGTTATATCCCCTCGCTGAAGGAATGTTCGAAGCTGGTAAAATCATCACTCAATATATTTGGAATTCCACGGACACCTAAATTATAGCTAACATTCATTATTAGCGTGCCACAATGACTCATCGGCGGTGAAGCTGCATCAGTTTGTTTTGAATTCCGTACTCATTCTGCTGTTTTACTTGATATAACGCGTACACCACTTATATATATATGTGATATTTTAGTCTGACCTCAATGATAACATTCGCTATTCTGGTTCAATTATCTTTGCACTCACATATCTGTTGCAACTATGGATGTTTGTACCATGTACATTTTCAGCCATATATGTTTGTACCCATGTACATTAGCACCCACATACACTTGCCGCGAGAGTTCACAAGATGGAACCGGAAATATTCTTGTAACTGCCTCTGAAACAGTCTCCACGTTCGTTAAAAATACCGGCTATTTCGCGGTATAATAATTTATCAGTCTTGTAATATTCAATCTATGACAACTACAAGAGTTCAAAATGTCTCTCTATTTGAATTCATTTGTGTCCAAGGCAACTCGCTGCCGCGGCGTTTCACGACAAAATAAACTCATTACCGACCTAAAATACCACGCCAATCCGCGGGCATAATAATGTGTGATCAACTGCCCGATTATATTTAGTTTTGATATATTTTGCGCTCATGCGAATTCGTTATCGTCGTTAGAAAGATCTAGTATAATATCCCAGAAAGTATATTTAATTTAGTACAATGAAAATCGGCTCCTGAGTTAGTCCTCGAGAATACGCCACTTGTTAGAAGAGCCGACTTTTTCAACGAATATATATATATGTAATGGTTTTTCTGTTGAATGAAATATTCAATCCATGACCGATATACATATTCAAAATGGTTGTTTTATTCGTTTAGTTGTGATAAATTAAATCTGCGATTGTGTCGATAAAATAAAAGCGCCACTGCTCCAAAATGGTGACCGTACATTTGCTACCGATATATCCGCGGGAACCCTCCAAAATACCACGGTAATCCGTGGACATAAAATGTGTGGCAAAGCGCCCGATTGCATTTTGTTTTGATTTGTATTCTTGCACAACACCAATATGAGCTGTCCCTGCAACTCTTACTCCGCTCTATCGCAATGCTGCCACTCTATTCTATCCACTCTGTGTTGTATATCACAGACTAATTATTTATTCAGATTACTATACAATCGGACGTGATCGACGACTTAAATTAGGGCCATTTTAAACCACAGCTTATTTGCCTTTCACACAGCTAGTGTACTGTATATCTATGCCTGTTTTTCTGTAGAAAAGTATTTCGTAACAATTCAATTACATCGGTATCTTTTGTATACGTACCAGCATTAGGATTACATACGACAGTATTTTAAGCATCAGGCGAATATTTAAGAAAACCTAAAAATGTCACAAAACGAAACTAGACACTGAAAACAGACGTTTATTAGATGGATGGCAGCGTTCTTATTTCTTTATTGAATAGATTACGATAGAATCAAACTTCAGCGATTTGTCTTCCTTGCAAACAAAATATATATTTCAGTTTTGAAGGAATACAACATTAGCCGTCATTGTGAGACGAAGCATTCTTCAGATAATGATCAGTCGACACGCGTATTTCAAAATTTAATTTATTGCTAAATTCATGCAAACGCCAAACAAACATGTTGAAATAAATATTAAATGAAAGTGAATCCACGTTATTGGCTAGTTATACTGTAGCCCGCAACATCGCTAAAAAGAATCGCCGTTTGTTGAAGAGAAATTTCTCCGCTAATATATGCTGCAGCAAGTCATTTCTCCTGATATAAAAAGTAACTTTTCCAGCATCAGTCTTCCTAACAACACAATTATGAACCTAACAAATCAAAATTTTGGTTCAGACTAACAGACAATCTTTTGAATGCGTTATTACGAATGAATTGGAGCCACGTTTTGAACATCTCACAAATAGCCTACAAGTCACAAGTAACCATTTATGCGGGGCCGCATGCTAGTTTAGCAAGTAACTTCATCAGTCACCATCAGTTGCAAATTTATTGTTGAAAGTCGTGCTTGTTATTTATTCCTCAGGTATTCTATCACCTAACCCTAACTAATATAATTATTAATTTTATTACATAACAAACTGCGATGCTAGGTGTATCTAAAATCAATCGTGCAGCCTATTTTAGTGCCTATGTTTCAAAATTTTCTCCGGGCGCTTGAGCACGCCCTGAACCCCAGCCGTGCCGTCGCGCCCTTTCTTTCCCTTTTTCTGGCCCGCGAATATTCTTCTGCTTCTGTTCTAAAATTTATTGTTTGTTTGATTTATATATTACTGTTATTTATCTATTACTGTTAGACTTGTCATGGGTGTCGCTGCTCGATCACCAGTCTTGGTGTCTCGCGCCTCCCTTCACCCTAAAGTACCATATTTCCTATTTCTTGTATTGTGTATTCACATTGTGTGCTTTGGAATGGTGAAAAAATAAATTACTGATTACTTCAATTTTGGGGCCGCGATCAATCAACTTTTAGAACCCCCTGGTGTAGACTGTTTGCCGAATACGTAAACAATTTTTATGATTCACAATATATTTAACACCCCTTAAATTTTAAAACACCCCCCTAAAATTATTGTATTCTACACAAAACTGAAATAAAAACACAGTTGAATGGCACCAAATCGTGTAACTAAAATGGTTGTTAATCATCTTTGCATCCACAAAGGACAAACTCGCTATTTTGACACCATTCGTAGTAGTCACGTGACCACATGACAGTCTTGTGTGGGAAGTATATGTTTATAGCTGTAATCGACATTTGAGTAGCATTCCTCGCGCAGGCTTTCTCTGATTGCCAAAGCTTCGGTGCGTGCATTTCTCGCTTTCTTGTTATCGGGTTAAATTGAGGTTCAGCAATTGTGAAATGCATCGGAGGTATTTCAGTATTTGTGGGGTATGATACCGATACGATTTATGTATCCCCAAATGCTGATATTTGACAGTCATTTAATATTGAGAGTTGCAATTTACAGATTTATGATTCCATGCCCAGATGCTTGCATACAAATGAAGCCAAGGAACAACATTACAATCTGCCAGTGCTAATATCGTAATATCTAGGTAGGTATTGAATATTGGCAAATGTAGTCTGATTAGAGAGGTGCCAAATACTGAAGTATGGAATAGTTAACACTGTGATCTTCTGAATTAGGATAGGATTTAACGTTACATATTTATCCCGGGGGGAGAGGAAAGTGAATAAGACAGGTAAATGGTATGGTCAACCACGGCCTCTCGCCCTGCTGCCCTGTTAGACTGTTACCAGCTCATGTCGGGAATGGGATTAGTTAGCCAGACTTGTAGTTTCGTACCTAACATACTTTTAGTGGGCGTAGCATAACAGTTTTTGTAGCATTCTTGACATGTCAATCCTAACCACCACCTGACTACGCCATCCAAAAATCACGTCATTACGACATCACAATCACGTCATAGAGCTCGCCAAATATATGGGAGATCGCACAAAATGATATCGGCGGCGACGATAAAGAACTGACTTACAGCGATCTCATATTAGGATTGTTGCGATGAGAAAACGAGATAAATAGCTGTTCGATTTCAGGTGCTCATCTGCGCATCTTGGATTCCAGTTCGTATATTTTGACTGGCTATATTATGTCCCTGTGACGTCGTAGTTTCGTAATCTTTGAATGGCATACTCAGGTGGGGAATAGGATTGACACGTGAAAAAATTGTTATGCTACGCTCACTAGAAGTACGGTAGGTACGAAACTACAAGTCTTGGTCGTTATGATAGTAGCTATTGCAGTATTGTCCTATGGCAATAAAAAATGAAAAAAAATAACTGGCTAACTAATCCCATTCCCACTACACGAGAACCAATATACATACATATAGTTTTTTATATATAAATAAGCGTTTTTCTATTATGTTATTGCTAGCTACTAATTTGACGATAATTATGTTTCCAGTGATTCCAGGAAATGAGGGAAAAATGTAACCTCAGACAGTTAATTTTTATTTCATAATGAAATTTTCAAACCAGTCAACTGTAATTCACATTGCTGAATTCTATTGATTGTGATTAATCAATTTTCATGTGCAGAATATTCTTTCTGCTAATTTATTCAAGACGACAGTAATTTTTTTAATAGATATGATAATACAGTAATAGTAGTGCATATCCACCAATCTGTAAATAATTTTTAAAAATTTGACAGATTATGTAACGTAAGTAATTTTTCTGTTAAAACCTACTGTTAAATGGTTTAAATTTCACTGTAATGCTCAGATTATAGATAGATTAGTCTATATAATATTTTTAAAAGTTGACACTAGCTTCAATATTATCCTATTTCATATTGAAAGCAAGCAACAAAAAGTGATTTTATTAAAGCTCATCATTGGATAAGTGTCATGACATAACAGTTTAGTTTTTGTAATTTTCTATTTAAATTTCTGGTCATTTCTGGTCAATATCTTTATTATTTTAAAGTTGGAGATTCTTGAGTTGGTATACCGGTATATTCAATTCTTCCTGGGTCGTCGTTATGTAACTGCATAATGTATTAGGTGTGTTAATACAAAATCAATACATAACTAAATATAGAATGTTTTTTTCTTCTAATCATTATTGATAAAGTGAGCTGGGTGATTCATTCTTGGAAGTATAAAAGTATGTGGATGTAGTATCAACATTTTCCGTCAGATGGAAAGTAGAAATGGCAACAACACTCACTTTTTCGAGGGAAGTGGATATATAACCACCGCTCAACCATCAGAAACAACTCTGTTACATGGGAAAAGTGCAGAAATAACTACGACATTTTCCTATGAGACAAACTCTGCAATGAACTCTGATCTGCCATCATTTGAAGACATAATGGATGACAAAACAATGCTACTTCAAACCAATATTCTACTTACTGCTGTCCTTGTGGTTTGCTTTGCAACTTTTGCAGCAGTTATCGCAGTTTGTATTTGTTTCATGAGGTGAGTAATCTTCATTACGCATAGGATATACAGATTTTCATGGAGTCAAAACAGCATTGATTTTTTTATGGTACCTGTATAGGGTACTAAATATTACAGTAATAATCACTTATAATTTATTTAAAATTTGTAAATATATATAATTTATAATAGAATATTTATTCATTCGCTATCATCACGTCAATATTTGTTCACCAAAGCTTTGTCAATTTTTGTGAAATCAGCAAGATCAGAGGTATAAAAAGCCATGGTCAAAAGCTCTATAAAAAAACATATTATTAGACTAGTCGATCAGGAGACATTTTCGTTTTTAAAAACTTTTAGAAAATAAAAAATAACTGGTCTATAGTAGTTGAAAGAAAAGGCAATTTTTTTTATTCCAACAACAATTTAAAAAGTCAATTGATGGATTCTCTTTGTGTGCATGTCTATCAGATTCGTTATATTTGAATAAATTATATTTTTTTTTGTGAATTTTATGACTTATTAGTTATGACTCATTTATTCCATTAACTTGTTTGTACGTAAGAATTTGGAGGGGAATTTAAGCTGTTGTCAATGAATAATATTAGTATGTACTGTCTGTCTTTGGTTTAAAATCTTCTGTGTTGTATACTGTAGAGCAATTTAGTATGTACTGTCTGTCTTTGGTTTAAAATCTTCTGTGTTGTATAGACTGTAGAGCAATTTAGTAATATAATATACATCTATGTTTAGAATTTTTTTTGTATGTATTTTGTTTTTGGTAACCATGTATGCCTCATTTGCATAATATAATAATTTTGATGACACTAAGACCATAAATTATATCTCACTCAGAATATCTTAGGCACTGATATTTTTATTTTGGAATTAAAACTTCGTTTCGAACTTTATTGGCTTTATATCCAACCTTGATTACATCATCTTAACTGAGATGTAAAGTGAATTCTATAATTTTGTTTGAAAAAACCCTGAAAAAAACTGATTTTTAACTTATTCTTAGTATAATTTTTATGAAATATGCAATTATGAATTATATTTAGACGATATTACAATACTATTTATTAATGGGTTGATTCCACTAGAAAATCAAACTATGATTAAAGTGTATTACAATTACTTTCCATGCAATATAACATGAACAATGGAAAGAATGTAATTTGGTTGTTTCGTTATCACTATAAAGTTCAGGGGTATATAGGTTCAAACTATATTGTTTATAGACATAGTACTGTCGCACAAATGCACTAACGGGCGTTAACTGTCTAGTATGTCAATCACCACTTTGCATGAGCAAATATCCGTTGTAATTAATTTTCCATTATTAACTGCAACCATTGTCTTGGGACATGTATTATATTGACCTTTTTATATCTGTATCATGGTATCAAAATCATTAGGATGGATTAGTATTGGAAACATTGTAATGCTCTTCATTAATATTTATCAATGTATACTTACAGGCGGCATTGTCGTAATCAGAGGATCTCCCATCCCAGTGGAGAACAATATCATACAACTTTAGTATCCAAGGCAACATCTATGACAGGCCTACATGCCCCAACACAAGAATATTTTTCCACTAAAATCGAAAAATCAAAGGATATATCTTCTGTTGACGATCAATGCAACCAAGTTGTGACGGTGTGTATTAGGTTTGCGTATTATAATAAAATAAAGAGTGTGAATGGTATCCCCCATTTCAACTAACCATTACCTATGTCAGACAATTTCAAATTGCAGTTATTTTAATATTTCAAAGATGTTAATTTTGCATTCTGTATATTTTGCCTATTTTTGCACATTGCTTTATTCATGACTATCAATTTCCTTCACAATGTCAGGTAATTTTGAAGCAGTTTTGTCAGATCTTGTTAAGGCGATAGAAACGAAATTTAAAACTTATTCATAAATGTTGCTGAAAGAAAATCGTGACAATGAATCCCCCTGATTGGCAGATGTTCAAAATAATGCACTACACTTTGAATGATAAAGCATTTAGGCAGGATTTTCCTGGCGTTATTATTCCCTCTGGGTATTGAGACCTGATCTTATATAAAAATTATAATGAAAAATTGCATCAAAATATTATTATAATGTACAGTTATCAATCACTTCACTAATATCAGAAATTCATGAGGGCAAGTCCAATTTCAAAACCATAACATGAGAAAGCTATAATTGGGATCAGGTCAAACTTATTGTTTCCCTGATCATTTGATTTTGAATATTGTTTGTTTGTTTGTTCAACAAATTAGAATATTATTCGGTGGTTTCAGACTGATATCAAAGAATCTGTGTTCGACTAATTTTCGCACCCCTACATTTTATATAAATTTTTTAAGTACCGTAATAAACAGCAGTTGCATACCAGAGAATCAATCTCTTGAATAGTTGATGAATTATTTTTATTGCGTTTTATATGAGCTTTTTCTATTGTGTAACCAATTTTAAAAATACTAATTTTATGTAAGCATGAGTTCGATTAGTTTTTATCCGATTCTCTATATTCTTTAACCAGTTAAGTTACAGTGGATAAGGCAACTACGGCCCGAGATTTACGACGAGATTTTGACCGGCCCGCTGACTGTACATCAGTACATTATGATATTACATTATTACACTTTTAGTACATTATGATAAATTCATTATGTGTTTTTTGGTCTCTATTTTTTTATTGTTTAAACTTTACTTTAAACGCGATTTATAATTTTCTTTTTTGCATTAGCGAATAAATATGTGATTAAGGTATTGAAGCTGAGAACTTCATTTTCCCACATCTGGCCCGCCGACTAGAGAAGTTGCCCACCCCTGGTATATATATTAAGTTGGGAATGTTTCACAGCATTGTAGTAATAATGAATTTAACTAGTGTGATAAGAGAAAATCTCATTTTATGCAAGCAGGAAGCTTCATATGATCAGTTGATAGTGTGGGACTAGGATTAGCACATATTTTGTATTCCGGTATTTAAATAAAATAAACAGGAGAACGATATTCATGGTGTTAACAATACACTAATCTTCTAAATTAGCATGTGAGGATTACCAAATTGACACAACCAACCATGCATGATTATTCGAATAATATGAACTTATTAGCGTAAGCTTATCATGGCGGTATAATGAGGAACAAGCCAATAAAAGTCAAGTGCTTTGCTTCACCAAAACAAAATAGCTCTTGTAGTAATATGTAAAAATGAAGCTTAGTATGACAAAACATATGGTCTTTGAGTAATCTTACTTTGATAAAAGATTATTATTATATCTTTAGAATTTTAGAAAAACTCTTTATACTTTCAATACATGATGTTAGTATTCCTATCTATATCTGGATTATAAATAATTGAATATAAGTGATTGTATTTTGTCAAAAGTCAAAACAATAACATTGTCCTTTAGTTTATATTATCCTTCAAATATTTCATTTGTATTTTTCAGTGTGAACTGGGTCAAGGAAGAAGTGTGAAAAGTACACCAGACATTTTCTCGCCTGAGTTCTCTGGGCCAGTTCACCCGAACAAGCGGCTCCATATACTTTCGTATAAAAATGTTTCTCACAAGCACTCCAACATCTGCAAATTGTATAAATGGTAAATATATATAACTACAGTGATACTTCGGTAGTACAATCGACTCGATACTTCGATACAATTCGGATAGTCAGAACAAAAAATTCCTAGTCAAAAATGCTATTTGGTGCTCGAACATCCAAGCTTGACACCGAGTGAGAATACGTCACCTGAAGCGTGCATCTCGGCTATCTCTTGACCATTCAACAAGTGAGCGATGCTCAAATATATGGACACAAATGCCAAAACAATATAGTACTGGTATGCTGGTCACAGTAGACTGCGGTACAACGATCTTCACGACTAACGCCAATCCCATAGAGCCCATCGAAAATTTGACTACCAGGTATCACTGTTTTTTTTCTACAAATTGTTAGTGAAATATCGGTTTTCAAATTATAGCCAATGAGAATTAGCTTAACGAATGTCACCAGCGGGTATTGATGTTTTCAATAATAAATAACTAATGATTTTGATTGAAACATAATTGAAATCTTGTTCATTTGCCATCATTTTTTTGTAGTTTGATAACAATGAATTATGCATAAATTATCGTAGAATCTTTCAGAAACATTGTTTTGTATTGCACTGGAATTATCATTATGAATATGAATAATTTAGAAAAAAATGCACATTTCAATATTGATAGTGAATTATACAGGGTTACCCAAAAATCAAATTCATTTTACAAAAATGAAGAAAATTTCTGAACTTGTTCCCTAAAGTTTCAGAAATCTAGGATGATTTGCTCTAAAGTTATGATTTCTCTAGAATATGTTCCCAATGACCTTGTTTTTTTTGTGATTTCTGAATAAACATTCACTGGAAATCATCATTAAAAATACCATTCAAAGAGCACTCTGATAATTCAATGATAATTGAGAGGAGTCATACAGAGCTATTGTGAATGAAACTTTGAAGTTCTTGCTTCAACACTACATGCTTCTTTTTCTATATCCTGGACAAAGGGATTAGAATTGCTTGACCATGGGTACAAGAAATATAAACATCTTGAAGTCTTCAACATGATCCCATCACACTCAATAATCAATGTATATCCTTATGTATTCATATAGGCAGAATTAGGTACATTATATGAGAATAGTTTTATGGTGTACTTAATTGATTATGGTGCCTGAAAAGTCTTATTGAATTTCAGGCAATTAAATGAATACTGCCAGTGAACTTCGTAAAATTACTTGAATTTTATTGCGTGCATTTTATTACCGTAATTAACAAGATGCAGGATATAGATTCTATAAAGAGCTCACGGCAGCTCTATTAAATTATGAAAAGATTTAGAAACTGTTACTTATTGAAACCCTTTTCAATTTTGAAATTCTTCGCTTTTTGTACAGATGTTGTAGATACTCATTCCCCATCATACACGAAAGGCAGAGTAGATTCCCAAGCTGACAACCAGCACATGATGTTCTCTTTGGCAACAACACCAAGTATTTATACATCTGCATTTAGTGATCATAAACACAACGGTGCTCAACACAACAGAACTTCAGAACATCACAGCTTACCAGATTCAGGTGGAAAATATTTTTAATTTAATTTTTATAAATAAACTAACAACTGCATTGAACTTTATTGTTTTGGTACATCCGCAGTGTGTGTACTAGGTTAGGGTTAAGGCATAATTTTACATAACTTGATGTAAGGTAGGCGAACAAAATTAGTTACCGTACCTCCATATTGGTACACACACTTCTGGAGCGCCATTTTTTTAATATGCTCTTTGCTCCAAACAAGACTTTTCACAAGCAGACAATAATATGTAAGGAGCTTACTTCATTTTTAGAGGGCCGCAATCTTTCCGTTTCCGCATTCCGCCTACCCAATTATTGGCACCCTGGGTGAGGTGGTGGACCCTAATGATATTCAAACCCTAGAAACTAACCTGCAAGGTCATCATTGTTATAGCTAACGCTGTAACCACTATGCTACCACACTACTGGGGTTTGTTTTTTGCAATTTCTGATTTTTTATATAATTTAGATTGAAAAATAAAAAATTTCTTGTTGTAAATAGGTTGGACATTTGACTAAAATAATGTTATTCATATACTTGTTATTGTACGAAATTTAATTTAAATCAATATTGTCATTGATTGTTTGCCATTTTTTTCACAGTATGGTGTGAACTGCCAGGTTTGCATTATGTTAGTGCTCTTAGTCATACTAAATGAGAGCCAAGAACACCATTATTTATTTTAGCATCATGGCATTGATTGCCACAAGAATAAACAGCAAAAATAAAGTACTAAGTTACTGTATAAATCTGTAAACACAATAATTCATTCAAATTCTACTAGGAAAATATAGCTTCAAAATGGATTTCTTAATCAAGTTGGTATCAGTAACTACATTATTCATGAAATTTGTCTGTGCTATTTCAGCGTTTTTTCCCTTTTATTGATAGTTAAGTTTTTATTATCTTTCAAAGTAATGTCTTGTCGCGTTTGGATTAATTAAGGTTTCATGTTTCGACTTGCCATCAACAACGGGAAATAGACAGGTTGCGGCACACTTTTTTAGTTTCAATTAAGTGACCTTAATAAACATTTTGTTTCATTTTTAGCAATCAATTCGCTATTAACACATACATTCCATTAAATCTTGACACTAAATTTGTTAACGGAAACGGTAATTTTATTCTTTCTGCGGATTTTTCTAGGAAATTTTTATTAATGGCGTGTCCAGGAAGAGTTGTAGGGAAAAATTTTATTGAAATAAGAATTCTGTGGTTATTTAAATCGTATGCAGATATAAAATACAATATGACAATGATTCAGCTTGCGTATTTCAAAAAACATTCTAGGGTAAGAAAAATTATGGTAGTTCAAGTCTGTTTAAAAAGTAAATACTTTATAACCATAATAACGAACAATTTAAGTGAACGCTGAATTAAGTGAAGCAAACATGAGAAATACGTGAACACTTATTTGAGCTTGAAGTAGCTCTTATTGATATTGCTCAAGTATTATTAAATCGTAAGTATTGAGGTAATGGCACGTGGTAATGAGAAGCTCCCATTATACAATAGAGTATGTTGTTATGATTGGCATTCAATATTATAGTCCTGTTTGTTTTCATTATGGTACAATATTTTTATTTCTATTATATTTGTGTTCTTTAACACCTACACAAATACCAGTTGACTTTTACACAATGTAGACTTATTTTGTTTTATAATTAAAATATTAACCTGAGCATTCCTGAATAACAATCCATCATTTTTCTCCATTGTTAATTTTTTCAATAATATCTATCACTTTGTTTGCTCAAGGCTGCATTTTTTATTATTATTTCATAGCTATTTATTGACAAGTTTTTGTTTTTGAAATGAAACTATGATTGTGCTTCATTTGAATTTGTAAAATTTGAGTTTCAATTTTATCAATTTTTCCAAAATTGTTTGAAAACATGTTCAAACTCGTTTTGCTTACGGTAAATCTGGCTTATGGGTTAAACTGGATAGGCTGTATCTTGCTTGTTCATATAATCTTAAATATATTCCCGTTATGAAAGTAAAAGGAATTGTTACTCTCTTCTAACAAAGGTGTGCAAGGAACCGTGGCCACAATTTTGCCTACCTAGATTGGGCGGGCCATGTGAATGTGACGTAAAAAGTTACATTTTATGAGCGATATTTACAGTGTTACAAAAGTAAAAGTGAAAAACGATGAGCCAGGTGCCAAAACTAAACTTAATCACAATCTCAACAAATTCCCTGAGCTGTTTTTAGCTCAAACATCAAAATTAGGTTTTAGTTTAGTTGTGGCAGCATCAGGTGGGCCACATTGAATTACCCAACGGGCCGGATTTGGCTCACGGGCCATAGTTTGCCCATGTCAGCCTTATAATTACAGTAGCATGAACTTTTGTCCAGTGGAAGTTCCACAACTTCCACTAAACCCCAATTCGCGAGTCAAGTCGAGTTATGAATCTTTTGAATCTTGATTCGAGTCAATCACTGAGTTAATCTCGCTGGAAATTAATCGGAGTCCCTAGTCATTCTTTTTAGGACACTCGAAGTCTCTGAGTTTTTGTTATATGATGACTCGACTCCCCAAACCTGCTTTTGACAGATTTTTCATCGTAAAACACATCAAGAAATAAATTTATTTATGACAACTAATTATAAACTGCATATCAGAACTGTATATAAGTATGTTGTATATTTTGCAGGCAATGAAAGAGACAAACTACATGTTCGCTGTCTGACAAAGGGTCCTCAGACTCAGTCTGTTTCCTGGTTTGTTCCTCTGAATGGAATTCAACGAGAACCATTGCGACATTCTGTTGTTGATTTATCAGATGAAGAAGTTGGAATAGATGTGAGATTGACCTTTTTTTTTAATTTTTTTATTCTGAATTCATATCCATTAAGAAGTATTCATTTAAAATTTTCGATCAGATAATGCTCTAAATTGTACTTTGTTCGAAAAATTCGAGAAATATATTGAAACATTAGTAACTTAATGTAAAATCAAAACCCTGGCTCTCTGGGAATATAAATGGCCCTCTCTTGGCCCAGATTAAATTAGGTATTTAGGTTATTTTTTTCCAACCTTAATTGAATTTCATGCTTACGTTAAATCACAAATAATAGAAACACTCCAACTTTTTAAGGTTGATAAAAATATTATTCAAACAACATATAGAAAACTATTGAAAGAATTATTCTTATATCATAGCTAGATTTTTAATGTGATTACTAGATAATTTTATCATACCATATTTTTGTTTAAAAAAATTGAGTTGCTATGCCTGCCGTGGGAATAAGAAATAGGTGACTATATTTTGACCATGGAATTTTCTGCTTGGTACAATATTCTGTCTATTTGAATGTGCTATTATACAATTATTCGTGCTTTTTCTCAAGGAAAGCCTATAAGGTTGATAATAGATTATTATTTTCCTATTCCTATTTCTGTGACTTATATGTATAACTTTTTATACATAACTCTTTATCTCATTTACTCAGGATGTTGCATCCAGCCCTGATTCCAGACCAATGTCTGCAAAAAGGTACAGAAAATCTCGGAAACCCGGAAATGCTCCGTTGACTGAGGAGGTTGAGAGTGAAAAATCTTACAAACACAAGGGCGAGTTAGTACTATGTGATCTTGAGAATTTAGCACCTTCCGAAGCATCAACCGTACTCGCTGAAAATATGCCATTAATGGTGGATAAAGAAAACTTTCATCTTGGTTCCTTCAAGTTGAACCTGTCACAGATGAAAGCAATAATTTCAAAAGAGGTCGACTGAAATCTGCTTTATCGGAAAATGGTGAAAGAGGTGAAAATGAAGTTAATGCAAGATCAAGATCATTGTCTTCTCCAGATGAAAAGACAATGTGGAAACAGAGAGAGGAAAGACCTGTTCTTTTTCTTGGTGCTGATTCAAGATTTTTTCTTCTAGTTATTTTTACTTGTATGTACTGTTGCTTTCAGGACTGGGGGGGGAATTTACCATCGAATGTGGGTTAAAAAAATTGGACTCAAATTCCGGGTTAAGAATAATCTTGACTCAGATTCCAAAAAAATCAAATTTTGAAAATGAAAACTTATGCAAAGAAAGCCTTCTGAAATAAAACTGGAAAGGAGGCTCCGTACTTGAGTTTTTTTTGACAATTACAGCTTATATTATCACCAACGAAAGTCCTAAATCTTGAGTTAAAAACATGCCTAATTTTGACTTCACCAGGCCATGCTTTAAAGTCGCTTGTAAGTTTCTTCAACAGTTCCATCCAGGGAAACAATATTTTATTCTTCAATTTTAATTATTGTAAATTTGTTGCTTTTAATAAGAATCAATACACATATCTGCTTCAGTGTTTTCTATCTGTCATTTGCTTGCAAATTAACTTTAAGCGACTTTCGTAAATTATTGATATTTTGAGTAAAATTTTCCTTCCAAAACACACAAATCAAACTTTGGTCTTTTTTTGATTAGAAAACATTCATTCCGTTAGGTTTTAACATCCTGCTTCCTACATTATCAGTTGCCTAAATCTTATATGGGTAATAGGAATCTTTTTCAGCCCATTTGCAGTATTTTCTTTACCTTTATAGAGTTTGTATATGTGCAAATTAGTTTATGTACGTACTATTATTTTTACCATAGTGCACATAGCATATCACTGCTCGTACTTTTCTATGTCTCTCTGTTATATATGCTGATAAATAATGTGAAATGATTATGTAAAATATAATTTAAAATTTTGGACCATGATCACTTTTATCAATTTGTATAATATTGATTAGCTGCACATCTTTTTTATAATTTTTTTTACTTAATCTCGTTAGCATCTGTACTCTTTTAAAATCCGCCTTTTGTGTTTTACCTAAGCTTGAGGTACAGAATAATTCGAAGAATTCAAAAAGCAGAATTCATTCCTAAATTAAATCGTATTTTTTTTATACATGAGCTGGCATATTTTTGTTCATTTTTGTCAAGATTCATTTTTCCAATCATGCTCGAATATTATTGCAGTACTAATTTTGAAGCACATAAAATCAAATTTGAAAATATGTTTCGATGCAATCATTGTTAGTTTATTGAATTATTGCCAAATTCATGTTTCATAAAAGTATTTTGTATCCCCATTATCTAATGCGGTGGTTTTCAACTGGGGTCCCACAGCACCCCAGGGTTCCGCCAACACAGCCCAGGTGTTGGCAGTTTTTATTTGAACCTACTCAACAATATACTTGTTTGAATATTAGGTTTCTACTCTGGATAAACTTGCTACACCTTGTAAGTCATTTTGTTTTGCCAATATCAGGTTTGCTTTTAAATATATTTATAGTTTATGCAATTCACGCAATAAAAGATAGTTGGATAATAGTACAGGGGTTCTGCGAGCCCTGGGTTGTTTCATTGGGGTTCCGTGCCACCATAAAAAGTTGAAAACCACTGCTTTAATGTGAATCAATTCATAATCAAATTTACTCCTGTTTTCTCTGATATAAATCATCACCAGATAGGTTTTGCTAAAAGCCTAGCCCAGATAGTCTTAATGATTAATTCCCAATAATCTAAATAAATTGATTAGTTGATTAGTTTAATATTAATAACTAATTTCTATAATAAATTTTTTTTGATTATTGTCATTTCATTTCCAAAGCTCTTTGTGCTGAATGTATATTCTTTACCCTCATTGTTAAATTTAAAAAGTTGAAACTTTTTTTATTTTATTCATGTATCCTAGATTCACCCGTGCTTTTTTGCTTTTAATTGCATTATGTGTTGGTCACTACCTATATAATTTTAATTGTGGTGCTTGAAATAATCTTGTTGTCACCCTCATTATGAATAACATCATTTTTATTTATGTATTTTTACTCCAAGCACTCCCTTCCCTTAAACGGAATTCATAGTTGTCTCATTATTACATCTCGCCTCTGTCCACTGTTATTTCATCTCATGTTCGTGTCTCCACCTAGACAAAATCCTTTCCACCTGTGTCCAGGAAACTAACTCACTGTTGTTACCATTAAAATACTGTTCAAGTACTTCATTTATCAGGGTCCTAAAATTGGTAGGGTTATTCATAACCAATGTCAATCAGTGGCGTGTCAAAATGATTGCCAGATAAGTGTTCATTTTTCAAAATGTTTGCTTCATTGAATTACAATTTTACATCTTCACCCTTTTGAAAAGTGTTCTGACAATTGCCTTGTTTCTTCAGTTTTTGTTTTTTGGCTAATTGGTACACCAGTGTTTTTTTTTTATTAAATTGCCGTTATAGGTACTTGCCACTATGTTGCTAATTCACCTGTGAAACTTCCACATACACAAATCCCGCATGTTTCAGCATTGTACGTTTTCTTCTGGTTTGTTTTTATCATTTGAATTGGTAATCAATTGCTTAAAATTAAGTGTGATGAAAATATATTGCTTGATTTGCTAGTATAATTTTCTTCACAGGATATTTAAACATTCAGCTTAGAAATGGACAAATATTTTCGCTTGACATTCAGTAGAAATTTAGTCTTATATCGCTTGCATACAAGATGTTATAGTTAGTTAGTTTATCAGTCAGCTGACTAAAACGCCTATACCGTACGTCAAAAGCTGATCGAAGTTGTGATACTAGTGATGGTTTAGGCATGGCCGAACGGCATATGAAAATAGCATATATGCAAAAATTGAAACCTGATGTATCAGATACTACAGAGATTTTATTCGCAACTAACAATGAAAACGTAGCGTAATTTTCATTAAAAAATTAGCCGGTATATTTATACGCATCGCTGTTGGTGTCGAAATATACCCGAAACGACTATAGGATTTTCCTGTTGGATGGAGAGCAAATAATTCTTTCATAATATGAAGGCGCCCAGTTGTAAGTTTGTGAATATTACATCACCAGATAAAAGCTGAACGTAGCCGGACAGCGATACGAGAGCTTTTCGGTCCCAACAAGTGGCCTTACGATCCTTTTTCCTCCTATCAGAACTACACGTTTTCCTTATGAACGTTGTGAATTTTGTCAACTTTTATTTTAACGTTTGGAATTAATGTTGATATGTAAAGCTATGCGCCCATCGGCGGCTCTCTGAGGATCGTGTTAAGCGCTGTTCGAGAGGTTGCTGCACTTTTTGCCATTGTAGTACTGGGGTAGGTTGTTCACGTATACACTGACCGGTTACGTCTCCCTCCCTTATTTTTACCTAAATATTAATGTGGATGTGTGAAAAAATGCCCACCACGACATCTCGCGGCTATTATTTTGCCTAACGCACGACTTTATGATTTAGAATTTGGGTGGTGCTCGTTTTAGTGATTGAGCAGCATCTGGAAGATTCCTCAGGCTAATTTTCAAGTTAAAATTTGGTGAGTTTTTTCTTTTAAATATCTGGTTTCGTTAGTATTAAAACAATTTTTTACTTATTTCTTTAACACAGCAGAACCTTATTTTATGTTTTTGGGGTTTAGGCATCACTTCATCAGTCTGTCAGTTGTTTTTTCATACCATAATTTTGCTCTTAAAGTGAAGGGTATTTCAGCGTGGGGCAGCAAACTTTGACTGTTTATTAAATTTTGAATCATACTATTTCATTAATGAACCGCTACCAATAAGACCAATTTTGTTATAGTACTTAAGTTAGGATGGAGTCAAATATAGAAATTGTATCTTACTAGAGACACCGATTATTTATTGAACTGGCCACTTTAAAAAGACCTTGAGCATTTTGGCTAAGACCAAAATTGTCGATTCAGGTAATCTATACTGCTATACCGTAATCTGGAAGAGCTGGGTATGTTTATGCTAATTCATCGATTTTTTCTCTGTGTTACCTAAGTACCCTTTCTACTAAAAAAACTGCTCAATATAATAGGCTTTCAAATCTATTCTTATTCGATATTTGCAGTGGGAGATACGACATCTAATGAATTGTTGGGCCAATTACCAAAACTACAATGAATAAATCAAATGCCAAATCGAATGAATATCAATTATGACTAGTCTGGAATAGGGTTTTAGATTATAATGTCTCAAAAATGGGGCATATTGTTCCTAAATTACGAAGACAGAGTATTGGTGGCGGAGAATTGAATTTGGTATATAATAGTCATGTTAGATAAATTTATTATCAAGATTATATGAAGATCCTCCCCCAAATCTGGGGGGGGTCTTCGTATGATCAACCCCAACCATATGATCTAGCCGGCGAGTGGGAGATTCGCACTTCATTAGTAGACCTGTTATTTAGTTACTAAATGTAATCTAAAACATATGTTGTCATGAACAAGTATTTGATATGAAGAAAATTGGCACATTATAAGGCTTACTTTTATCACTAGAATCTTCAGTCTGAACAAAGATACGAGTCAGATCAGAGTCATTTTTTAGTTTTTCCTAGTTACCCAAAGATACAGTGGCTGTAATTTAGGCTACACAAGTCATGTGTGTTGACTCATTCAATAAAATAGGCTCTGAGGTTTTACTAGTGTTATCTTAGAGAATATATCCTAAACATCATTGGATTACTGATAAAATCGTAATAATTCCAATAATGACTTCTACAAGATGATTGCTCAAACTAATTTTTTGAAAAATTAAAAAAATGGAAACAATTCATAAGTTCTCATTCAATCCAAAATATCATTAAATGTGTTAAATGAGTTGATTCCAAGTATATAGTTGTCGAATAATTCCCATGATGAAGTTAATTTTTATTCCACCAAAAAATTAGCATGCTGTGTAGCTCTTTTCCATCCATGAAGACCACAAATTAAGTTTTTACATATTGTAAGAATAGGAAAAAATTACAATAAAAAGAAAACCAACACCAGACATTAAATGATACGACAGCAACATTATCTGTTAAATCATCAATTCAGTAGAATTTATTAAACATATTTTTATGTTACTACAATATCATTTCTTTGCAAATAAGTAACTTTCAGATAATAATGGAAAAGAAAAATATAAAACTTAACTTCTACCTTTTGAGCAAGATTTTGTTTTGTGACCTTATGACCTTGGTAAACTCTTAAATTCACCAGTAACATTTAATTTCATCTAGTTTAAAAAAAAACTTGTTTCTTTATATTTATTATTCTTGCTGACATTGCTCATTTTATATCGATATTGGAAATTATATACAGCCGGTATATACGTATATACGCTATGTTTTACGCAGAGGACTTACACCTGCTCAATCGACTTTATTAGTAATCCTGACGACATATTTGTAGTTAATAATAACTCAATATAATAATACCAAAACAGTGAAACTTCCAAAATGATACTCCTATGCGACATTGAACCGGCATAACGAAATAACGGTTATTAGTTGATATGTTGTAATGCGGATAAACCTCGACGCAAAATTATAGACATGATCGGCGATGTTTTGCTTTTGTATATCTTTCGTCGCACACACAAAATCCTCACCCTTGAAAGCACCTTTTAAACAGCCCACTCCCGTGTTGACACGGCATTGAATCTGAATAACTCTAATTTTGTAAAGTTGTCTTTAAGCCGCGAACTCATGCGCGATTGTTACAGAATATCAATATTACGATTTCTGAAATCGAAATGTCGCTGCAATAGTTCTTCTAGCTGTCTAATAGTTTTCGATAACGTATTAATTAAGTGAATTATTACGTTGTCTGCGAGTCAACTGCCATATTTGGCTTCTTACAAATGCTTCGTTTTGTCGAGTGATCGAAAGGCCTAGTGTCTTATTGGGAGATAAGGTATGTTTAACTGAATTAAATAAGTTAAAAATTAATTAAGCGCTTTGGGCGAGGAAGATTTCAGATACCGATATCTAGTTACAACGTACCGTAGTTTTATTGTCCTAGTTCATGTTTGAAGCGATAGGTCGGTGTTATCCCGGTCCGACGCTTGTCGCCTATAGGCAAACATTTACGACGATAGTTTTATTTCGCAAACCCAATATCGTCGTTCGACTTTCGAAATTCCACGATACGGAACATCGAATTCTTTTATTTACTCGACGCTCAAAGCGGGGAAGGTGTGGCCTCTTGAAGCTCTTGTAAGCGCATACTCGATCAAAAAGTTAGCAGCCGTTGTTTTTTCCCGTGTAGCGCGCTGTTAAAATTGTATAATAAATACTTTTTGTGGCATCGTCTGTCGGTGTATGAGGTCATAGTAAGACGGTAAAACAAATCTCAACCAATGGCAAGTTTGGAAGGAAAGTCGCGTAATATGACGCTTGAAATAACGAGTCCAATTTGTTTCAGAGAAGGAAAGAGTCGCCAAGGGATCCACATGTAAATGGAGAAGGAAGGTGTTTTATTTGTTACTCGCAATTTTGCATTATTTTGATATGTTTCTGTCGAGCGATTTGTCTAGGAATATGACAGGAAATACGTCGATGGTCTTGATTCGGCGGCATTCGTGACAATTTATCAATTTATTATTAAAAGGGAGTTTATGATTAGTAATCTATAACACGATTGTATGTGTCGATATATTAGGCCGTCATAGCAATAGGCGCCTGGTGATACGTAACGGTCGAATTGTAGCTTGTTTTGATAGCATTTTCCGTTCCTTGTATGGAATTCGGGTGTGAATGATATGGCTACAAATCTGGTTCATGTTTGCGTTCAGGCCTGAGGACCGTCAACGCCAATGTTGAGCCGACGTAAAACAAATTTTTATTTAACTGATATCGTTTTTCGAAATGACAGGCGGTACTTGTGCTACTAGATGTAATATGAATTAGTATGGTTGTGTTAATCATGAACATAATATGAAAATTAAAATTAGAGAATGATACCTTTAGCATACTTTTGAGAACAAACTGTGTTATATAACTGATTTTTACAAAAATATAAAGGGAATTCAATGATGCTAGAAACCGATGCATATTCATAGGGTGTGAAATGGATAGCTGAGGTTTAAAGAAGGGGAATAGTAGCTGTTACTTAGAAATGATTCATTTGCCCAGAGACCACTATTGCTTTATTACTGCGATACGTTACTCTTTGACAACATTGTATAAATAACCTGTTATTTATATTGGTCTAATCTAAATCAATTGAAAGATTCAACTATTTGGCAATACTAAAAGTTTTTTAGCAAATTCAACAAACATCTCAATAAGTATAAGCTAATATAAAAACATTTAGAATTGACTTTTGTCTGGATATCTTGGTTTCAAAAATTTAAAGTTATTAAAAAAGTTGTGAGTTTATTTCATTGGAGTGTTTGTATTGATTAGTAGTTCATGGTATTAATTGTATTTAAATCTAATTATCTACTAAAGTTTTTTCCATAGAGCTGTAAAATGATCCCTCCTGAAAGATGGTCACAATGAGACAGTAACATTGAAGTTTTTTCTTTTTATATATTCTTATTTTGTCTCGAAGCTGTGTACTCTTATTCATTAGCTGTAACACTAATATTGCTAACCATCAATCGGCTTTATCATCTTTCTATAGGCGGAAAAATCTTTTGTTTCATTTATCAGCAAGAAATGTAGTTTTCATAATTGTAATGTTTTCTATTAGGGTTGCCACTTCCGGATACATTTTTTTTCGAATCGAATCTCGAATCGAATCTTTCCGAATCTGATTCCGGAAATGTTTTTTTTTTTTTTTTTTTTCATCGCTAAAAAATTACCCAAACTGAGTCACCTCTAATGCTGACATGGCACCCAAACAATACACTATTACAGCAAAAACAAAATGCCAGTGGAAAATGAAATATAATCTGTTATCTGAAACAAATTCCAAAATAAACATGTCAAAACTTCCAAATCGTGCCTAAACATCACCCCCCCCCTGTCAGAACCTGCGATATTTGTGTGTCAAGTTCGCGAAAAAGGCAAAATTTGAAGAAGATATTGTTCACTCCAACAATTCTTATTGCAGTAGAGAAAATTGGAGTTCATTAACATGGGCACTCGTTAGTCATGATCTCAACTGTGAAACAGTCAGTCCAGCAGAAGAAAAAAGCCCTTTCTGAAGCAGCCGAGGTTGCGGGTACACTCAGATACTTCACTGCCATTCTCTTGAGCAAAGGGGCACGGGCTCCATTGTTATCCCACCAGGTCAATGGTGCAGGTGGTGTCTCTTTATCATCAACCTTTTCGTTTTAAGTACCAAGCTATTTCCTCTGACACAATATTTGAACTTTCCGAGTCTGAAGAACTGCCAGAGTTCTCTAGGCCTCTCTTCAAAAAGTCCATGAATTTCACTAGATGAATTCACGGTTCCATTTGCCTCTTGACTATGATCCATTTGTGGCAGGGGTCCATGACGTGATTCATCCTGAGCCGTAGAAGTATCTGCTTCAGTTTCAACAGCTATCCGCACCTATGAAAAATGTTTCATCAGCATCAGAAATCGAAGTGAGATTAATTTTGAAATAGAACATTCAAAATTTAAATTACCGAGACTCGCATCTGTCTGCTGAAAAATTTGCCCTTGTGAAAGGGATTCAACCAGGTGGACTTGTGGTAAATGCTTACTCCTTCGCTTTGTACTGAAGTTGACATGACATCTGAGAATCTAGTGTGTAACGAACTGAGAATGGTCGAACAGAAGGCTTTGATGCCGATAGCTGAAGCTCATCGACAAGGAGTTCTTCACACTGACCCACTAACCTTTTGCAATTGGTAGCAAAGATGACATCGTCACATAATTACTTCCTTCAAGGTGATCAGAGGCTGTCTAAAAATAAGATATTTTTATTGCAAATTTTTGGACACTGAATTGTAAACCCAAGGACATAACCCTAGTCAATATAATTCAGTTCTCATAAACTATCATTATGATGCCAGCAAACACAGAGTTAGTAACCTTTTGAAATAAATTCTGAGCTTGATTAGTTACCTTGAATGGGTTTCAATATGAATAGAAATTTCTCTCAGCAAGCTCCAGTGGTTGTCCTTTAGTTCAAGACTGACTGCTGTCGCTCGTGGGACAATTGTTGGAATCAGCCAGTACCGAACGAATTATCCACTGGTTTTTCACAAGATTTGCTATCATAGCAAATGTGGAGTTCCACCTGGTTGAAACGTCTATCGGCATCTCAATGTTTTTTATTTCAGTGTCTGCCGACTGAGCATGGCGTCGCAACGCTGTCATGCATTTTGCTGACCTTCTAAAGTGTTGCACTAAGTGCCGCGCAGCACCTGAAATTTAAATTTTTATACATAAATACATCCAGTGAACATATTCTGACAAAAAGTGTTTCATTTAAATAGCATATGATTTCAAAACTATCCATTTGTAGGCATTCCATAGATTTATCAGGCTTTCCCCTTATTTAGCATCACATACAGCCTCACTTACCTAGTGCCCTTGCTATTTCTGTATTTTTGATGGCATCTTTGATACACAGCTGGAGGTGTGAGCAGCGCAACGAATGTGATGCCAGCCATGTTCAGTTTGTAAATTTTACATGCAGAAACAACATTCGCCCCATTGTCTGTTACTATAGCAAATATGGAGGAAGGGGGATAGAAAAATCATTCAGTACATATAGGATGTAACTTTTCAAGTTTATACCAGTTTGGTCCCCAACTATTTGTGTAGTGGACAATACATAGTTCTGTAGTTCTCCTGCCATGACAAAATGTGCTGTAACAGTTATATAAGCTTCCATCCGGATGCTTGTCCATGCATCTGTTGTGATAGATATCACATTTTGTTCTTTTAAAATAGACATGAGTTTGCATTTATACTGCGAATATGTAGTTTCAATCTGTTTTCCAAAAAAGTTCTTCCAGGCATCTCGTATCCCGGCTCAAGATTTGATATTAAATTTTTAAAATGCTCCCCTCTACGATATTGATCGGCCTCATGTCCCCTATTATAACATTGACTATTAATTTGTCTATATGATTCTGTCTTTGTCTGCTAATGGACTTTGATTTAAAAAAGGTTTCAAGTTTTTTCTGTTTTGTTCCACTTCCACTGCCTTCTGTCACTTGGCTCGCTGTTAAACTGAAAATAAAATGTATAAAATATAAACAGCAGCTACATAATCTTGTACACATTTAGTAAAATTTTCTGCTGGCTTGACCTGCTTTATTGATTAGACAGTATGAAATATGGTGGACAATTGCCTCTGACATAAATTTGCCTGACCTGGCTGGGCATCACAACTGTCAACATCGCAACTAATACAATTCAACTAATACAACTTTTGTATCAGCTTCAAGTTACACGAGTATAAAATTATTTCTAATTACTGATTTCTCTATTTATCTTTTCAGTCCTGCCAGTATGTTAGTTTAGCAAACCATTGCTTATTTCATTTCCTAGATGAAACTGTTTTAAGTACCCGAGTTTAAGAACTATAATTCTGTAGTTACGTAAGCCCATATGGCGTTCTGGCTGTAGAAGAATTAATTAAAAAAAGGTTTGGCTTACTTTGATGTATGCACTGAATCAGTGTTGATGAATGCATGTCTTCTTCTGAGGTGGTTCAAAAGATTGCCGGTAGACTCGCAGTATGACAACTTCTCTTTACAGAAGTTGCAAATCACATATGAATATCCCTCCTCTTTTGACGGGCGAGAAAAATGTTCCCAGACTAAGGAATTGGGGCGCCGTCCCTGCCGCCTAGGTGTTATTTTTTTAAAGCTACTACTGATATTAGACATTCTGAATAATAAAAATGCATTGCAAATAGTCATATAATTAAGTTATACTAGTAAGCTACCGATGCCTGGCCGCACATTTTGCAGTCCAATGAGTTTAACAGCAGCGCATGGCACCCTGTCAAGTACCACGTCCAGTTCTCCTACACATTTGCAAATGCAAATTTGTAACAATCAGTCCCCACTCAGTCTTGAACCACTGAATTGTTGAACCCAACACCTCAGAAAGAACACTGAAAAACTTGTTGTAATATTCCGTCTTTGACAACACGACAGAACAATACGGCAATAACACTCGCAAATGGCACACAGAGTTTGTAGACTACCCACGCTGAGTTTTACTGTTACCGGTAACAAATATTGATAGATTCCAGGATTAAATAACTAATACAGAACAGTTAGTAAATATAACACGCAATAAGTCCCATCCTATCCTAACCTATTGATTCCCAACTAAATAATAACAATAGCAGAAATCTAATAACTCACACTCAACTAAATCCTAAAGGACCGGCAAAGCAGATGACTGCCGATTGCGCCATCACAGCTCGTCTCGCTCACGCACAACAGAGCAATACAAGATATACTAAAGAGCAAGGGTCGACGTCGTCGATTGCAGAGCCAATAGCGTGCAAGACAAACATATTGCGACATCGCTCAATACTCACTCTCAAATACCATAAAGAAATAACCATGTTCAGCCTGTTGAAAATTGTTGTCGTAAAATTACGCAAAAGAAGCCCGGGCGATATGTGAATTCGACTTTGAGCGAGCAAAGGTTTTGCAGACCACTAGCAGATGTCTCGCTGGTGTGTTCCCCACTGCAAAACTAACGCAAAACGGAGGCACTTCGCCGAAAAAAGAGGCAAATCACTCTCTAAAATATATCTTTCGTCGTTGAAATGATGCTTTCATCAAACAAAGAACTGTATCCCTTATAAGCGCAATTCATTCGAGAGAGATAGCCGGACGAGCGCTTATTTGTTTGCTTTCGAGTGAAATCATATCCGTTCGCATAGCTGGAAGACCGCCGTTAATAAAATCGAGAGTCGGCGTTATTTTTTGTAAAGCCACGTTATCGTTTTTCGAATCGCCCGAGTGCGATTCGAATCGATTCGAAAAGGCAACGATTCGAATCGATTCGATTCGGAAATCCAAATGTGGCATCCCTATTTTCTATTTTTTTTCATTTTTTAGCGTGATGATGTCCATACAGCTTGCGAATGCCGTGTGTATTCGGTGTGAAAGAGGATTTTCAGAACAAGAACAAATGGTCAATTCTAATGGTGAAATATATCATGAAGATTGCTTTGTTTGTGCCCAATGTTTCGACAAATTTCCTGAAGGATTATTTTATGAGGTAAAGATTATATAAAAAGCGGTGATGGATAGAAGTACCTAAACTCTGAATCGCGAGTCACAAGTCGTCCGACTCCGAATTCAATCATAAATATCTGATTGGTATAATTTTTAACTCTTCTCTTATTTTATTTTTAGTATGACGGAGTAAAGTATTGTGAACATGATTTTCACATGTTATTTGCACCATGCTGTGGAAAATGTGGTAAGTTCTATTCCACCCAGTTCTTGTAAATCTTATTCACTTTACCATGGTGTACTGCGGAATTCAAACCTTATAAAAAGTTGTTGTGACGTCATAGGTTTTTTATTTATTTATTTATTTTTTTATTTATAAATTATGGAATCGCAATATTATTCTGATTATTGCCTCTCGCTAATGAACTAAATAACACTTGTAATATTAGTTTATGGGAAGTTTATGACAATTAAAATATCAATGAAGAAGTCACCGATTTGATGCAACTACCGTATATAGCAGAAGTCAACATAATATATTTTTAACCTTATAACAACTTGCTTTTAATAGTCATATTACCCATGATTTGTGCTTTCGATTGAGTTTTTACGGGACTAGTTACTTATTCTTCTTTTATGCTTTTGGGCTGATGGATCCCTATGCATATAAAGCAAGGGAGGATCTTGCTGCTCACTAACACAAATAAATTTCTGTAATTTTTTGTGTATCAAGACTTGAATTACTTTGGATAGTAACCCATAATTGTTATTAATAAATTACCATTTAAAATAGTCACATGTTTCGAAATGAATGCCTTTAAACCAGATATTTTTCATTTAGAGGAATTTATCATCGGAAGAGTAATCAAAGCAATGAACAATAATTGGCATCCTGCATGCTTCACTTGCCAGCTATGTGATGCCACTCTTGCTGATATTGGATTTGTCAAAAATCAGGGCAGAAGTTTATGCAGGCCTTGTCACAACAGAGAAAAGGCATTGGGACTTGGAAAATATGTTTGCCAAAAATGCCAGTAAGTAACACAGCGCCATGTGGTGGTCTACTGGTAAACTGCGAGGGCATTGCATGTAGATGTCCCGTGGTCCATATTTCATTTCACCATCTCACCTATGGTGTGAAGAATTGGAAAGGCAATGCCGAACCGAGTTGTCTATCTATGCAAAATGGCGCCCTTGTCAAATCTTAAAAATGTGCCTTCTTGATTAATTGATATACAATTTTTATAGACTGTTGTTGAATTGAGATACTTGTACATTATCAGTAATGTAAAAATACAAGTTTCAATTATTTTGAAACATTTTATGATTAAATTTTTCGTCCCAAAGCATATGATATGTATATATTACAAATAAAATACGGTCAAATTATTCTTGTTACTGCTTATGATGATATCAAAAAAAAAATACTCAGATTTCAAAATTGATATCAACGTCTAACATTATATAGCATTGATCTAAAAATGCAAACAAAAAGTGTGGTTTACTTGTCTGTCGAATGACTATCTATTACGCTTCGCAATTGCCACATGACATGGTTAATTATTAAAAGATAATGATCTTGGTTAGCGGTTACATATTAAATGTTGATCTAAATGTGGTGAAATCTCTTGAAAAATTCTTTAGGCCGTAGTTTTTATATATCGATAATCTTCTCAATTCTAATTGAAGTCGAATCTAATTAATGAAATTCTTTGGTATGGTTTTGAAAATTAACATTATTAAGTTGATGCTTTGCCACAAAATTTTAATTACTATTAACTATATAGCACAAAAGTAACTATATTATGCAGTATAAGTATCACACATATGGTAACAATGATGAAAAGCTTTTCTATGATTAAAATATTTTATATCACTTTTCTCATTAGAGTTGTACATTACATTGTTACTTCAAGAATCAGGGCCTTTGGAATGTAATCACATTTTCATAATTATTTTAGGAAGTTGTGCAATGCTGTATATTAGACTATTACGATAATTTTGAACTTAAATATATTTGTTAATATAAATTAAATCATTCTTCAGGGCAATCATTGATGAAGAAGTGTTGCGTTTCAAAGGCGAACCTTATCATCCGTTTCACTTCAATTGTCAACATTGTGGGTAAGTCTCTGTTCATTGTTTCTATATTAAGATCTATTTTTTTGTAAGCTCTCAATAATTTTCTCAGCAATGAAATATCTGTACTGTGGAAATTATGAAAGTTTTTTTAAAAGTATACATTTCTTAAAAGTATACATTTCTTAAATTGTGTTTTTTTCAGTATACATTTTATAAAATTAAAATAAATGTTATTTCAAGTTTCATTATCGGTCTTTAGATTTTGATATATTTTCCTCTTAAATCTGCTTTAGTCTTCAATCAGGAAAAAGTTGTTTGACAGTATTTTATTGTATTCGATCTGTTTTGAAGAATTCGATAATTTAAGTCATTGGTTACTACAGTTTACTACTAAGTACAAGACTTTGCTGATTAAATATAGTTGATTACATGGAATATCATTTCCCTAAATAAAGTAAGATTCGTCGTCTCAAATTGATTTCCAGACAACATAACAACGGACTACATTTTATTTATATTTCAAATTGTATTGATTAACCTATGTTTGCTCATGGTCTGATTTTAACGGTTTTGGCAAAACTTACTGGAATTTCTTAAATTAGAATCTTGTTGTTATTCTTGAACAAATGTGCATTTGAATTCTTAAAATTAGAATATCCTGTAATATACATCCTCATGTCCTAACATGAAATAGTAGGATAGTGAACAGTCATATTGTAGCTATGTTAGGTGTGTTTCAGATAGAATTGCCAGCTTAATGTAGCACAGTATGGTATTGAAAATTTAGAAATTAGGTGTAGTTTTTCTAATAATTAAGAGGCAGGCCTAGGAGTTATATCCTCTGTCAGTGAGTTTTTAATCAGCAGCCAATTTTTTTGCGGGACTCTCAGGAACTAAAATAAAAATAAAGCAAATTTTAATAATGCAAAAAAATTCGAAAAAGGGAATAACCCATTGACAGTACCTTCAATGAGACAGATGTGCCTGCTTATTCCCTCACTAAAGATCGAATCTTGGCTCTACTTTGGTGATGGTGGGTCTCAGTACTGGCCCAAAATCCTCAAAATTTAATCAATATTTTGTTTTAACGAGTTACCCATCAGTTTGAACAACCCTTCGATAGTAGGAAATGACATATGGCTCAATTAATATTGCGAGTTACCATTCTAGCAGTTATATGTAATTTCACACATTTTTCCAAAGTGTGTGATGTAACGGTCATCTCAGATCTTTTCTTACCTTTTCAACATAGTATGTTCATATTTTGAAGTTTCAATAAAGATTAAAATGAGTTATCCTTATTATTATCATTGTGCCATCTTCAAAAAGTAAGTATTACTGTTATAAGAAATAAAATAATAAATTTTTGTAGTTATATTTTCTTCTTTATCTTTCAGGAAAGAGCTCACAGCAGAAGCAAGAGAGTTACGAGGGGAATTATTCTGTCTGCCGTGTCATGACAAACAAGGGATTCCAATCTGTGGAGCTTGTCGTCGCCCCATTGAAGAGAGAGTTGTCAGTGCCATGGGAAAACACTGGTAAGTGATTTTTGATTTCTACAATATAAGCATATGCTATCAATGATGGATAAAATTACATTATTTCCATTTTTACACAGTATAGTTTTGAATTTAGAAAAAAAAAGTTTTTGGAATTTTGATTGATAAAATCAGAAAGTCCATGTACTTGTATATTGGTACTGTCTAATTAAATCCTCACTTAATTGCTGGATTTGGTTATTTGAAATTGCCTCAATTGCTGACTTATGTAAAATTAGAGGTCTTAAGCCATAGTCTGAAACTGACTGGTGGTTGCTGCAACGGAGCAAGATTCAAATAATATACAGTTTAATGATTATCTATAACTCGTTAGAATAAGAATTGTCTTCTATTGCAAAAGCCATAACTCGCTGTGATACCAAGAGCTACTGTTAATAGTCCCCAACACTACCATATAAAGTGATTCAAGTATGAATTGAAAATCAATTAAATAACCAAAATTGAGTTTAATTGCAAGTATTTTGACCTTTTCGTGAAACATTATCTTGTTTCTAGTTTGAAATTTGAATTCATAAAATATCATAGTATGAACTACCGTAGTTTTAATGTAATTTTAATCCGTGTAATGTGATATTTTTGTCATAAATTTATATCCTTATCGTTTTGAATTAAAATGGGATGAAGAAACGTTAATTTTTATTAAACAGCCAGTTTCATTGTAGAAATCCCTGGCTGCATTGCAATCCTAATGTTAGCTGATATATATATGTCATCTTGCAGGCATGTTGAGCACTTTGTCTGTGCACAATGTGAGAAACCATTTCTTGGACAGAAGCATTATGAACGTAATGGATTGGCATATTGTGAAACTCACTTCAATCAGTTGTTTGGAGATATCTGCTATCATTGCAATGGAGTTATAGATGGTGATGGTAAGTTGACTGATACTTCTAAATTTATGGGAATATTCATATACCTGTAATTGGTATTGGTGGAAGCAATTTGGCATTGCATATCCCAATATTCAATATCAGTGTTATTCAGTGGTTGTTCTATCAAAGATTCATTTGGTAAGGATAAGCACATTTCAACTGTCATGGGTCGGCGCGATAGCCAGACGCGGGGCTCTTCAAACTGGTGATGTTAATACCCAAGTGAGCCGCGGACAGACTTAATGAGGGTTGCGGTGTAATATTTTTTGATACTGCGAAATACTGCGAAAAATATTCAAGAACATCGGTCTTATCAAAAGTATTGTCAGTTTCATTAATTTTTTTAATATTTTCTTCATTATTAAATTTTAACTAGTTCAGGTATGTAGTGGGATTTATAGAGGCAAAAGTACAAACATAGGCGTAAATTAGCAAAAACAGAATTGATTATGGACTCAGTAAAAATGACGTGGACTCGAAATCTAATCCGAGTTCTAAAAATGCCTGGATTCGACCCGAATCCGAGTCCAGATCCGAATCCCGGCCCATCCCTAATCTCATCAAATCTCATGCCCTCTTCCATGGACCCATGTTGTAGGCAATGCCAAATCAGGAAGATTCTGGTCCTTTCAAATTGCCATACTGGAATCTTGGTTTAAGCATGTCTCTTCGTTATTGATTATTCACATTTTTGAGGTTACAAGGGTTGTAATTAATTATGTAAACTAGGTGGTAAATGCATGGATATTTCCTTTTTTTGAAAAAGTATTTTTTACGCAACAGTTGTAGCTGCATTGAACAAATCATGGTGTGTTGATCATTTCCAATGTACGTGCTGCAATACCAAACTAACTCTCAAGTAAGTGAATGATTATTTTGACTTGTAAACAATATTGCTGGTTATGTTTCCTAGATATTTTATTTAGTATTGTGTAGCATATAAAGCTGGGATTTCCAGACTAGGGTCACAACCCCGTAGAAGAAGAGTATACCAATTTCACACAGAGTACTTTATATATGTACTTTTCCAGACTTCTGATTCAAAACAAATATTAAAACAAGCGCGAGAGCTACCTAAATCTCGCGATTTCAAAATAATACGTGGGATTAAAAAAGCAGCGCGCTGCGGAAAATTTTAATATATTGGAAAGTTAATCTGAGCCCTGATATAAGGTTAAACTATTTCTGAAGTTATGCGAAAAAAACTGCTTCCTATAAAAGAGACTGAAAGAAATTGTCCGCTATTGTTAGAGATTGGTTTCAGACATAAGCAGACAACTCCTTTTTTGTACTTGCTGGCATTCAACAAATTCTATATTTTGTCCAGGAACAAATTTGTTGAATACGACATGAAACCAGTCTGTAAGAAATGTTATGAAAAATTCCCACTAGAGTTGAAAAAGAGATTGAAGAAGGCCGCTGAAACTGAGAGAAAGTTGTAAATGAAATCAAAATGAGAAGATTAGATTGCTCAGATGAGCTGCTCACTGCCTGCAAGACAAGCATCAATATCACTTCATTGCATACTACATACTTATATATATATCTATATATTTTAAACAAGTGCTTAGCATGTATGGCAGACTTTTTATAGTCGGAAAATTCGGATAAAGTATTGGAGGAATGTCGATCCACAATTATTTGAGTTGGTATATTCTTGTATAACTATGGCTCATCTGTATCTTTTGGGAGATCAAATATTATGTCTATACAGTACAAGTATTACAGTACAATAAAAAACTAACATTGCATGTCATTCTAAAACTTTTGTATGTTATTGTTCCCTTCTTTACTTTTTGATCATATTATCATAATCTTTTTTGTATATTTTTGCTCGAATAAATGGATGTTGCTAATCTTGTGATATTGAATATGATTTTATTCGGTGGTACCAGTTTGACCAGTGGTTCTCAAACTTTTTTTCCAAGTAACTAAAAAAAGTAAAACATTGTGACCCAAGGATATGGTCTTATAATAAACGGCATATCGTACTTCTATGGCCGAAAAAAAATTAAATTAATAATACAAAATTTAAACAATCTTTTTACATAACATTTATTTCTTTGTTTCTTATTTCATTATTTCGAAATTCTTATTGGTGTGCCATTAGAAATTTTTGAAATTGTGTACTGTGTAGTCACTACACTGTAGTGGCTTTACTTAAAGCAAAACATATACTTCTGAGTGTTTACGCTGCGATACCTCCCGCATATACAGTTACTATTAAGCAACAACATATGCAAACATTTTGCTGGGAGGACGATGTCAATATTAATGGTGTTGGGATGTGAGATAAAAAAGTAGCCTTGTTGAATCTACATATCTTTGAACCTTACTTAGTTGAATAAAGTACTGGATGTTTAGGTTTCAACTAGCTCAAGTGCTGTTTTCCTAAATCTAAGTAATCTTATATCTTGCTTTCCAGTTAAAAACTATTCCTAGGTCACAAGTTAATGCTATTTCGAATTGCCACTTTTAGTGGGAAGTGGAATGGATAAAAAATCACCATTGACGCTCAAAATTCCATATTGCCTCGTACTAAAATTAGAAATTATATTTGTTGTATTCCATCATACAATTCACCTTTGCGATAATAACATGGCCTTTTTTTATGCAACAAGCTTGCAGAGTATAGATTTTTGTAATACATTACCAGTCAACGCATTTCGCTATTTCGAAGATTCAAAATTATCTCAGGTCAATGAGTAAGAGACACTTTGTCTAATTGAATCCAGTGACTCTCAGTATTTGAAAAAAAGTGCATCTCCGCAACACTGCTCAAGTGCTCTATACATTTCAGTAATTGCTGTTGCCCCAAAAATGATCACAGTTCATTATGATACTGTTTCAAATTACAAGCACCAAGTTCCCAGTTTACTTCTTTATCAAACTTCTGATTTAGCTTCCCTACTCCCCTCAAAACAGTTAGATGCAGGCATCATTTTTTTTAAAAAACTTCATATTTCAAAATTTATATTTCTATTTATAACAAGTATATTCAAAAAAAAGGAAAGAACTTTGGTTGATCTAAAGCTATGACCACAACTGTAGGATTCCGTCTGATCCACCAGTCAAAAGAAATTGTCCTGTGCGATCAAATGAAACTGTCTGTACGGCATCTTGATGCCCAGATATATAGTTAAATTCATTGTCTGACATGTCAATCATCTTAACTGTACCATCATTACTTGCAACAGCTAATATTTTGCCTGAATAATAATAAATTGATTTAGTAAATGTTAATTACAATACTAAATTGTGGGTAAAAAGTAAAATTATGTATAAGAGTAATTCCCCAAAATGTGCAATAAATATATTGCTCCATTGCTTTCTGAATAAAAAAATATAATCCAAGATTGGGATTCAATCAAGAGGAGAGAAGTGATCATAGCACAGAGTATTTGCATTGCCCCTTGTTTGGCCACCAATCAAATATGGCAATAACGATAAAAGTGCATGGAGATGTTGCCAGAAATCCACACGCACATAAGCATTCTACACAAAATCCCATAATGCGTACTCTCAACATGTTAACGAAGATAGGATAGGATTTACATATTTATTCCGGGGGAGATGATAAGACGACTAAATCATATGGCGAACCACGCCCTCTCGTCTGGTTACCAGTTCATGTCGTGTATGGGAATATGGTAGTTAGCCAGTTAATTGTTTTTCGGAAACATGTACTTGATGGTGGAGGAAGCCGTAATTACGTCCAGTAATATTCTCACACATACCCATCCCCGCAAGGGATTCACCCCTGCAAATTAATTAATCAGAGGTGTGGCGGCGAGCATATTCTAACACTCAGCATGATGCCCCACACAGTCGATCTGATATTGTCTCATTCGATCTTCCCGCAGATTTGAAATGATACATACATTCCAAACCTTACGTTTGATCCATTCAAGCGACAAATAAACTCAAAAATAATTTTGACAAAAACAAACTGGATTCATTACTTACCAGTGGGGTCAAATGCAAGTTTGTTAGCAGGATGAGGTCCAACATTTATTGTTGCTCTCGGAGAAATCTCTCTTGTGTCCCATAATTTGACAATTCCATAACTATCACATGATGCAATGGTGTTGCCCTACAAATACATAAACTTTGTGTCAATAATCTAATTGATTAGCGGGAGGATGTTCCATACTTATTGAAGATGATTAGGCTTATGTAGGAAATATGTGATCATTTGTCTCAAAATGTAACAGCATTTGTATAAAGAAAAAATATAAAAAACATGTTTCATGTACAAGTATGCACACACTGAAATATTTACATGAAATATATACGGTACATATCAATAAATTAGGTATATCAGATTTATGTTATTCAAATAAATAGTAATTCTAATGAAAATAAAAGGAGTATGGACAACCTAGTTATACAAACCTTGAGATTGAAGATTGCGTGGTTTACAGAATGCATGTGTCCATAAAATGTTTGAGCACAAATTCCCTGTAAAATAAATAAAATAGTAAAGACATTTCAACCATTAATTAATTATTGTAATTATATTTAAAATAACAGAAACTTGGGTTCATAAGATCAATTTATTGTAGAAAAAAGCATAATTATCTTCAGTTGAATTCACAATACGAACTACATTCAAAAACCAGGGCAAGATTCAAAATTGAGACCAATATTTACCGTCCTTGCATCCCATAATGATAATGTTTTATCAGCAGAAGAAGTTAATAAAGTATTTGAATAATGTAAGAACATAATACTGTTCACTGAATCAGTATGTCCTCGCAAAGTCGACCGACATCTTTCACTGAAAATAAAGTAAAAAATGAATAAGAAATAAATAAGCACCGAATTTCTATTCAAGTACAACAGGATTTTTTGATCAACTACCGAATCGTTCGAGTATCGAGACATTTGACTACCGAGGTATCACAGTATTATGAAGATGTCTTACCTGTTCAAATCCCATATCTTAGAAGTACTATCCATCGAACATGAAGCAATAAAATCACCACACGAATGCCACGTTACTCCCCAAACAGCATGAGTATGTTCACTCAATGTTAAAACACAAGATGCTTGAGCAAAATCCCACACTTTTACAGTTGTGTCACCTCCTCCGGTCACCAGTTGTTTTCCCCTGGGTAAAAAAAATGGGACTTTAATTTTCAAGGAAAATTTACAATTACATCTACTTTAAAATGAATTTGTCTAGGTTTGTGAAAGTACTAATACAATGTTTCTCAATCTTCTTCCTTTCGTTGCACAAAAATTTCGTGGCCCATTAAATATTAATATGCAAGATGAAATACAAGAAAAGCAAAAGACTAGACGCTAAAAGCTGGACACTTTCACTTTACTAATTCACTTTAAACCTATTGGATAAACATTCAACCTAATAAAGTCAGCACAGAAGTTTTAGAGACTTTAGAGTCATGCATCCTGCCCATCTCATCATATTAATAATTGCGAAGGTGATGCCGAACTAGAAATATTCCAGTCCTTTCAAACTAGTTTTATATCTACGTCTGCATATACAAGGCATTGTTCAAAGTAAAATACATGTTGAGGTACAGCACACAATGAAATGAAAAATCCTGATCCTATAAAGCAGGGATACTCAACTGGCAGACCGCGGTCTGAGTCAGGACAAATCGAGTATTTGATTTGGACCGCACCAGATTCTTTATTTTTGAGCATTGGTACCATTAACTTTGGATATATGGAGGTTTATTAATATTGAATGACTTTTATAGTTTTGAAGGTTATTTTATCATATAATTGTATTTGCACCTAACTATATATGAAAAGAAATGTAACGCAATAATAAACAATGGGAATAGCGCTATCTTGATTAGCGAATAATCCTTAGACAGCTGAGAAACTGCGCGTTCAAGGAATGCAACCCCAGTAATTTTGGTAAAAATAGTTGAGTATTTCAAAAGTTACCAATTTCATTTGTTACTTACTCTGGATGAAAATCACAATCAGCAATCCAGTCTGTATGTCCATCACCTGTCATGATGATCTCACCATCTGGTAATGACCACATTTTCCATAACCTATCATCAGAAGTTGTCACGGCAACTTGTTTTCGAGGATGAATACGAACACTAAATTGAACATTTGATAATACTTAGTTAGATTAGTTCTTAGAAGCCCAATCTTGAACCAAGCTCTTTAAATTTTAAACATGTGTCTGATCGATGATTGTCTGATCGTTTGTCAAATTTGAGAAAAAATGTTTTTTCTCAATTTTTGTTTCATTTGACAAAATTGAAATCTTCCTGATCCTAAAAAATATACCTCTCATTTAACTACTTATAAGTGATATTCAAACTACATTAACAATGATCTCATATTTCAGCTCTCACGCTGAAACTAATAAAAAGTTCCTATGATTTTGAAAGGCAGATTTTGAAATAATTCTCCCAGTTTAACAAATATTCTATCCAATTTGCAACTCAAGTGAAGTAGTTGGCTCAAGTTATAAAATCTTTAACCTGAGACACCAACATAGATAGGTACCAACTACCAAGCGCTATTCATAAGAACATATGAATATACAGAGGAAGTAACATGTTGATATACTTTTACCTGCTGACGGCCAAATCATGAGCTTTTATTGTACTTGTTAGTTTCAATCCACCAGCCCTTGTGAGGTGAGTAGGAACCGGATAAGCGAGAGATAATAGTGGATTCACGCAATCATCATGTGGAAATTCACTGTCCTAGGAAATTGAAAATATAGACAAATAAGTTGTGAAATCAGCATGTGATTAAACAAATAGGCGCAGAAGATGAATAGATGACAATTTGTGATAAAATACTTTCATATGCTGTAAAAGTAGGTATAAAAGATAATGATTTGGTTTCTGCGAGACTAATTACTTATCATTCTTCTATGCTTTTGTGTCGGCGGATCCCTATGCATATAATGCAAGAATGCTGTAGCAAGAGTAAAAATACCTATCCTAACTGATTCAAGAGTCTTATAATAATGCGAATATCTTGTACTCATCTGTAGAACAGAATTCTAACAGTTCAAATTCTAAAATTGCTTAAACCTAAGTATTAAACATGACACATAATTATCAATAATAAGGATCACAATTCAAAATCACTAAAATTTAAAAAGATTTTACTGCTCTTTACTTTATAGTGAGTGTCTTTCACAGATTGTGCTGATTCTTCCGGAGGTGTTTGGAATTTTACAGCTTCCTTTTCCATTCTAGATTCTCTCAAAGCTCGTTGAGTTGGACCCTCAGGTTTATGCATACGTTCTGCTCTGTAACCAATAACTGATGGTATAGGTTCGTCTTTGCCACTTTCAAGGTTTCTCAAAGTTGCTTGCAATCCAGTAGCCTGAGTATAAGATCGAATAAGAATAAATCAATGGAGTTCCCATAGGGTGGTTCATGTAACTGCTGGGCGGTTACGATTTCATCCACCATCAAGTCCATGCATCTGAAACAAATAACTGGCTAACTAATCCCATACCCAACAAGGACCGGTAACTGGACGGGAGCTTGTGGTTCGGCATATAATTAAGTCGTCTTATTAATTTTCCTCTCCCCCGGGATATAGATATGTAAATTTTAATCCTAAAAATGATATTCCACTAGTCAAAGTAAAATGAAGGCAGAGTTGGGGCTTCCAGTCTAATATTATTAAAAAAAATGTCAAAATAAAAACAGCCCTAGTAAACTATGTACAACTGATAACAAACAAATAAAAAAAGTTTTGGCAATAAGTGTGCTTTTACTATTTTTTTTTGCATTTTACCATATGCATTAGTCTGGTAACTCCCTATTATTTAGCATTACTTACTTGCTGAATTTTTAAAATATTGTTACCTGTCCAACAACTCTGTCTCTTTCCAATCGCGTCAACATTTTTTCCTTCATAGCTAGTTCGTTATTTATGTTCAGTTGTCGTAATGTAGTTCATTAAGATTTTATAATGGCTTCTTCAGCCTGACAAGAAAACAGTTCAAAACCTATCTAATACTTTAATATTTATTATAGGTTCCCCAAAATTAAATAAAAATAAAGTGAAGACAAACCCTGTACAAGATCTACATAACAGTATTGCATTGCCATTTTTCTATCATGCTCATTTACATTCATATGCATATTGTATATTTTTTAATTGTAAACTCACAAAACGCAAATAATTCTACTGGATAGCTTCCATTTGAAATGTCATGGGTTATATATATATTGCCCGGTATTTAATGGATTATTAGCAGTGATATCTGCAATTCCCACTCTGGCTTTTATACAGTTAAAATAACTTATATTGTGTGCCCAAATTTGTATGACAATAATGCTAAATAAGTGAGGAATATTAGTATTACAACACAATAAAATACCGATCTGGTTATCAACAGTGGCCTAAAGTATTAATAATATTCAGTAATATACAAGAATGAACAACCTTTTCATGTCTTCGATAAGTCTGTTTTCTCTGAACAACTCTTCTGTGATGCATTCTATGATAATCTCTTTCTTTTTGCATTTTGGATAAATGCTTCTCTTGCTTATCTGTCACATAATACAACATATAAATGATAAACCAAGATGAGATATGTGTAGAGCGCAGTAGGATAGGATTTACATGTTTATACCAGGGGAGAGAAAAGCCGATAACATGGCTTAACCATATGGCGAACCACGGCCTCTCGTCTGTTTACCCATCCATGTCGGTATTAGTTAGTTAGCCAGTTATTTGTTTTTGGAAGCATGGACTTGATGGTGGAGGAAGCTGTAAACCAACAGTGTTACGTGAACCACCTGCGGCGCGAGGAGTTCCAGCTATCCTCTCGCATATCACTATCAACGCATGGGTTCTAACTGCGAGCCCACGCAGAGTAAACAGAGGTGCAGTGACAGACAAAACAGTTATGAAAGTTAGTTACCTTCCTGCTGATCTGAATTTATCAACTTCTTTCTTTAGTCTTTTGACTTCATCGTTTAGAAATTGGTTTCTGATAAAAAAGGAAATAACATGAACAACAAATAGTGGAATTATTCTTTATTTCCAGCGTATTGTTTTGGTTCATATGCTTCTTCAAATACAAGACTGTAAGCGTTTTAGTTCAAAGCTTTTTTAATCTTGGCTTGAGAGTTCAGTGATTTATTAATGCATTTATATGTATTCAAACCCCATTTAGAAAAAAACAATGGTCAAAGAACACTGGCATAACTATGTTAGCAACAGAAGTTACAACTTTGAGATTAGATCCACGCCAACAAGGATTAAGGGTGAACTTTAGGTTATCCTGCTATTAAATCTAATGGTTAGTTGTGCAATCAATGTCTTGTTCAAAAAATTAATCCATATCAATATATGAAAGAAGTGAATTGTCACTTGTCACTTGTCACAAGTGAATTGTCACATCTGCAAAATGAGAGAAAATGAAATCGCCTAATATAAAAATTTAGATCTCCTGAAGTATGCACACCAAAATGGCGCACAACCTGAACTCAGGTTGTGTACCAGGTTAGGGTTCAGGAGTACCAAAAATTTTATATTTACCTTGCATATGCATCAGGAACCACACCAATATCTTCATCTCCTAATAAACCTCTCTGTTGTAACTCATACCTAAAAAGCATTGATTCTTGGTTTTGAAAAAATTACTTGAAAGAAACACTAATGAGTTGCAAAGTAAGCAGATCAAACGGATCCCCATCAATCAAGCTTTCATTGCAAAATATTAAACAGGATCTTAAAATTAACGAAATGTCAATTGTACAGTTATGGATATTTAAATATGAATTGATAATGTGGAGACTTGCTCTTTAATAATTTAGTAATTTTTCCTTCAAATACTTTGAACAAATTTGATCAAAAAAATTCATTATAATAGAAGTTTCAAACAACTATTACCAGGTCGATTTTACAACAAATTACATAAAATGAACACGTACATTGGTAAGAGTGTATTTTGTGATTGTCATGACTGTGCAAAATTTTCATTTACTTAAGTAAAGTATATAAGTATAAATAGTTACCACTCTGTTTGAAAACATTCTAATGTTCTGTTTAATCCCATTTTAAGAAAGAAATTTCGAACGAAATCATCAATAACTTCTGGTCGTTGAGTCACTGTTGCTTCACGAGATGATGTTATTTCACCCTGTTTGAATGGAAAGTAATATTGCATAATAACCGGTACGTCAATTTTCAATATATATTTGTGCATGTAATGAAACATTTATCTTTGGTTTGATAAGAATACATGTGGTCATATTTTAATTGAATTTTAAAAAACCGTCACATGTTGGATCACTTTTTGCACTTGTAGTTTGAAATCTAAGACATTTATAGGCCCTACATAATATTAGGTTCAAAAAACCCAACAAAAGAACTATTCATAACATACTCCTGCTAAAAGCTTATTTTGTCTTGCTTCTTCGATTGCATAAACTGCGTCATTCAAATCTTCTAAAAAATCAACAGTACTAGCTTCATCTTCAACTGGAACCTGAAAATAAACCAATAGTAATTAGATATTTTAATAAAATTAAAAAAAAATTATGAATGAGGCACATATCATCAAAATCAATTTGAAGAGGGCAATGTTCACCGTTTTTTTCAGCTAATAAGTCTACCAGTACCGGCAAATAGGACGAAGCCTATTTTAAGCACTAGAGTAGAGATTTTTTATATAGCCCTTCAATACGACGGTCATTTTTGTTTCTGGTAAAAGCATACTCACAGAATTAACTATTCTTAACAATAAGGGGGTAATTTCAATCATTTGCGAAAAATAAGGCAGACCCCAGAAAAAAAACATATTGAATAAAATAAAACATGCATAGTCATTGAATAAAAATAAAACACCAAATCAGTCCCCCTCAAAATCAGGCTAAAAAATTGGGTCCAGAAAAGTGACTCAATAGCCGGGAAGTAGGTAAATATTAATGTGATACGCTTACAAAGAAACTAGTTGTTTCAAATCATGAAAAACTAATTTTTTGATACCATGGAGATGTCGTTAAAAATATTGATATTTGTGAATTGAAAAGCAAATTTTGGTATTTTACAGTCTACAGATAAGTGTTTTATGGTGTGACTTATCAAAAAATTAGCTTTCTGGAAAAATTGCAAACACTGTTTACCCAATCTATTCAGTGCCATATTTAAATACACGGCAAACAATAAATTAATCCTCAAAACTAACCTCTTCATATTGGAAGTCATCATCTGAATCATTCGGAATCGAAACCTCTATTGATAAAAACGAAAAATGATATTCATTTCAGCATTCATGTTGAAGACACAAAAAGCAATTATACCAATCATATCAAGTCCATGCTTCCGAAAACAAATACCTGGCTAACTAATCCCATACCCGACCTTGACTGGTAACCGGACGAGAGGCCGTTGTTCGCCATAGGATTAAGCCATCTTATCGTCTTTTCTATCCCCCGGGATAAATATGTAAATCCTATCCTATCCTATAAAGGCTATGTTGAAAATTTTCATGTGTTTCTTTTCCAGCCAATAATAATAATTATAATTTTATGTCATAAAATTATGTTAGCAATTTCATAAAATAATGTGAATAGCTTATATTTTATGATAAGCGACAGTTTTACCTATTTCCTAATGTCAGCATATTTAGTTCAAAATGAATTGCACTAAGATACTACCGTACTGTACCATAATTTCAGAATTCCCCAGGCTTACCGGTACCGTACCTTTCAATGCAATTAAGTTGACTTACCTTCCAGATAAAAAGGCCCTTCCTCTGCTTCTGATGTCATAATTTTTTGACAATGTAAAAATCAAAATAAAAAGTATTTTGTGTTTATACTATCCTACAACTTAACTCAAAAAGGCGACAGCAAAACAAAATCTGGCACGAAAGCAGCACTTTTTTTTTTTTTTTTTTTTTAGTTTCCGAATTAGATCAAGATTATTAATCATTTTTTTTTGAATTTTGAATATCATGGTTTTAATTACCACCATTTCAATAAGTCATATTGTATATACAAATTATAAAATCATACAATACCAGTTTATCAATCACATATATATACATATTACATCCATGTCCATTTGAAGTTCAGTATAGTTGATCCGTGTCATTTTATTAATTTATAATTATATTACCATCAGTAATTAATTTGCATGGAAAAATAAAAGTTTTCAATAAATTAGATAGGAATAAGAAAAACTTCCATACCATGATTATAGGGTTTTTCTACTTTCTATCCATGTTGATGATATACAATAAATATGGTAGATACCGTTGAAATTTAAATGAAATAACACTATATACATATTTAAAGCATAACAGATTTATCAATAATACATCAATAGTTTCATCGCTTATTATTTTCAATTTTGTTCCTTCTCCCATATATTTGATGGCAGCTTTCAGCTTGCATTTGAAAATTGTTCGCATGGTTGATTGGTAAGTTTGCCCTTCTTCAAATATAATATAATTTCGAAAATCCCATATTGCCCCTTTTGCACACGCAATGATCAGTCCTAATATTGGTTTTACATTTTGTAAGAAAATTATACTTTTAATATTGTACTGGGGAGGTGCAATGTTACACCATTCCCAGAATTGTCTAACATAAACGCATTCAAAAAATAAATGTTTACAAGTTTCTACAATGTTGTTGTTACACAGCTGGCAGTACCCATCATCACCGTCTACCCAATGCCTTATTTTATCCCCTGTTTGCAATGCCATATGTGCTATTTTCCATCCTAAATTTGCAACTTTTTGGGAATATAATAATTCCAGATATCTTATCCATTTTATATCGTCTACAGGTATATTATACCTCTGACCAATATGAAATACTTTCTTATTAATAAAATTATCATGCCAGTATTTTTTTCATACATTATATGCAATTCTTTTGTTGTAGGAATTTCTTCAAAATCAAAAGGGTTAAGAATATCATTTTCTACACTATCATTGGAATCTGGTTGCAATAATAACAATTTCCATTCTATTGGTAACACCTCTACTATATACATTATGACATCTGAAATTCTTCTCTCATACATTTTTTTACTATTAATAGACATTGAGTTCCATTTAGCATGACCAATAACACTAGCTGCAATATTAACACAGTTTCTTTGAAAAATGTCTCTAATATAAATGACATTTCCTCTTATCCAATTGCCTACATGTTCTGGGTGGATAGACAATTGGATAAGAGGATTCCACCATAATATTTCTTTCACTATTTGTTTTTATCAAATATAGGTTTTCTCGAAAAGTTCAAACTTTTAAAATGATTAACGATTGTTGTATAAAATTTAGGTATTTTCCTATTTTCATAATTATTGAATCGAAAGATGAAGCGTTTCTAAATTTGAGGTTACTAGTCGTTTGTCATACTTATTAATAAATACTCTTGCTCTGGATGACCATGGGGCTCCACTACCTTTTAATAACCAAAATATCCATTTAATTTGTATGTTTTTAATTTGTGTTTCCATATCAATACATCCTAGTCCACCATACTGTTTACTACAGCAACATATTTTTCTACTAACTAACTCACGTTTTCCACTCCATATAAAATTCCAAATTAGTTTAGTAATATTTTTCAAAATATCTTTTGGCACACATTCGAAAGCAGATAAGTACCATACTTTTGACAAAATAAAAGTCTTGGCTATAATAATTCTGCCGGTCATGCTCATATTTCTTTGTTTCCAAATATTGAATATGTTATAGATTTTTTCTTGCACTTTAAACCAACTTTCTTTTATGGCATTTTCATTATTTCCTATCCACGCACCAAGAATTTTTATTTTGTCTTTAGATATGGTAATCCCACCTATTTCAAATAGCTGGTTTTGCTTTAAAGGTCCGCAAAATAAAATTTGTGATTTTTTTTTATTAATCAGTGTTCCAGTGGCATTTTCAAAATTTTTAACTTCCTGTAAATTTCATACAGTGAAGCTATATTAGAAGTCGTAATCGTCGCATCATCTGCAAAACCTTTAAATTTTTCTTCAATATTCGCAATGGTATAGAATCCATCGATTCTTGGATTACATCTTACGCTACATGCAAACGTTTCCGCTACAAATGTATATAATAATGGTGACAAAGGGCAACCTTGACGTAAACCTCTTTCAATTATTAATTTTTGTCCTAAATATCCATTTGTAAGAATAACAGCGTTAGTTTTGGTATACAGTATTTTTATCATAGATATGAAGTTTTTTCCAAAATTCAATCGTTCCATAATTTCCATAAAAATAGTCTATCAATACTGTCATAAGCTTTTTGCCAGTCAATGGATAAGATTGCCAAATTTTTCCCATACGCATTCGCATAAAAAATGTCATCTCTTAAACAAATAAGGTTTTCATGTATACATCTTTGATAAATGAATCCAGTTTGATCTGGGTGTATTAGTGTAGGCATAATAGTTTTTAATCTATTTGCTAATATTTTGGCATAGACTTTGTAATCAAAATTTAATAATGATATTGGTCTCCAATTGCTAATACTTTCTTTTTCTCCATTTTTGTATAGTAAAGTGATAACCGCCATATTCATAGACTGAGATAATTTTCCATGTTTTAAGCAAACACTAAATAATCTAAATAGAATGAGTTTGAAAGTTGGCCATGATATGTTATAAAATTCTTTCGTGAGTCCATCTAGACCTGGGGCTTTATTTAGCTTCATAGATTTGAACGCCATGTCTATTTCTTCTACAGATATTTGTTTATCTAAGATTACCTTATTTTCTTCAGAATTAAACCTTCCCAATCCACGTAACAAGTTGTCTTGGATTGAGTAATCTAAATTTTGTTTCTTTCTATATAGTGATTCAAAATAGAGTTTTTGTTCCTTCTGTATTTCCTTTAAATCTGTCGCAATTTTTCCGTTTTGTGTTTTCAAACGTTTAAATAGTTTCAGTTTGCCCCTATATATTTCTAAATTTAAGAAGTACTTTGATGGCTTTTCTCCTTTTTCTGACCATTTAGTTCTTGATCTTACAATTTGACCTTGCATTTTGTTTTTCTCAAAAATTTGTAAAGTAGTTTTCAATTGCATAAAGTTTTCTCTACGTTCCGTACAATAAGCAGCACAATAATTCGTGAATGTGGCATAATGTTACTATGGATATGCGCAACCATGCGTATACAATTCAATAAAATTTGAATTCTCTAAATTACATTACTTATGTGTTTGGTAAATATTACAGATAATATATAGTAATTAAAAATATACAGAACAGTAATTAAAATTATAATAAATTTTCAACAACCTTCTGCCCCGAACGGATTTGTTCCTGTCGCTTTTTGTCTGTTTGTTACCCACACGTAACATACAGGTGACGTCGCTCGATATGATTTTTCGTTCCGCTGGTCGCATCGCAAACCGTTTTGAGATGGGGCAGCACCACCGCTGTTGCTGTAGAATATGTTGCTTCATATTTTTGGATTTGGTATAAATTTAGTATCCGAATACAATTTTTCAAAAAGCCGAACGCTGATTCGCTATTACTAATCCATTAGATAATTAGCTACCGCTGCTCAGTTGCTTGCTGCAATACACTGATGTGAATAGAAAGATGAAATGGCAATGATTCAACCCAATCCTGCATAGTACTGGTAACAGTTTACTTAATGGCCTAACATTGACGTGTCCCAACCTTGGAACTAGCCTAGGTTAGGTCAGTAGGTCTCAATATATATCCTTTTATGCAATATCGGAATTTATTGTTATAAATCATCATTCAACAACTTCAAATGATTTTCACTTGTACATAGTTTAAATATTTCGTTTGTATTTTAAACAGCATAGTTGAAGTGTATTGTAAGTTAATGCATTAAGGTCTGTTTTGCAGTCTTCATGCACAGTCATACTTTCTCTCCAGCAAATTGAAGCATTTCTTGACCATTACATGCAAAGATGTGGTTTTTGTGGCTCTTAAGCTGGTTTTCTATACTTCTGCAAATATTGTTTGTTACCTTGTCCATAGGTAAGTTGCAATTTTTGGTTTTCATAATGAATCTAAAATAATCTGTGACAGATATTATTTGTGTTATAATCATGAGTCAACATTCTATCACTCGTCAACAATGTCAAGTCATATTTTGAACAGTTGTTTATTTTTTATTGACATTACCACTTCTAAAATCTTATGCTTCTTGCTGCCTTCATTAATTTAATTCACTGCACTAAGAGAAATCAAACTGGTGCACCAGCCAACCTTTTAACTATTAAATCTGATTCATAATTGTAATTAATAAAACAGCCATATTTTGTTATTATTTCAGCTGCTGCATTGTATTATTTGGCTGAACTTATTGAAGAATACACAGTTATAACAGAGAAAATTTTAAGAGTAATGCTCATGGTAAAGTAGTGATGTCTTTTCTCCTATTTTAGCTTTATATGCTATCATATTTTTTATGGCCTTATTATATCTCTATAAGAACTCCCTGATATATTTTATATTAACTATATCATACTGAAATTTGTAGATCACATTCACACAAATATCTTTCCTTGTGAAAGTGATACATTTGATAGCCAGCTGTATGGTCGTGATGTAAACCAGTGTTTCCTAACCTTTTTTGGTCGCGGACTATTTTCACACCAGGGAAAATCTTTGCGGACTCAACGTGCGTTAACTGTGAAACCGAACTTTGTGTGAAGGAGCAATAAGCAATTTCTGTCGAGTCTATGTTTTTTTTTTTGCTTTGAAAACAAATCCTTTTAAATGTTGTTACTGCGTATCCATTGAAATCTGATAGAACTCACCTAATGGTATTTCATATTCAAATTAATATATCCGCTCGGAAAATTTTGAAATGTTACATTTTTGTTATATGTATTGGTGATTCGAATTTTACCAAATGGCCCACTGAAAAGATGTGAAATTCATGTGATATTGGCGCACAATAAGATCATTTAAAAATGTAGCAATGATGTTACAGGAAACAAATAAATAAAAAGCACAAATATAACACTCAATTTTAACGAAAGCGGAAAGTACGTGTAAACTCGTGTTTTTGTCAGAAATCTGCAAGTCCGTTGTGCAATCCAATCGTTTGATTCAGCGCGATTGACGTGCTGTGTCCAATTCACATATTACCAGGTATTCAAATAGTTTGCTGTTCGAATATTTTGCCCAGCCCTCAGTAATTATTGACTCGATTAATATTATGTGGATAAACTTGCCTTTTATGTCTTATGTAAATACTAACATGAATCGTAACTTGGCTTGTACTCTAAGTATGGTAAAAAGGTTTTCGCCCCGCAATGAATTTCGCGATACTGAAAAGGTTAGTGACCTACATTAAATATACTACTACATAATTTTCCAATTTGGTCGTTGCGGACTCATTCGAACGCTCTGCGGACTCATTTGAGATTGCGAACTCGGGTTGGGAAACACTGATGTAAACACAAACTGTATCGAATTTCTATATTATTTTACACAAGAAGAATGCTTTGCACAAAAGTTATGTACTCTCTACAATATTTTTCTAATGACATGGGTTCTGTTTTTTCAAATAATCTGAAAAGCTTTCAACACATTTAGTGAGCATCTCAGTACGTAAGTTGATTAATTCATTTAATTATTTTTCAGGTTTCATGTGGGATTTACATTGGGTTATGGATTTTTGAAGGTTTTCCATTCACAATCATTGTACTTGGATTATTTACAAATGTTGTCGAATTTGGATTACTCCGAACATTTCCTTTTATCGAAATGTCTTCACCGAACTTTATTCTCACTGTTGTATTAGTTGTTGTCAATCATTACTTTGCCTTTCAATTTTTTAGCGATGTCTTTTACTCGTTTGCAGAGGTAATTTACACCTTATTTATTTATCTTTTCCCAGTCCTTATTACATGTGAATGTTTTCCTTTTTTGAATTCCCCAATTTTTATATAAATAGGATAGCAAAGCCAACAAGACTGCTTAATCATATGGTGTACCAAGGCCTCTCGTCTGGTTGCCAGTCAATGTAGGGCAGTGTTTTTCAACCGGGGTGCAGTGGCACACCGGTGTGCCGTAAAATATTGTCAGGGGGGCCGTGGGAAATTCTCCAATTTGTATGTCTATGCGGCTATGCACAGGATTTGGACCGCAGATCCACTCAGGGTAATCAGAGGTGCAAACAATTAGAATGATGCGGCGATATTTGAGATTTAAATATTGTTAATATACTTTTTTATTCACAGATTATGGCATTCTTCACACTATGTTTGTGGGTTATACCATTCACTTTCTTCATATCACTATCAGCTGGTGACAATGTACTGCCATCAACTGTGCAACCTTTGCTAAGCGAATCTTCAGGTAATTGAAATTTAAATTAACTGTTATTAAAATATTTATATATACTTTACTGAGCATAGGTCGCTCACTTTTTTATGTGATCAATTTAGCGTTACAGTTTTTTTGTATATTTTTTCCAGATCACGATGTTCTGTCTCATTATATGACAAAGGGAAAAAAGAAAAGATCTGTCCTTCTCACCTTTGCAGAGGGCTGTAAAAATATGGTAATTCCATCACGAGCCAAGCGATACTGATTATCTAGCTAACATTTCTGCGAAGCAGTCATGATTATTAAGTTTGGAGTAGATTAGGGCATAGAGCTTTGAATCACAATTGGTGAAGCAAAAGTGTTTGTTCCACTTGTTGACTTTTTACTTTGGTTTTTATTGCTTAATTAAAATTACGTATGATTTTTTTGTGTTTCTACTAATAAACCTATGATACACAACTAATTTTTTGATCTCAGATAAAGTATACTTAGGCTCGATGTGCGCTTCCAATTTTGAATATGGTGTACTGAGCTGCTTGTAGGTTACTCCGTGACGATGCTTAAATCAGCTTAGATCATCAAATAAGAGAGCGATGCTCAAATATATGGACAGGAAGTGGTACAGTTATGCAATCTGTCACAGTAGCCAACCGGTACTGTATCACGGCTGATTTGAACTTACGGGGAAGCAGAACTGTAACAGGGAATTTTCAATGTTGTCATCACACAAAAAAAAGTCAAAGCCAACAAAAAAAGCCAAAGAAATTTCTGACATAGGTAAAACCCTCGTAGTGAAGATTTCAAAGCAATTGGTCCATCAATTAATCAAGATTAATTCTTCACAATACTAACATGATGATTACCAGCAAAAAAACGACCCACTTTGTGTCCAAAAAAAAAATTTCAGGACATTTTTAACCAGCCCAATTTGTTATTCTGTGCAAGGCCATTTCCTATTTTTATTACTTTTCAAAAGCAGATGCTGGACATAGGAAATCGAAATCAAAGGTTCCATTGACCAATCTTTGTGATGCATGGTAATAACTATCAGCCTGTCAATTGTTCCAGATGTATGAAACTGGTATATAATTACTTATCGATCTTAAGATCGGTAAGTATGTTGATAGGTATTTGTCTGTTAGATACACGCAATATCTCACGAAAGCGAGGATGAATCTGCTCCAAATTTTGCATGTCCATTCATCATAATTTGAAACAGAAGCCTATCGATTTTGGATGGATTATGTCGTATAATTAGCGAGTTATTAATTAATTAGTGATGGGACACACGGTGTCACTATGGAGTAAGACCACTGTTTTGGGGATCCCCTAACCTTCGATCGATAAGTCTTCGTTTCCAACCGAATTCTAGTTGATGTATCATTACATTACACACAATTTAGTTCCAACCCGATAACAGCCAAGCTTGTTCATATGTAGCGATTATTAAACTGTCTGCTTTGTGTAATTATTGCATGTAGCATTTAGAAACATGCACTACACAGGCAGGCCACAAATACGACTGAATGTTCTCAATAGAATTTTATTGGTGTACAAAAAAATGATTGAGGAAGTTTAGAAATACTATAGGGGAATGGAACAAGACTAGTAGTGTTGACAGATTTGAAATTCAAATACCAAATCTGGGAGTCCGTCTTGGTGTAGCTGGTGTCGCACCTCCATCTTTTCTACCCGGTGTCGCAATAACCAAACGTTTTGATGTCTTTTGTATTTGTTCATCTTCCTCCTGCTTGCGATTTTTAACTTGTTCGTTAGCAAGATAGAGTTCTTCTTCCATTTCTGACATTTTATCTCTTGCTGCTCTCTTCCTTTCTTTCCTGGAAGCTGCAGTTTCTTTCACACTATAAAACATAGGGCCCAGTTCTGCGAGCCATTCGCCTTCGACGGATGTTACACATTGCATATATTCCTTCGATGTCATGACAAGTTCATGGTAGATAATGTAATCAGGGGTGAATCCCATTCCAAATAATGCTGACGTTGGATGTAAATGGCACGGCATACCTGTCCTTATATTGACATATTCACCAATGCCTTTCAATCTAGCGGCATGGTGGAAGTATGCTGCACAAATGCATTTGCGAATAACATCCCAATCATTACCAGCAGAGACCAATCTCATTTTTTGTTGGTCCATAATTTCTTTGAGCTGAGATCTTACTTCCCTGACTTTTCGCATTGCTTTTGCATGAACAAAATGTTCATTAGCCCAAGTTGTGGAATACCTATTCGTTTTCCATTGTTGATAGACGTTTAAAAATGTCATATGGTCACTTTCTGGGACATTGAATTTTTCCCTTTTTGTATCACTGTCTTCCTCTCGTCCCTTCGGCCTGTAGAAAATAGATGGGACAGAAAGCATGGAAACAATGATTAAAACTTCAGCACTGCAGCCCATTTCACAGGACACGATCAACATTTTTGACAATGGGGGATCAAGAGGAAATTCTACCATTGTACGACCACATGTCGTTAGCGCACCTGTATTATCTAGGGCCCCTAATATCCATAATTGATACATCGAGTTTAAAATATTATCCTGCGGCGGTGGGTCCATAAAATGGAATGACAAGAGGTCTTGTACACCGAGTGATTTTAGTAACAAAACAACATTTGCGAGGTTAGTTCTTTGAATCTCAGGAACAGCTGATGCAAGCATTTCATGTTTGTATTGGTTCAGAGTAAATAGCCTGTAGCAAGTCCCAGCACCTGTCCTTCCAGCTCTACCAGATCTTTGATTTGCATTGGCTTGTGAGACTGGGTATATTGACAGAGCATCCATACCTATGCGAGGATTGAAAACCTTCATTTTACAATATCCACAGTCAATGACATACATAATTCCATCAACAGTTAATGATGTTTCTGCAATATTGGTGGCAACAATGCATTTCCGAATTCCTTCAGGGGCTTTTTGAAATATTTTTGCCTGCAAATCTGAAGGCAATTGAGAGTATATCGGTAAAACTGCCAGAACAGCAACATCTTCAATTTCATTTAAACTTTCTGTCAATTGTTCGCAAGTTACTTCAATATCCTCTTGACCGGGCATAAATATAAGTATATCGCCTTGAAAACCTTGTACATGGATTTGGAGAGCTTGCTTTACAGCTGATTCAACATAATCCTCCACAACATTTTTACTATAAAGGATATCAACGGGGAAAGTTCTACCAGGAATAGTAAAACAAGGAACATTACCAAAAAACTGAGCAAATTTATTCGCATCCATAGTAGCCGATGTTACAATAAGCTTGAGATCGTGTCGACGTGCTGCTACGTCACGTAGCAATCCGAACAACACATCTGTATTCAGAGACCTTTCATGAGCTTCGTCCATAATAACACAACTATACGTATCAAGATCACTGTCTCTTAACGACTCACGAAGCAAAATACCATCAGTCATATATTTGATGAGTGTTTTATCACTCGTGACATCCTCAAATCGAATCGCATACCCAACTTCCTCTCCCAGCTTGACACCCATTTCTTCACTGACCCGCTTTGCAACTGACATTGCAGCAACACGACGTGGTTGGGTACAAGCAATGGCCCCATGTGAAGAATATCCCGCTTCATGTAAATACTGTGTGAGCTGTGTCGTTTTACCGGAACCAGTTTCACCCACTATAATTACAATATTATTTTCTCGAATAATTCCTAAGATTTCCTCTTTAATTGCATATATTGGTAAATATTGTCTTTGTTCCAACATAGTCTTGGATTTAGCAAATTCACTCATTGCTTCATTTTTTTCATTCATATGATTAGCAAATCTTTGCTGAGATTTGAAATCGCTTTCCTCAGATTCTGATGGGTCTTCACCATCATCTTTCTTTTTAACTCCCATGATATTTCCTATATTCGTCCCAGCTAGTTCCCATTCTTTCTTCTGTGCTTTCTTTCGCTCTTTCATTTCTCGGTGCTTTCGAACTGTGAGGCTACCTTTTCGTGATACAATAGCCATGTCTGACGTAACATCTTTTACAGGAATAACAGGTTCAAACTGTTTAGTAAATACAATTCTTCCATCTAGAAACGGAGGAACGATATTATGAACAAGAAGATGAACTCTAGCTGCATTGTCTTCTTCAAAATCTTCATCATAGTGAGTTTGTAAAACAACACCACTACGCATCATACGATTCGTTTCCCATTTTTCATTGTCTTCATTAATTTGTTTTCGTTGTGCAGATATTTTCTCTCTTTTTTGAGTCTTCATATGCTGCTCTCGTTTTTGCACATATTCATCTGAAGCATTAGCAAATGGATTATGTGTTTCATCATACCCCTCGTCCATCATGTACCAATCTCTATCAGCTTGCTTATCTACGTCATCCCAATCTCCGCCATCACTGTCATCACGCTCACCATCTCGTTTTGGAGTTTCTTTGAAGCGTTTTCTATCATCTGCCCATTCATTGTAACGATGAGCTGGTGTTTGTAATGGTGTCTCCAATGTTCTAGGACGCCTTGAACTAGTCGGACGATGGGACCTTTCAGATCTATAATATGATGGGGCTGGCGATGGTGATTCCCATGATCGCCGTGAACCGTATCCTGACTCCTCCTCCTCCCAAGTACTTCTGGAAGGGGTTTGCATGCGACGATCAGACTTATAATGCCTAGGAGTGCGATCATCTCTCTTTTCTCGCTTTCTACTGTCGTCTTTCCTTTCACTCGAACGACCCTTATCATGACGTTTCTTATCACTTGAAGTCGTATACCCTTCTCTTTTTCGTTTTTCCTCACGATTTTTTGCTTTTTCTTTATATGAATCACTTACACCACCGGTATACGAAGGTGTTTCAACTCTGGCTGGCCGATAATTTCTTCCATGATAATTTGTCGCCCCCTTTTCTTTGTTATACTTTTGATCGGCAAGTTTATCGAGTCCCAGCAATGAAGGCTTTTTGAAAACATGCTGCTCTTTGCTAGAGTGCTTATCCTTTTTTACAATTAATCCAAAAACTTTTCCACTGTTGTTTGTCCCCTCAAGTCGATGAATGCTTTCGTCATCATTGTCATCCATTATAAGTGTCTAATAACTGTATTGTACAATCGAAGATAAGAGGGTTAATATCTGCAACATGGATATAACTATATATAGTCTATATTCTGTATATTGTTTTATTGTAAACAATTTTGTACAAACAGTTTTGTATACTTCACCCTAACCTCTGTTACCACACCCACCCACCCTCCTTGCACAACTTTCTGTATAAAGGACCATATTATACATATCAGAAGGGGTGTATGCCGCACATTCGTGTTTTAGGCCAGTATGGTCTTGTGCATAGCCTACATCCCGTCTTCAGTATTTATAATTACTAATTCTTTTATATTGCTTTTACGAGAAGAATAAACATACATACATACATTTTTATATTTATCTCTGGGACAGTAAAGTTCAATAAAACGGCTTAATGTTAATCATATTGATGCATGGTAAAATACGGCACTCAATTAGCTTATCAGGAAAATGACAAAACTAAATTTTAGACTGTAGTCTATTTTGGGGGACATACATCCAAAACAAATAACGGGTCTAGCGAAGTACGGTAATCCAGTAATCTGTACGGTAACTCCTCAAATATCGCCAAACAAAAATGTGACGTGAAAATATGCGCAGCGGTGTGGCTCATTGTGCTAGGCGTTAGGGATACGCTCGCCACCGCAACCCAGATTACTCTGCGTGGATCCGCAGGTTCGAATCCCATGCGGCAGTGCGAGGATGGTTATGTGCAAGAGGATTGCTGAACTTCAAGCCGCCGTAGGGTGGTTCACATAAACGCTGGTCGGTTACGGCTCCCTCCACCATCAAGTCGGGTCTGGTATAGTTTAGTACCACATGCACTTCTAGTTGGTATGGCTCAACAATTTTTGCATATGTCCATCCTAACCCCCACCTTACCGAAAAATTACGTTTTTTCGACGTCACAGTGGCGTAATAAGGGGCAACCCTAAAATGCGGGAAACGGGAACGACGGGAACAACGGGAAATGCACTAAAATGCGGGAACTACGGGAAATTGCAAAAACTAAAATGCGGGAACTACGGGAATGACGGGAACTATGGGAAATTTCACTAAAAAGAGGGAAATTTCACAAAAAGCGGGAATGACGGAAAATCGCTTTAAGGTACGGGAAATATTCATCTTGGGGTATGTTTAGGGGAAATTGTTCTAGAAAGCGAAAGCAATGGTTAATATACACTTGGGGGTGTATGTACGTGAAAATTTATCTAAAATGCGGGAACGACGGCAAATCGCGTTAAAGTACGGGAAATACTCATTTCAGAGTATGTTTAGAAGAAATTGCACTAGAAAATGGAAGCAACGGGAAATATACGCTTGGGTTGTGTGGACAGAGAAATTTCACTAATAAGCGAAAAATTTCACAAAGAGTGGGAGTGACGGGAAATCGCTCTAAGATTCGGATAATATGTATGTTAGTACAATTACCCCGTACATGCACACTCAAGTATAAACGGCACTCCGGAAGTATTTGCAACAAAATGGCGCACAACCTGAGCTTTAACCTGGTACGCATACTTGGTTCAGGTTGTGCGCCGTCTTGATGAACATACTTGGGAGCACTGTATAAACTTGCCGTTGCTTCCGCCCTTCAGTGAAAATTTAGCCCACACATACTCTAAAATACATATTAGGGCCTATACATTTAGGGCCCTAAAATGCGGGAAAGGGAAATGACGGGAAATTTTACTAGTAAGCGGGAAAATGTTACAAAAAGCGGGAATGACGGGAAATGAACTTTAAGATACAGGAAATATGTATTTTAGTGTAATTGTCCCGTACATGCACACTCAAGTATAACCTTTCCGTTGCTTCCGCCTTTCATCGCATATTTACCCCACACATACTCTAAAATACATATTTCCCGTACATTAAAGCAACTTCCCGTCATTCCCGCTTTTTGTGAAATTTCCCGTAGTTCCCGCAATTTCGAAGTGGCTATTTCCCGTCGTTCACGCTGTTCCCGTTTTTAGTGCATTTCCCGTCGTTCCCGTTCCGCGCATTTTAGGGCCCTAAAATGCGGGAAACGGGAATGACGGGAAGATTTACTAATAAGCGGGAGAATGTTACGAAATGCGGGAAAGAGGGGAACTTGCTCCAAGATAGGGAAAATATGCATTTTAGAGTGTATGTAGGGGAAATTTCACTAAATAGCGGGGATTTTCACACAAAGTGGGAATGACGGGAAATTGCTCTAAGATGGGGGAAATGGGCATTTTATTGTGTATGTACGGGAAATTGTACTAGAAGGCGAGAGCAACGGGAAATATACACTTGAATGTGTAGGTACAAGAAATTGTATTAAAAAGCGGAAATTACGGAAAATATTACTCATGAGTAGGAACTATGTGATATTGTGGGGAATTTCACTAAAAATTGGGTGGGTATAAGAGAAATTCTCTAAATAAGCGGCGATGACGGGAACAACGGTAATTGATGGCGATGACGGCAATGAAAAGCGAACGTATTCACAAATGACGGGGAGAGTCGGAAGATTAAGAGCATCGCGTAAAAAATAAATAATATGTATTTAGCTGTTTTTTAGCTGGCGATCTAAACCGTCTTCCATTGTTTTACGTAATTTATTACGAGTGTTACTTGTATATTTTTGTTATTCAGTGAATTGATATTTCCTGTTAACTTAGCATCATTACAGTGCTGTTTTATTTGTGTGAAGGGTGTTGCCCAATATTGTCTTATGCAAGTACAGGTTTAATGCTCCCTATAATCTGAATCTTCCTTCTAATTCTCTTTAAAGGTACTTTAGTGGAATTAACCGAATACCCTCAGAGATCAAATAGGAACGCAATGGATTGTAATGCAAAATTTTCATATATTGTAAAGTTGTACGATCGAATTGAATTGTTCCGAACAACAGATAGTGAAATACACTTAACAATGATGCAACTATATGTGATGAAACCAAATTCCATGGGCCCTTCCCAAAACTTTCAACATTTTTTGAAATGCAATTTGGCGACATTTGCAGTGAGAGATAAATTCTTACGACTTTTTCAACGTCAATGTGCTATATTCTTGAACGATTTACTGAAAACCGGACGTTTCCCGGCTTGCTATCAATAATCCCTTTTTCAAATGAATCAACCGATAAACCAACTTTTAACATCACACATGCATGGTCTTTGTTTCTATTTGGGCGGTGTAATACCTTATGAGGGTTGTAGACGGTATAGTTTAGCTCCTGTACCTCTTATTGTAATTAGGCGACCATTAGAGATATATTGGATTATCCCCTTGTTATAATTTGCTGTGGTATTCTATAATTTGTCTTGTGTGTATACAAAATTTTATTCTAGGTTAAGGTTCTGCTGTGAAATGAACGTGAAGGCCAACAGAGAGAGAGAGAGAATTTATTTCGTCCACCAGAAAAAAAATTCATAACAATAAATAATGGCTAAAGAAAAAATACACTTTTTTGGTATAGACTGGAAGGAGCGATACGATCATGCAGTCATCGGAGTCAGCTCCCTCCAAGTTTACGCTGATAAGTTCACAGTAAAATATGACTATTAGAAGTGGTTAAAGTTCACGAAACATGCGAATGGTTAGTGTGGTTTGAGAGTTTTTGCATGGTTTGCGAGAAATTTACCCTGTATCCCAACCAGAATTCAACTCAGGTCTTTCAACTAGCGTTTTAAAGATAAATAACTAATGATCAATATCTACTCAAAATAATAATTTCTTCTCAACAAAAGTGTAGGTAGGGTAGTGTTGTTTCCTAATATGTAACCCTTGAATATTCTACTCGCAGATTTATTTTCCGTTTTTCAGGTCGTTTCGTGATGATCAATTCATTGGCTAGCTTATTGAATATAAATGATGTCTACATCAACAAAATTCGCTGATGTCTCATCCACGATAAATTTGAGTTGACATCAATTGCGTCATAATAACTAAATGAAGAAATGATCCTGTAAAATAACAATCCTAATTTCGTTATCCTTGCAGAAGTCAATATCTAAAAATTAAAAAAACCTTACCTTGGTAACCAATATATTCCTATACCCTATCGCCCTACCTTAAATTAAATATAACAAGAGAGCTGTGCTCAAATATATGGACACGTCACAAGGTGTCGCTATTTTTTATTCTGACACATAAAAAACGAATCTCTTGAAGTCCACAGAAATTTTTGGAATAATAGCCTTCTGGCGATAAAATTAATCTTTAACCACTGAAAATTTCAAAACAATTAGTCAAGTATTCGAAGAGAAAAGCGATTTTATCATGACCAAGCAAAAGAAAAATAATAATAATAACATAATATTGAAACGATCGTTATGTCCACAAAAGTATACAATAATCAACTTGGCAATATATTTTTCATATAAATTCATCTTTACTGTTCATAGAATCGATCAATTCGGCAGTGGAAAACAATATAAATTTATTAATATGGTGTGGCCAGTGATTTTTCATTTATTCATATATATTTTTTAACTACCAGTATGTAATTTATCATGTTCTTCTTACTTTATAACTTCTGTATGGTTGTGTGTGTGAGCGTGTGTGAAATATTTTAGGTGAGTGAACACGTACCACTTCTTCTTGGCAAAACCCTCCATCTTATATTCTGTACGTTTTCAACCTTAACTAAGATTTTGTTTGCTCTCCTGATATCATAATCGGTTTTTATTTATTTATGGAGTCGGAATAAACTTATACTTATTGAAACGCGCGCTACATAGCTTGGACAATTTCGAAAGCACAGCCTGCCATGTCTTAGCAGGCTACATATGAATTGATTTTATAAGATGCTTTTCTTGCTATTGTGGAAATAAAAACGATTTCCGCAGGAATCTTATGCTGTACATAGATTTCTTGTTCTTCCCTAATCTCGCATTTCATTGTAATGTCCTGTATGAAAACACCTAAATATAAACTTCCTGTTTTACAGCGATTTTCTCAATCTTCCCGCCTTTTCCGTTCTTCCTACCATTTTCAATACTTACGTATTTTGTTGCAATTTTCTATATAAAACACCTAAATACTTATTTTTCTGCATTCCCGAG